AACTTCTGCTTACGGACACAATCTCAGCTGAGCCCTGCCCACAGCGCTCACCACAGACAGAATGTGACATACTAGAACTGCTCCAAGATTCAGCTCCCAAGGACGACTTTCTGGAAAACAGCCAGGGAAACCAGGACAGCATATTACAGCCGATAACACCAGAGCAACAGCCCGTCTCACCAGACACATTTTCTCTATCTCCAGCATCTCCACTTCTGTGCTTCTCAGAGAAAATGGAAGAACTGGTGTTTGCTGGAACCAAACTATCCCACTCTTTTGCTGCAAGCCCCCAGATGTCAACCAAAAAGCGGCAGGCCCCGCAACCACCAAAGCCTGCGGGCCCAGCTCGCCCTCCCCCTCCTCCTGTGAGAGCTCTTCGGCCTCTGCCACAGCGCCAGGGCCCACACCCTCCTCCAGCGGCCCGAGGTCAACCAAAAAGAACTGATACCAGCTCTCAGTGATATGTGTCGGGTCTCCGCTATGACAACAGTAACTTTCTTAAATGTTTACATAACAAGCGGGAACCCAGTGTGCCTGTATCTTCCTCTATTGCTGTTCGATTACATGATAGAAAGTCTAAGGCCTTCAAAAGCCGTACAGCAAACCCATCTAATCTGGTGCCTATTACACGACAAACTAAGATTACTGTGGGGACAAAAAGTAAGACTATTAAGTTAGCACTATTAAACATCCGCTCACTTAAAAATAAATCACTTCTAGTCAACGATTTAATAACCACATACAACCTGGATTTTATGTTTCTAAATGAAACCTGGCTAGAAGACAGCTTCAGTGCAACAGTCCTCAATGAAACATCTCCTCCTAACTTTACTTTTATGAGTGTCTGCAGAGCTGTAAGGAGAGGTGGAGGAGTAGCTGCTCTTTTTAAGGATGTCTATCAATGTAAGCAAATATCATTTGGTAATTACCCGTCTTTCGAATATCTGGGTATTGTGTTAAAAGGCGTTCCACGCATTTTACTTATTATTCTTTACAGGCCTCCAAAATACTCTTCAGCCTTTGATGAGGACTTTACAGAACTGTTATCAACCATTTCCTCAGAGTTTGACTGTTTTGCGATTGCTGGAGATTTTAACATCCACATAGATAATACAGAAACCAATATGGCAAAAGAAATCAAAACTGTTTTAAAAACTTTTGATCTGATTCAGCATGTACACGGACCCACACACAGTCGTGGACACACTCTAGATTTACTTATCAGTAAGGGTCTAAACATTTCATCGATTGTTATTAAGGATGTAGCACTGTCTGATCATTTCTGTATTTTCTTTGATATATTGATCTCTCCTGCCATTGAAGCTAGATCTGTGTCTGTCAAGAAGAGATGCATAAATGAGAACACTAGTGTACTATTTATGAAGGCTATATCTTCAACACCAAGCATATCTGCTGACTCTGTTGATTTTCTCCTTGATTCTTTTAACTCAAAAGTTAAAAGTGTAATTGATGATATTGCTCCTGTGAAAGTCAGGAAGAGTGGTAGACAAAAAGCACCTTGGAGAAACTCAACAGCTGTGCAAAATATGAAAAGACAATGCAGAAAAACAGAGCGCATGTGGCGGAAGACCAAACTTGTAGTCCATTATAACATCTACAAAGACACCATCCATGCTTTCAATATGGAACTAGGCAAAGCTAGACAGACTTTCTTCTCAAATATTATAAACAGCAACTTAAACAACACACGCACTCTTTTTGCTACTGTAGAGAGACTGACAAACCCCCCAAGCCAGATTCCCAATGAATTGCTCTCAGACAGCAAGTGCAGGGAGTTTGCTTTGTTCTTCTCTGAGAAAATCAATAATATCAGAAAGGTGATCAGCACATCATTGAGCTGCACTGGGGTCAGACAGATCAGACCACAACCTGAGAAAGCAGCTACTATGTCTGATTTTGATGAAATTGATGGCAAAATTTTAGAAGAAACCGTACAGCACCTTAAAACATCAACCTGCGCCCTTGACGCACTTCCCACATCTTTCTTCAAAAGTGTGTTAAACTGTTTAGAAGCTGATCTCCTAGAAGTGGTAAATGCCTCACTTATCTCTGGGAATTTTCCAAACTCCCTGAAAACTGCAGTTGTCAAGCCCCTCCTGAAAAAGAGCAATCTGGATAAGACCATATTAAGCAACTATAGACCGATCTCAAATCTTCCTTTCATAGGCAAGATCATTGAAAAAGTTGTCTTCAATCAGCTGAACAAATTCTTAATCTCGAATGGATACTTTGACAATTTTCAATCTGGTTTCAGATCGCATCACAGCACAGAGACAGCGCTCATAAAGATAATAAATGATATTCGCTTAAACACTGATAACGGCAAATTATCAGTGCTGGTACTACTCGACCTCAGTGCTGCATTTGACACTGTCGATCACGACATACTTCTTGACAGGCTGGAAAACTGGGTGGGGCTTTCTGGGATAGTCCTAAAATGGTTCAGGTCATACTTAGAAGGGAGAGGTTAGTATGTGAGTATAGGAGACCATAAGTCTGAGTGGACATCCATGACATGCGGAGTCCCTCAAGGCTCAATTCTTGCGCCACTCCTATTCAACCTGTACATGCTCCCAATGAGCCAAATAATGAGAAAGAACCGAATCTCTTACCACAGCTATGCAGACGACACACAGCTCTACTTAGCCCTATCGCCTAAAGACTACAGCCCCATTGACTCCCTGTGCCAATGCATTGAGGAAGTAAACAATTGGATGTGCCAAAACTTTCTTCAGTTAAACAAAGACAAAACTGAAGTCATTGCGTTTGGCAACAAAGATGAAGTTCTCAAGGTGAATGCATACCTTGACGCTAGGGGTCTAACAACTAAAAATCAAGTGAGGAATCTGGGTGTGTCTCTAGAGTCAGACCTTAGTTTCAGTAGTCATATCAAATCAATAACTAAATCAGCATACTATCATCTGAAAAATATTGCAAGAATTAGATGCTTTGTTTCCAGTCAAGACTTAGAGAAACTTGTGCATGCTTTCATCACTAGCAGGGTGGATTATTGTAATGGACTCCTCACTGGCCTTCCTAAAAAGACCATAAGACAGTTGCAGCTCATACAGAACGCTGCTGCCAGGATTCTGAGCAGAACCAGAAAATATGAACACATCACACCAGTCCTCAGGTCTTTACACTGGCTCCCAGTTACATTTAGGATTGATTTTAAAGTATTATTACTGGTATATAAATCATTTAATGGCCTAGGACCTAAATACATTGCAGATATGCTCACTGAATATAAACCCAACAGATCACTCAGATCATTAGGATCACATCAGCTAGAAATACCAAGGGTTCGCTCTAAGCATGGTGAGTCTGCTTTTAGCTACTATGCCAGCCGCAGCTGGAACCAGCTTCCAGAGGAGATCAGATGTGCTCCTACAGTAGTCACATTCAAATCCAGACTCAAGACACTTCTGTTTAGCTATGCATTTACTGAATGAGCACTGTGCCACTTGTGTCCGACTGTTTGTACTGTATTTTATTTTATTTTTTATTCTAAACTGCTTTAATTATTCTTATTTCTTTTGATTATTTTAATCTCTTTATTCTTAACTGTTTTAATTATTCCTATTTCTTTTGATTTTTTTTATGTAAAGCACTTTGAATTGCCATTGTGTATGAAATGTGCAATATAAATAAACTTGCCTTGCCTTGCCTTGCCTTGCCTTGCCTTGCCTTGCCTTATGAGCTTTTCATTTGCATTTTGTCAAAGTGCATCACAACATTAGCAGTGCTAGCAAACACCTTATCAAAGTGTATCCCCAAAAGCCACATAGCTATTGCAATTATTACAGTCCCTCCAAACTGATGTGGCAATGGTAGAGTATCATTATATACCAATCTAAGGACATTTTAAACATAAATTAAGTTTACTGAAAAGTGAACTGAAAAGAAAAGAAAAACCCAGAAAATGTATGCGTGGAAAAAACAGAGTGCCTATATTGCACAAGCTCCACTGACTGCCTTTAAAGGAGATTTTAACAGTGACTGACAGGAACCCTTTGCTGAGGTTGGGCTTTGGCTCATAGTCTTCCTGTTTACCTTGATAACCGTCATTCTGTGGTGTTCACGTGTGAGAAAATATGTCTATGATATGAGTGAATGTGTAAATCTTTCTGCATCTGAGACGGTTTTTGTGCACAGTAATCCTCAGAAAGTAACAGTACATCTCAACAAAACAGACGGCAAACGCTCCTGACACCCGCTATTTGAAGTAGGAAACTGAGAAACCTCAAGCGGTGTCTGCCGTGGACTGAAACTTCTTTCTCATTGTTCGGTGAATGAGTAAAAATGTCGTTGAAACCTCAGTATGATGAGTCAACAGATTTAGTGTTGTTTCCTAAACGGTGACCTCTATTTTCTACAACTCACTTTTCAAATGGGACTTACTGAAAGGGGATGTATGACTAAGAATGATAACTGACAAATTGACAGTTACTTTTAGTGACGGGGTTGGAAAGCTTGACTTGTCTTGACTGCTTCTCCACTATGAGAATTACTTACTATAACTATAAAGACAAATTTTGTCTAGTAATTTAATGTCATTTTCTTTTTTTTATGCAAAATTATTTTAATGGGACCAATCCAGTGTCTCTAAATATGACTTTGGTCTGAATGGTTGGCAGTAAAATGTAAAAGGAAACTTTTGTGGTATATCTTTTTAAATGTGTGGTTTTATCTTTTTAAACATTTTTAAACACCTACAACTCATTAACGTAATTATAATTATAGTAAATGGTAAATAAAGTAATTATAATTTCATTACCGTAAGATCATAACCTGTTGTCACACCAGAACATACAGGGAAAAAAAGATACTATATCAAATCTATTTCCATAATAAATGGTAATGATTTAAAAATATAGTGGAGACAAGCAGTTTGTGGGTTATTCAAAGCGTGAGTATTTTGGGGTTTGAGGAACACATACACAGACACACACACACACACACACACACACACACACACACACCATTGGCAGCTGACTATGACCTCTTCTGCCCCACAGCCTAACAGATTCAACCACACACACACACCCTGGCACATACATTCAAGTGTTTTTTGCTCCAGTTGCCTTCTTTAATGACTTCAACATGGGCCTGCCAATATTTTTTATTTTAGGAATGGTTCTGAATCTTGCTCACAGCATGGATTTGCAAGGTAGGTTCATATCCTCTCAGGTTTAATCATTTTTGGCTTAATTTGAGCAGCCTGTATCAGATGATGCTGTTGTATTTTCTGGCCCTTTTGAATAGCTTGCATATTATATGGTAGGCTATAACAGGCAGCTTCTGGGTGGAATAATGTAAATTAGAAGCATTTGGTAAAACATATCAACACAACCTGTACATTTAATTTGAATATGTGTCAGTTTGTTCACACTGAAAAGACATTTCCAGAGAAAAAGGGAGGGAATGACAATTTTCTGCAATTGTGCACCAAAAATTATTATTATTTCTTTAAATTAGCATGCTATTTGATTTGATGCTATTGTTATTTTGAGCTTTGGCTGTTTTTGCAGCAGAATTTTGAGTAAGTGATGCTTATCATAATGATAATATATATTGCTAATTGAGAAGAGCTGCATGCAATGAATGAAGATTCTTTCACAAATTCTGCTTTAGGGATTTCCACTGTCCTCTCCTTAAAGAAACATTTAACCACATGTCCCTTTCATTCTGAAACCAATGGGGCATGGAACAATAAATTCTGTCTTGTATTTATTTGGAAGTACTGAGTGATGAAATTAGATCCCTAGAAAAGATTACATTTTTTTAAAAAGTCAAATGTGGTTTAAATTGTTCAGTATGTACAGTAGCAAGGCAAGATTCATCTTTTTTTTCAGAAAATAAAGTGAATAAACATAACAATGTCTATTGCAATTGTGTTTTGCAGTTTGTGTTTCTTATCTTTGTCAAGATTTGTAACGGTATCAAATCAGTGTAGTGATGACGCATTCAGCAGCTGTGATTTTGAACACAGAATTGTGTTTGCATGTAATCAGTTAAATGACGATGAATCAGGTACAGTGGTATGTGTGTGGTTTACAGCAGCACGCAACATGTGTGTGAAAGACCTGTGTTGGAAAATCGTGTCACATGATTGAAAAACCAAAAACATCTGCTTCCTCTCGTGCAAAGCGACTCAATTTCCATCCCAGACTCAATGCATGCTGCAGCTGATGTAATTTTTTTTTATCAGGACCGTATGCATATCCTTTAAACATTGTAAGTAATGTTGCCGATACATTGCATTTTTAAGATAATTTTAGCTTTTCTGAACAGTGTGAAATTGTGAATGGTCCTTATAGTTCACCTAGAATTAAAATTCTGTCATTTATTTACCCTCATGTCATTTTTAAATTCTGTATGGCTTTCTTTCTTCATTGGAACACAAAATGAGATATTTGAATAATGTGCTGCCTGCTCTTTTCCATCACAATGAAGGGAGACTGGATGCAAAAAGGATGCAAAAGCACCACAAAAAGTAGATGACCTGACCTAAAGTTCAGTAGCCTATAACTTAAGACTTGCTGTATTCAATTCAATTCAATTCAAATTTATTTGTAAAGCGCTTTTCACAATACATATTGTTTCAAAGCAGCTTTACAGAAAGTGCATTTCAGAAATGTACATAGAAGAATATAGTTAGTTAATCATCATGTATTAATTCACACATTAATTCACATTAATTCACTGTATATCACACAAAACTACTTTTCTATTCTTTTTATGGTGTTTTTTGTTATTTTGGAGCTTGACAGGCCAAATCCCCATTAACTTTCAATATATGGAAAAGCGCAGCTAGGACATTCTTTAAAATGTCTTCTTTTGCCTTCCACAATTAATGGTCATTCAGGTTTGAAACCACATGAGGGTGAATAAATAATGATAGAACTTCTTTTTTGTCTGGGTGAACTATCCTTTTAAGAATGTTGTTTCTTAATTTACTCTGGGTTACATAATATGTCCTTCAGGATTAATTTCACAAAATGTTTGGGAGTGTTAAATGGACATGTCAAGAAAACCTTTTGTTGGCCGCCCTATCACGAATGAAGAAATCTGTCAAAGTTTATTAAGAGTGCCAAGTGCTGACACTTCCCCTGACTGTGCTTTATATATGTGGGGTTAGCAGGGGACACGTTGAACGTAAATAACAAATAAAATTAGTTGTTACCATAATGATTACTGTAATGGACTATGTCATTAAATCTTTGAGTAATATTGGTCCCCCTCCTTTTTTATATACATATAGATTCAGAGGCCAGAGACTTGGTTCTCGACCAAACTGTGACAGGGATTTTGGGAGAGGAGGTCTACCTCCATTGTCTGTACATTGGACAAAGTAAAATCGTTTACTCCTCCTGGAACCGGCTGGATTCTTCAAAGAAGTCAAAGAAAATGGCAGGCTACAATCAGCATAAGCCTTTCAACAGAGAAAACTTTGATGTCCCGGCATTACTTACAAACCTTACTGTAAAGATAAACGTGACAAGTCTCGACCTAGAGGGAGAATATGCATGCATCTTTAACTCTGATGAGGATGAAATAAAGGACACCATGTTTTTCAGAGTTATTGGTGAGTATGAATAAAGATTGAAGTGTGAAGACCGAATAAGCCACGGATTTCTGAATAGTTCAATCAAAATGAAATTCAAATCATTTAGTCACTCTCATGTTGTACTGAACCTACTTTTCTTCCTCTATGGAACACACACACACAAATGTATTTAGCAAAATTGTGTGGACCCTCTTTTCCAAACAATGAAAGCAATAACAGTGAGCTGTTAATATGTCACTTTTTAAGACACGTCACGCCAGGTTTTACACACAAAACATTGGAACAATTGGTTCCTGCAAGGCACAAGTCAAATGGTTTACATGTATGGTGTTTTATGTCAGTTTTGGAGCTTGACAGCCCAAGTCCCCCTTCACTTTCATTGTAATTTGAAATTGTAAAAAAAATTATGTATGACATGAAGGGTGAGTAAATGAAGACATTTAAAAAAAATGTGGGTGATCTATTCATTTAATTTTGAGATTACTTGCATGCAAAACTCATCAGTATCTCTGTTTTGTCTCTAAGCTCGGCCTGATATTGACATAACTGTGAAGAAGGAAGTTGTGAACAGGACCCTCTACCATGCTGTCACTTGCTCTGCCTCCAGTGCCAAGCCTAAGGCTGTGATTAGATGGGAGATCTCTGGTGCCCTTCCAAGAGATGACATATTCTCTGTGAACATGACTAATACAGTTCATCCCAATGGCACAACCAGTTCAATCAGTGTACTGCGCTTCCCCTTAATTATGAATAATGAGAGCACTGTTACCTGTGTGGTCAATCATTCAGCTTTTACTGAACCTGAAAGAGTCGACATTGAGGTGGACACATTTGGTAAGTTCAGTTTTGATAGGTACATATAATCAAAAGAGATATCGTTATTAGGAAAAACCAGAGAGTGTCAGACAACATAAATTACTTTTCTGTTCTTGTGCATTGGAGTTTTTTTTATGAAACCTGAAAGGTACAACTGAGAAATCAAGTTGGTATCCTGTCTGCACTTTGCGCCAGTGTTGCAAGTGTTTCCTGCGGTATTTGCAGCAGCTGTCTGACCACAAAAGTCACATAGCCTACTCTGAAGCTTTTCTTTTAGAATTCAAGAACTTAGGAAAACTGTGAAGAATAAATGTCAGCACTTCTGTTTCTTACAGTTCATTACAGAACACATGCGTGTTTTAGCAAGCAATCCCTGGGATCAAGGCACATGAAACTGCTTTCTAAATGCAGAAAGTGTCATGCATCTTGATATATGCCAAGTTATAATGCTGTTCTCCATCATTTGTTCAATTACTGCAGCTATTGTTGATAGAAAATGTACAAGAACGAAAATTCTGTTTACCTCCTGCCTTATGTTAGCGGTAATAGCGCAATTAATTGCAGTAGATTTTTGACTTGTAATTTAACATATTTACTTATATACAAATAAGTATGTATGTTTATACGACACAATCTATAAAGGCAAATTTTACATATAAAGTAGCATTTACGTAAAGCATAGCGTTTGGCCTGAAAAGAACAACAACAGCTTAATTTGAATACTCACTGCGCTATTTCAGTGCATTTAGTGCCTAGCAAAACTAGATTGCATGTGTTTAGTGAATAGGGTTTTGCACTGAAATACTGCACGCAAAAGTGCCGCTACTTTTTAGAGAATTCACCCTTTGTTATTTCTTGAAACATGACATCTAAACCAATTGTCCTTGTTGGGGCTAAAGTTAGCATCTCCAACAGCTTGGTAAACAGAAGGAACAGCTGATAAAACTCAGTTAAACTCAAATGTCAGCTTGTTTAACCTTAAGATCATACTAACAGATACACTTCTCAGGTTTCTAAATAGGATAGTCTCTTAGAGGATTTTTCATGAACCTCCACTGTTCATATTGGCACTTTTCTTCTTTTTATCAGTTTCTCCTATTATGAGCATGGAGACCGTCCTGGTCCAAGAAGGAGGAGAAGACTTTCAAGAGGTCATCTGCATGGCAACAGGGGGGAGGCCACATCCAAATATCACATGGAGACTGCCTGAATTCAAAAACACACCATCTTTACTGAAAAATGATTCCAAACCAGATTCTGTTATCAGTTCTTCCCGGTTCCCATCAGATCCTTATGAAGGAGAAAATATCTCTTGTGTTTTTGGCTACATGTTTCTCCCTTTCATAAACACAAGGACAATCACTTTGCCAATTTACTGTGAGTATACCAGCACTATTTAAACTGAATAGATACACATATGTACTGTAGCATGAAGCGGTCTCTCACTTGTAAAACTTTGTTCCTCTAGATCTTTCCTCACTTCAGCTGAAGGACGTTGATGATCCCATTAACAGTGAGAATCAGACTTCACTGGCGTTTGAGGTGGGGGACGTGGGCATTACAATCAGGATGGATGTTTTGGGCAATGTACCAAGTTATAAAATTAACTGTTCCAGGTAAGAGTTATTAATAATATACTGATGCAACACAATGGTAGTTATAGACAATTTCCTCCACATTATAAAAATATTGGATTCTAGTATAATTGCTACAGCATAAAGACAAGTTGTGAAATGCTTGCTCTGCACTTTTGTTTCATTTAATCAAGGGAAGGCCAACCACTGCCTGAGGATGTGGATGTGGTTGGCAGTGATATCTCTATCAGAGGTCCTGTAGAGTTTCACCTTGCTGGACAGTATCTCTGTCAGGCCTCTTACCGTAGGCATCAAGTGTCCTTGCAATTCACAATTGAAGTGAATCCAAAAGTTATATTGCCAGGTATTGTATTTGCTGTAATAATATTTTATCATAAAACTGTATTCACATTTTACACTGTATTTACATTTTAAATATGTTTTTGTTTTTAGTGACATTTCCCCCAAACATCAGTTTGAATTTAGAAGAGAATTCAGAGTACATTCACATTGAGTGTTTGGCCTTCAATGCTGTTCCCACTGCAAACGTGTCCTGGATCATTTCACAAGAGATGAATAGTACAATTCAGTCTAATGTCACATCCTATAATGGATCTTATTCTGTCAAAAGTGTCTTGACTGTGCACAGGTGCATGGCACGGGAATATGTAGCTGAGTGTGTAGTCGACCATCCTGCTTTCATGGAAAAAGAGAGGCGGCAGATTGCTCTTCCTATGTGTGGTAAGTGTCCCACTGATAGCTGTAGTCATCATAAACAAAGCCTCTTTATTCTCTAAATTAGTTCTCTAGATGTTTAAACATGTAGCAGGGTTATGCACCATTCTGAACCTAAATGGGAATGCCTTTTAAATTCGATTCCTGAATTTGAATTGTTGTAGCTAACAGGATGTAGAATTGACATTCGAATTTAGTTGTAATTGAAATTCAAAGACGAAACTGTAATTTTTAACTAGAAAAGCAAAGTTTGTCATACATAAACCATTGAAAACAAATTATCTAATGTTTTTATGGATGGATGGAAAGACAGACAGACTAGGTTGTATAACAGCTATCTATCAAACATTCTGACATGTAGTTGATTGATTTTGGTCTTTTTTGCAGCACCACCAAATATAACCTTGCAGTCTAGTATTAAATGGGACAGTGGCGTTGCATACACATGGCTGGTGTGTTCAGTGCAGAGCCAGCCTCCAGGAGCAGCCATCACCTGGGCCGTAGACTGCCATGGCATTGACAGTGGCTCTAGCGAGTTCGTAATGAGTCAGGCTGACTTTCAGCAGAGTCATTTGATTGCCGCCCAGAGTGCGGCACCTATTCCTATTTACTCGCATGCCGGATGCAGTGTAACCTGTGCGGTTGAGCTTCAAGGGTTTGAGAAACCAGAGAACAAGACTATTGACCTCCCACGCTTAGGTACGTTTTATTATTACATTAACCCCAAAACCCCTCTTGAGCCAAAATGTATTAATTATTACATTAGGAAACTAAATTACCATTAACTGACCTAATTGCCACTATATCACTGTGAAACTGTACCAATCTGTGTGGTGTGCTGCTTATTGCTGGAATTTAAAGAAATATTCTTGTAAAAGTTAAGCTTAATCAACAGCAGTTGGCATAATAATATATATATATATATGTACATATATTTATGATGAATGGTTCACTTTAAGATTAATAACATGCATTTAGAAAATAGATGGGTGAATTTCCATTTCATGCTGAATAAAGGCCAATTCACACTGCACTGACAGACGCCGACCAACACAGAAAATCATCAGATTACAGTACGTCTCAGACATTCCACTACCGACAAATCCCAATTAAACATGTTCAATCGGTGAAAACAACCACTGACCTACACCAACAGACAGTGACTGGGGTAACACACTGATCCACCAAAACCTGACGTATGTGTCTGTTGCTGTTGGACGGTGTTGGACGGTGCAATGAGAATCGGCCTTAAGATTATATAGCTAATGGAAACACTGGCCGATACATCAAGTAATGAAAACCTCTTTGCTATTAGGTCCGTCTGCAAGCCGTGTGTTTTTGGGTGAAGAGAGATACACACATATTTGGCATGCTGTGTGCGAGTATAGCGGCGAAGGGGTGAAACCCAACATATCCTGGGTCCTTCCTGATGAAGACACCGTAATTCCAGCAACTACTGAGTTCAAGTATGACGGAATTAAAGTAGAAGTCAATGCAACTTATGAATTTAAACTCAGTCAGTATGAGGGAAAGAATTTGATATGTCTGATCCAGAACAAGCTCGGCAGGGATGAGAGACTGGCGATTCGTGTTCCAAAATACTGTAAGTGTTTCTCAACATTGGCATAAATTCTGGCTCTTCATTTCTGGCTAAATGTATTTTATTTGCTGAATGCAATCTGTTGTTTCTTCCACTCAGCTATCTCATCTATTGAGGTTGTAAACAAAACCACATTTGATCGTAGAAGTCATGGTCAGCATGTGCATCGATTAGCATTGCAAGAAAACCTCCCTAATCAGAAGATACTTCTCAGAGCCCACGGCAATGCATCATCATACAAGACAACATGTTACAGGTATGTTGAGTCATGCATGTTTAAATAAGGCACGACATACTTAAGAATTCATATAGGGCCCTTCAAAAAATTGAAAAAACCTCATGACAGTATCACGGCCTAAGGTGCAGTTCCACAGCACTCTCTCTTAAAGCCTAAATGTGGCACATTGATTTTCCTTTTACACCCAGAGGGATAAATAGAGAAGAGAAGGGCTAGTTAAAGTTTTCACAATAATGTTTCACTGCATCAGACTGTGAAGTTCTAGAGTATTCGTTTTGCTTGAACCATCACATGCTTTTACTATTATCACAGGGCAATGTTGTCTTAAGTTTGTCATTTTTAATGAACACTACCACATTATCTTACTCACCCTCATTTCATCCCAATTTCCCAAACTTGTATGATTTTCTATGAAACACAAAAGATGATATTCAGCAGAATGTTCATGCTGCTCTTTTCCATACAATGAAAGTGAATGGAGACAGATGCTGTCAAGCTACTAGAGTATTATTGTCAATTAAAACCAAAACTACATGTATTACAAATTGTTTTTGCTAATTGATATAACGCTGAAATATTAGATAATAAAAACGTAAATTAGAAATGTTCCCTTAACAACTAACTGAAATCAGTGAAGTACTAAAATTACTAAAACTGAAATGAAATATTTATTATAATAATAACTAATAATAATAACAAAATCACAAAGTAAAATAAAAATGTAAAAAAGTTAGGAGCTTGACAGCATGCGTCACCATTCACTATTATTCTGTTCAGAAGAGCAAAGTGAACATGTTCCATGAACGAAAGAAAGTCAAAGAGGTTTGAAATGACATGAGGGTGAGTAAATGATTGCAGAATTTTTATTTGTGTAAACTATTCCTTTAACTTTTTTAAAGGATTAGACCAAAATTCCAAATCCAAAATTCTTCTCTATGTTCCATCAATTAGTTTCTAAGGAATAAATGGACTTTTTTTTACACACACACACACACACACCATTGTTCTTATCCCAGGGAGGACGGGTCAGCAGCACACACTGTTGCCATGGCATTAGTTTTTACAGAACCAGTATCTGAACTGGATGCAGGACTGTACATATGCGATGTCTCGTACCAGCACCACACGGCTAAAGTTTTCATTCGTGTGGATGTAACCAGTGAAGAGACTGAACACCGTGAGTTTTGCACATATCAGCCCTAGTCTAGATGATCAATATTGGTAGTATATAGATGTGCTGTGAATTAGCTCAGAATTCTATGTCTGATTTTCCAGTGATATTCATCACCATCTGCTTCACGTCAGCCGCTGCAATCACCCTCATCCTGATCATCGTTTTGTTTGTCCTCTGGTGAGTAGAGTTGCTTTCTAACAACCTTAAGTACAGTTTAGTTTTATATATATATTACCATACAGGTGAGATTAGTGGAGGCAAACAGGAAGCAAGGTATCTTACCTATACCAATAACATGCATAGTGTTCATAAACAGGATACATGGTGGCTTGCGCAAGCTGGCAGACGAAAAACCACATCTACCGCTACTCTCCTATTCACAAGACATAAACAGATTGTTCATGCCTCAGTGGTAGAGACTGATGATGTCAATTAAAATTGCAAAAGTGATGCTTTTTTTGTTGTACAAAGAAACAGACATATATAAATGAACATGTCTTAACCAATTGTTATTTCTTTCTAGTAAAAGTGGGAAAAGTCACTCATCACAAAAGGTACTCGGAAGTGTTATACAATTCATTTGTCCAATAAGATATCAATGGCTCATTTAAATAAAGTATTACATTTTTGTTTGTTTATTTAAAACAGAAGAACAGGAGAGAGCGCGAGTCTCTATCAGCTCTAATGCAGGACCCTCGTTGCCCAGAGAGGACGGGGCTTCCAGGCGAGGCTGGGCCGCACTATGCTGAGCTTGTGCACTATTCTATTGTTTTAGATGTTAAAAGCACTGTGTGAATCGCCGGTTGGGTTTTATGCAGGTAATATATCAGTTTTTGCACATACTTTTAGAGTTCAGGCCAGCTTGGGTGCATGCTTTCAAAAAGGGGAACATACCTAGAAAATCATTCATTTTCATATAAAATAATATAACTGGTAATGAAAGAGAAATTGTTAATATGGAAATTTCACTTGTGGTCTCAGGCTTTTGGACACCACTGTATATTTACATTGGAATTGCCTTGCATCAGTGTTCGTGATATATATTTGTTCGTATTCCTCAACTACCAATACCGATTGTAGGGCAAAGTCCCAGATTTAAGTAGCTTGGTATTACTCTCAGCATTATAATTAAGTAGCATTGTTTTTATGAGCACGTTTGTAATAAATGTTTTCCTATCTTTTTAGATTGTTATTTTGATCTGATTTGCACAGACATATACTTTAAACGTCTGGTTGTTGTCTTCTATCTTGCTTTAATTCCAACTGGACTTGTAGTGCACAAACTGACTGAATCTGTAACGCTGTAGCACCCTCTGGTGACCGTGCAGTGTATGGTGGGGGAATCTATACATCTGTGAAGTACTGCAACTGTCCAGTCTGATTTTTTTACTACTTATATAATACTTATATATTTAGTCTTTGTCTGAATGACGACTGGACTTCCTATGTGTTGCTAATGTTCTGTTGTAAGATGTTTGGGTGAAATAATGTCACTGTGATACTTGTAAAAAGAGAATAAAATACTTGACCAATTAAAATACGTATGGAGTCAGTTTGTTTTGCAGGTAAATGCTTACTCCAATCATAAGCAAATATATAAAACTTTTCACAAAGCCTTTCACAAATCACATTAAAGCCTTTTTTATACAATGGATGTTCCTGTTACATTGATTTACAAAGGTTACAAATACAATGTCAAGAGGATATTTGCCCCTTGCTTTAAACTGAATTATTGCTGATAAAACTTTTCTTACACACAACACAGTCCCAACCATAAAGCAAAATATTTACTTTATGCATATTTATCGTTTCTTGTACAGGCAAGGTTTCAGCTGAAGTCCAGCTTTCTTCGCATTCTCTGTTGCTGTTTCTGTCTTTGTGAATTCAAAAGAGTAGAAGTGGCTGTTTTCTGTGTCCTAAAGAAAAATGAGTGGAAATAAATAGCTTGCATTCATTATATAGTAAATTGAAGCTACATTTTGATTAATAAATTATGATCTGTTGCAATCTCCATTATTTTACTGAAAAGCTGAGGAAGTAGAACATTTTATGTTAGTGTAATTGTTAATATATTCCATTATTGATTTGCATACTTGCAGAACAGCACAATCCTAGTCTGCAACACTGCACAGTTGGCCTGACTTTCCATCCCTAATTCAGCATTAGACCTGCAACTAACAATCATTTATGAAAATTAAGAAGAAGATTATTCTAATGATTGGATAGATTTTGTTTGACAGCTGTCCTATGAGTTTTACACAAGACGACAACGTTGTTAAAACGATCCCTGTTCACACGGATCAGCGAAAATGATTAAAATGCTGTATTATGCATGCCAGGCCAGTAGTTGGCGATGTCACTTTTTAGAGAAACAATACGCGCCTCACCGTTTTTCACAAATTCGTGTTTTTGTAGTATCGTTTAGTAACGGTCTCGTCAAAAAATTGCACTTTGAAACCTGTTTCCAAAAGTTTGCGTTTTCAGGCCCCCAAAACGCCCCAAAACGACCAAACACTTTAAAAGTTCCCCGTTTTTAGTTGAAAACTGTTTGCTGTGAACAGCCCCTCAATCATGATCACCAACTATCAAGTCTTCCAACTACTATTTGCCTCATGAAAAACATGATCGATCAATAGATCTATTCAAGATCAATAGATCTAAAAAGCCATTATTAAATTATGGCTTAAAGAGCATATTGCAGGTAAAAAAAAAATCTAAATGAATATATAAACCTTGTATGAAAATACCACATTAAAAGGAAATGCAGGATTTAAAATGTTTTAAAACGACATAATTTAGTAGATAAAGTGAGTGTTTCTTTGACTGCTCGTAAAAACTGCTTCTTTTTTTTTTCTCAACATCGCGTCATTTTACGTCACGAAATGGAGCCTCAGCTCAGTGCAGTATTTTGGCATTCAGTAAGAGCGGTCGTGAGTCAGTGTGTTTTCGGTAGTTTTTGTATTTCAATTTATCATCATCAAAATTATTGTGTTTGTGGAGGTTGTAAAAACTCCGGCCTGTCAGGACATCGAGACGGTGCTATCTTTAGTGCCTGGTGCGGTTTGTGCAGGTGCACTAAGGCCCATTATGCATCGACTTCCCTGCAGCACTGACTTTCCTCGGCTGTGAACATTGCCTCGCATTTCCCACACAAGCACGTATGGAACAAAAACGTGTATCAGGAATACAAATATCTCTCCGTCTCTCGATGAGAAGCCGCTAAGTTATATCACGTAACGTTAGTCTGGACGGATATTAATGAGCATGACATACGGCTGATCAAAGCTTATTAGTTTCTGTTATTGGTAACATTAAGTTCCAATACTCCTAGATGACCAATAATAGCTTTGCTGTTAACTGATATACAATGCAATAATCTGTACAATATTGTGAGCACAGTGTATATCTTTAGCGAACATGTATATATCTATAAGCTAACACTGGTCTCTCACCAAGACACCTGCCCTTTTCTCCACTGGTTCTCCTCACACCACAACTCAATTTGTCTCCTCTGGCCGTTGTTCTGTCTAACATTAATCCTGGCCTGTCCCTGCTCTCTTGGCAGCATAGCAGGCTCATAATTGTATGGCTGTGGTCCGTCATACGAGTTAGTATGAACAATTTCCTCAGCGTCCGAAATGTCATTGCGATCCGTTGTTTTCCTGTTGTTTGAATCGACCGCTCTCCCGCCCGTTACGTCACGCCCATTTTCAGATGCGGAAGTAAAATTTTCTTACAAAAACAACTCCAGACGCCTCTGTAGGGTATTTATACGTATATTTTAAAGAAAATCTAGTTCATACGTAATTATTCTATACATTGACTCGTTGGGTCCTCTAACCTGGAATATGCCCTTTAAATGCCATTAAAAAGAAGTGTTGCAGCTAACAATCCTTTATCAGGGTGTGGGACAATTAACACGCTGAGACACTCTAGTATGCTATTCTTTCATAGCATGATCAATTTGTGTCAAGTGACACGTCACCTGGAGCCGGTTGCACCAACAGGGCTTACGCCTGGTCTTAAGGTAAATAGGTCTTAACTCAGCATTCTAAGTCCGACCTAATAGTTACGACCGTTGCACCATCCAGGCTTAAGTTCTCTTCTTGCTAAGACTGGGCGTAAATCTTACGCCTAGTCAGTAGCAGGTGTAAAGTCAAAATCTAGGCATATACAGAGCTGCCAACTCTCACGCATTGGCCGTGAGACACACGCATTTGATTGGTTTCACACGCTCACACGCCACACCCCCTATTTCTCACGCTGAAGTGTCAACCCGGTCGGTCAAATGCCTGAAAGATGAGTTTATCTAATCTATAGATCTACCTGTTGAGCCACTCGTGATCGACTAGTTATACCGCAAATTAGTTTAAATCTCCCGGAATCTAGAGTGAGCGTGCATGCGAGACAGAGACGCTCCAAACCGCGTAGCGCATGCACGGAGAGAGGGAAATGTTATATTTTTATGTTAATGTTTTAATGCAAATAGTGCGTTTCAAAACACTGTTGGAGACATGATTAATGTCCACAAATCCATTGGCAGTCAGTGTGTGCCTGTGCTGACTGTACAGCTCTATTAACTTAAGTATTTCGATGTCGGTGAAATTTCCTTTCCTTTTTCTTTGATCCTCCATTGATACGGCTACAAGTTAACAAAACTGCAGAAGATAGTTTACAGCATAACCCAGCAACGCAGGCTGCTAGGCAACCACTATATCCGTGGCCATTCACATGAACGCGCAACGCTAAGACCAGGCGTAGTAAAGCCTAGGCTTAAGTTTGGTTGGTGCAACCGACGTTAGGTGAACTCTAAAGACTGGTCTTAACTAAGACCTACTTAGCAGTTAGGACCAGGCTTAGTAAAGCCCTGTTGGTGCAACCAGCTCCTGACCATTAGGATTAGGTTTTTCATTGGGGATGCACGACACTAATATCCATGGGAAGTTTGCACAGAATGATCTGTTTTCACGGCTATTATTTTGGTTCATCAAAACAAACTGTTCAAAAGAATCCAACTAGTGGAAATGACTCAGGCTTCCCCTCGCTACAACCAAAGACTGTACGAATCTAAGTGTTAATACACGGTAATGACTTTATCAGTTTATTAGTTAAACTTGATGCAATCAGCTTCCGAATTCGTTTTCTGATGAATAGAAAGTTCAAAAGAACAGCATTTATTTGAAATAGAAATCTGTCACTTTTAATCAATTTAATGCATCCTTGCTGAAAAGATGGTTTAAATAAAATCTTACTAGCCCTAAACTTTGAACAGTACTGTACGTACACTGGAAATAAACAGAACATTACCTTATTGACTATCTTGAAGCCCAGACTTGACAGTGCACCAATGAACGAACGTATGTTTTCAAATCTACTAGCCACTTCAGCAATTTTAAGAACACCCCTGTTTTGGAAAAGAGCATATATAAAGGCTAATGTTAGACACACAATGGGTTTGTGTTTTAAAATAAACTTTTTAAAGGAATTGTTAATATCAATAATATGAGGCAGTTACCCCATCACCAGGACTCTGTTTGCTTCTGCCAAAAACTCTCCCAGATTTGTCCCCATCAGAGAAAGACAGAAAACAGCAATATCTACTGTAGAATCACGGAGCGGGACCTGTGAAAAAGTATTAAACAGTGCTGCCTTTAGTATTTTGGCTGCATTACAAGTCAAAAGCTTTATTACTATTATAACAACTTACGTTTGCCATGTCACATGCAGTGGCAAGATCACAAACCGGAGCCAAATCAAAAGAGTGTACTTTATTCTTTACACTCCGTGCAATTTTACAGTCACCACAACCGAAGTCTGCGACAACTAAAGAAGGTGGCCTGAAAAAAAGAAAAGGAAATTCATTGGCATTTAGCGACATCCAAAAAGAAAAAAAACCTTCCATACATGGAAGATCATTCCATGTATGACCACTGTGGCTGAAACCAAAAATCGCACCCTATACCATAAAATGGGACATTATTTGAGGGGACAGCTATTTGTAGTGGTGTCCGAACCCATAGTGGACGTTATTGAGTGCACTCATTCTATCCCACATTGCACTGCAATAACGAGTGTACAACCGATGTACGTTCAACGGCTGTCCGAATTCACTCAATTGTTTTCATTCACTCCTTCAAGTGAACATTTCGGATTCAACCTGTGATTTAATTTAGACAAGTTTGGCCAGATGTTTTAAAACAAACAAATAACTGTAGAACAAAAAAACTATAGTAGCCATGACAAAAGGATCATATAAAGCAAAACGTGATGTGAATGTATATTATTTTCTATTCTTGCTATTTTTTAAAACATTGTATATATATATAAAAAAAAAAAATAATAATAATATTAAAAACATTATATATAATAAACACACACATATATATATATATATATATATTATATATATATATATATTCACACACACACACATCATACCTGCAAAAATATACTACATGATTATAAAATATTGTGTTGTTATTACTAAAAACAATTGTATAAATAAATAAATGTATATATTTAGATGCTTATAAGTCTATGATTGGATCATTATTGCAATGAGTAGTATTATGTTTCTAGCATTTTAAATGTTTGGCAACAGTTCTCTAACCCTAATTGATGGAGTGTGTAACTTTTCATTTCTTAAACAACCATCTAGGAAGACACATCATGGCTATATTCCAGGATGACAATGTCAAGATTCATCAGACTCAACTTGTGAAAGAATGTTTGGGAGGGAGCATGAAGTAAAATTGATGCACCTCTTGATGGAAATAACATCACAAGAGGTGCATCAACTTTTGGTCAAGATCTTGTATTGACAATGAAAGAGTCGAGGACTCTGTGAAGTCTACTCCAGCACATCTCAAAAGACTTTCAAAGACTCAGAGGTGCCAATCCATGTGTGAAAGTGATTCTTCATGCTCCCTCCCAAACATTCTTTCACAATTTGAGCCTGATGAATCTTGACACTGTCATCCTGGAATATAATCCTACATACAGAAATCAACAAAAAGCATGTTCTCTCACTTTTGACAAATATAGGAAATGATCGAATCCACAGGGTTTGTGGGCCAGTGCTGAACTTGTGTTGTGTAGCCCTTGTGGTAAACCGCGATGGCCTCTGGGTCCTGCTGAAACATGCGTTTGGCCTCACGACTGGTCGACGTGTAAAGCAGCTCATTGATGTAGCGGAATCGAGCGGCTTCTAACTGCCTCACCATCTTTGTCCTTAAAGCAGTTGAGGGGTCAGTTGCCATTTGCTCTTCATCACTCTTCACATTCACTCTTGTACCTTTTGGTTCTTCTGGTTCCTCTGTGGCTTCATTACCGTCATCAGTATGACTCAACTTTAAAATACGACGCAATTTCTCTGCCTGTAATTTTTTCATCATTTTAGAAGGTTTCTCTTTTCCTGCCAGTTCATGTGAGATGTTACCGTTGCTAAGAGAGTGATCTGCTATTCTGGAAGTTTTATCTGTTTTAAAGTCTTTGCCATTTTCAACATCATCTGTAGCGGAGGAAATACCATTCTTTCCACAAGACTTTTTCGTTTTTTTGGAATTTTGTTTCTCCACTTTCTTGGATTTGCTGATGTCCTGTGTTTGAACAAAGGGTTCCTTCTTTACATTGGCTTCTTCGACACCTGTCAGTTTTTTGGACTTTTGTTTCTGCACTTTCTTGGATTTGCTGATGTCCTGTGTTTGAACAAAGGGTTCCTTCTTTACATTGGCTTCTTCGACACCTGTCAGTTTTTTGGACTTTTGTTTCTGCACTTTCTTGGATTTGCTGATGTCCTGTGTTTGAACAAAGGGTTCCTTCTTTACATTGGCTTCTTCGACACCTGTCAGTTTTTGGGACTTTTGTTTCTGCACTTTCTTGGATTTGCTGATGTCCTGTGTTTTAACTAAGGGTTCCTTCTTTACATTGGCATCCTCGACACCTGTCGTTTTCGTAAGATACTTGTTCTTACACCGGTTTTTGTTCTTCATCTTGTTCCTCCACTGCTTTCTGCTTAGCTTTGTCTCTGCTTGACTTTCGTTTTTCTCCAACAGAGGGCTGACTCCTATGTCATTCTTATCTTTTCTGGACTCTTGTGACACCTTAGAACCTGCAAATACAAATTGATGTGAAAAAGTCAGTAATGTTCACGATGGTTGGACAAATAAAATTAGTAGCACATGCGCTCACTTATTCCTTTCACGGCCTTCTTCATTAGCTTCTGCTTCTTCGTAGGCGTTTCAGGTGAATCTACTTTATTTTGCTGCTTCCCTTCATTATCAGCATTAGACCTTCTTTTACGCTTTTTGCACCTTTTCTTTTTCGTTGTCTGGACTACAGGAGAGGCGTCTTTCTCCTCGTCACTATCCTCAAAAACGTTCTCAATTTCCCAGTTAGGAACTGACCCCAGCGTTTGCAAGGTTCTCAAAAGACTTTTTTTAGCCACAGACTTATCCTGTTGGGATAAAAGTGCCAGGTAAAAAATTAAATTCAAGTGACAAACCTCTATTAAATAAGGGACAAAAATAATAATACCTTGCAGGGGGCAGGAGACACTTTAACAGTGTGAGATGCTCCATCTGCTGATGGAGAATCAGTCCATTCCTCTTCAGCAAACATGATTGCAAACGCTGCTAATATTGGATAAACACAGTAAACCGTGATAATAAGTTTATAGAGTCTGCAATCTAACAGTGAACAGTTATCTGACTGCTTATCTGGTCAGATGGTAAAACTGATCGTGCTGTTGGAAGAAATTCATTTTCACACATCCCCAAAACATACGACAGTAGTATTCCACAACTAATTTCAGATTAATTTAGGTTTACGCCGTACTTACATCTCACTCCCTCTCTCACACGCGCAAAGCACCGACACGTGTTTTTGTGTACATCCGGGTTACCGTGACAACTTCCTTTCTACTGGGATGCTGCTGTTTAAATGCACTCAACCTTTCACTAGTAAAGGATACATGGTCCATTATATTGCCAGAAAGTGAGCGAATTTGGAAGCTGGTTAAGTTTAACTAATGAACTGAAACCAATGTAATTACCGGTCTATTTTTTTTTTTTTTTACAGTCTATGGTTTTAACTCTTACAGTTTTTGGTTGTAGCAATGGGGAGTCTAACTCGTTTCCGCGAGACGGTTCTTTCGAACGGTTCGTTTCAATAAACCAGGATTTCATGACACACGGTCCATGGGTAACGTTAGAAAGTGAACGAATTCGGACGCTGATTGCATCACGTTTAATTAATGAACGGATAAATTCATTACCGTATTTTAACATTTAGATCCGTACAGTCTGTTTGGTTGTAGCGAGGGGGAGCCCGAGTCATTTCCGCGAGTCGGTTCTTTTGAACAGTTCGTTTTAATGAATCAAAATAATATCAGTGAAACCAGATCATTCTGTTCACACTTCCCACGGCCGTGTCGTGTGTCCCCATCACATTTTAAGCAGATTGTGTGTAGTCTCGAATCACCTATCATCAACAAAAGAAATGTGCGAGAGTCTCTATAAAGTTATGACAATAGCGCAGTAGTCACAGATTTTCCTCTAGATGGCGCCATTAGTTTTCATTTCACCCATCGTGTTTTTTATGAAACAACTGTAATCAAAAATCTGCCTTTTATCAGATTGTGACTACATTCGTTGCATTATTTATTGTGAGAAATCTAAATCTGACTTCTTAATATAGGTAGACCAGTGTCGCGAACCCAAACGACATAAAATGAGCCGGTTCATTTTAGCAAATCAAAAACACTAGCGGTTACTAAATTAATCTGACTCAAATATTTTACGTTATTACTTTCATCATGTCTGACTTGAAAATAACCAGTGTTGCAGTAAACGCTCACGAAAGCTAGTTAATGGTTATTCGCATGATGACAACGTGGTGAGTTTGAGTGATTGTTATTTTTTTTTTTTTTTTGTAATTAATAAATTATTTTATTCTTTGCTTCTGAAAACCTTATTTTAATCAAGCCTTGACAACGAGTCAGCAATCAACTGCTATTAATATTTCAAACATATGGACTACGGAAATAGAATAAGCTAGTTGAATGGAAATTTTGGTAATGTATGAATCTAAAAAAAATTCTCTTTTAAAATTCTTTGTTGTGTATTTGGAGCCTACTGATTTAAGTTTCTTTAATGTTAGATAAGTGTTTAAATTATCATCCAGCCCTCTTCTGTAGTAGCGCGTTATCACGTGGTTCCTGTTACTTTTCTCAGCGCTGAATGAGTTAATCCTTTGTAGTTAGTGCAGAAAGATTTTTACAAACGGATTATGTCATGTAACAATCATTTCGATTCTTAAATGTGAACGATTACACGTTTTAGTGCGCAGATATCCCCACAGAATGAACGCGGCTCTGTCTTCTTGTGAGAAGACGCCTTTTTGCTTTTTTTTGTCTAGACAACAGCTAACGTTGCTTGCTAGCTAGCGACGTTTGTCGCTTGATTTGTTCACATCCGTTACTGTAGCTTCAAGCGGAAGTGGTCGAGTTTATTATCAACAATGGCGTCGCAGCAGATGAACACTAACAATGCTCAGATGGGCGTTCAGCAACCGGCTGTTTTACAGCAACCGCAAGCTCAACAGCTCAGTCAACAACAAGATTTTGACCCCGTTCATAGATTCAAAATGCTGATTCCATTGCTCAAAGATAGTTTACAGGTTTGTTTGGTGTATTTCATTGAGCATGCGAGCTATAACAGTACTTGTTTGAGACAGAAACTAACTTTCATTTACAATTTTGTGTTTTCAGAATGTCATGACCATTGCGTCATTAAATTTTGGGCATAATACTGCTATTGACAACGGCTTAAGAACAACAGAGTAAGATCCCTATTCAAATTCTTTCTGTAGCCTATTATAATTAACAATTATAGAAAGATCTCGGGAGTGTGTGTGTGTATATATATTTATACATACATACATATATGTATGTGTGTGTGTGTGTGTGAAGGACTTCAGATGCAAAAAAAACTCAAAAAATTGCGTTTTTAATTCTACTCTTATCAGTGACATTTCTGAAAATAAGCCATTTCAATAACTGATTAATAACATTTTCATTGCCATTTAAGTACAATTACTGAATCTAAACATAGTAGCCTGATAAAAATGCTCATTTGAAAAAAAAACCCGTCAGGCAGACTTCAAGGTGTTTGCATCTGAAGTCTTCATATACATATATTACAGAAAATGTTATGGTTGCATAACACAAGTTTTATAATATATTATAAAAAAATCTATAATATATATTTCACCTCTCATAATGTAGGAAAGGTAATGATGCAGCAGTTCAGCGGTTTGACAAAAGTTTAGAAGAGTTTTATGCTCTCTGTGATCAACTGGAACTCTGCCTGGTAAGGAATTGTTGTGTTTCTGTTGAATATGTCATTCAATTATATGTTATTAAATTGATGATTTCGATTTTAAATCATGGCTCAACTTCTTAACATGAACACATTTATTTTTCTGCAGCGGCTGGCCCACGAGTGCCTCTCACAGAGCATCGACAGCACAAAGCATTCTCCAAATCTCGTACCTACAGCCACCAAGCCAGACACGGTGCAAACCGAGTCTCTATCTTACTCTCAGTATCTCAGTATGATAAAATCACAGATTTCATGTGCTAAAGACATTCATAATGCTCTTTTAGAGTGTTCAAAAAAGATTGCTGGGAAAGGTCAGGGAGCTTGTAATTAGTAGCTGGCAATTCTATTTAGCTTCCTTTTTTGTTTGTGGTTTGCATAACTTTGATGCTGATTGAAGAATATATTTTTTTGGTATTTTCAATTCTGTTTGTCTATTTACTACTGTGACAAATGTACTTCTACAATTAAAATGAGTATTTTTGAAAGGTTGTGTGTGTGTTTGTGTCTTATAATCTACTATTTTGATCTAACAAGCGACAGTACCTATATAGTATGGGTCCTATCTCTTTAGTTTCAAAACATCTAATTTAACTATTTTTTGTGTTATTTTTGTATATATATATACTGTTGTTAATATTAACTATTTATTAATATTTTGAATTAGCTTTTGTTTTCATATTTCATAATTAGTTTTAATTTATTTTTTTAGTAATTTAAGTGTTTTTTTAAACATTTCTATTTAGCTTTAACTTTTTATTTCTATTTTAGTTATGTAATTTTAGTATGAATTTATTTTATTTCTGTTAGTTGACAAAGCAAAATTGAATTTTTATTTCAATAAAAAATTTTTTTTACAATAACTCTTGTGGGTTAGTACTTTTACTGTACTCCAGTGATTAAAAAAAGAAGAAAAAAAGATAATTTGCAACGGATTTACTCATTGTACTGAAACCTCACTTCAGAGTTGTTGACTGCTTATTTTGTTACTGAGCTTAATTTTTACAAATGCGAACATAAAACCAATGAGCAACAACACAACCAGTGAGGTGAAGTGCACTATAACACCAGGATTCATCAACCAGATCAAATGATAAGTTTGTATTATTATTTTTTATACTGGATATGTTTTTCAAATGTATTCATTTGTAAGTATTTTGAGTCCCACTGTTCCAGCACAATAATTATATGCTGGATTATGTAATTCAATAGAGAATTTATTATGAAGCAGCCTCTTCGTTAATGACCTTCTTCTTAATGAGGGCTCAATGAAATTAAGAAAGTTGTGCAGTAATCAGTGTAGGCATCATTTTGGTCTAGTTAACTAAGAGCATTCGTGCCTACACATTATACAAACTGGAAATATTATGTTAGCACAATATTATAATAATCTATTATTAGCCTATTTTCAATTATTGCTTTCAGTTAAAGTGTCACTTGAGGCCTATCCTTATGAACTTTGCATAATTTTATAAACAACATTACCTTAAATGCTCATATTTAATTGTTGCATGAAAGATTACTATTATTATTATTCTTGTTTACAGTTTAAGTGTCAGTTACTGTAATGCCGGTTTAAATAATATTAACAAAATTACATTGAATGTTCCCTTTGTTACATAAAATTATGTTATTATTTATTATTATTATTTACAGTTTAAGTGTCAGTTAATGCCTTATTAACTTTGCATAATATAAACAAAAAATCATAATTGTCATGTCGTGTATTATTTATTATAGGCTACTAGTTAATGTAAGTGTACATATAAGTATGAGCGCAATAAGTAATGTTGGGATTACATTTTAACGTCCGCGGTATCACTTTTCTCCTTTTTTGTTCCCTTGTAATTTCACGTAATTCCACTTAATTCCTTTGGCGGCGCTAGAATATCCTCTGACTGATCGTCAAAGCAAAGAGAAGAAGTTGTTCTGCGCTCTGATTGGTCGTGCCGTTGCTCAGCGGTATTATGTTTGTTAATGCAACTGTCAACAAAGTATGATCGTTTTAAATTTCATTGATAATGTCATTTAGTACACTCTCGATGTGAGGAATGAAGAACAAAAAGGTGAAACCCTCAAAGGGTGTAAGCAACAGAAAAAGAGGTAAGTTACATTAACTTAGTGTGGAGGTGGTTATTTGTCGCTAATCCAACAGTCTATTAAAAGAGATTTGAAATCTCGTAACATTAGTGAGGACAAAAGCTGTGTCTCAACACTTAGTGAGCTGCCTAACGTTACTTAGACAGCATTTGTAGGACATCATTGGCGGGACAGTCCGTTTTGAGCCAGACTGATGCTTATTTGTTGTTTGTTGCGTCGAGGAATGTTTATTGAAAAAACTATTTGTAGGTTTAAAAATGACTTTTCTTCTTGTATGACCTTCATGTCTGTCTTATTCTCCACACTCTGCAGTGCTCAGTGATGTGTCTCCATCCACCAGTATTCCTCCTCTGGTAGAAGGCCAGCTGAGATGTTTTCTGAGAGTGACAGTGAGTAAAGTGCTGTGGACCATCATCAGAGCTCCTCCTGTGACTCTGATCAGGCTCAGATGGTGGGGAGAGTCTTCCAATGGCACCTTCTTCAGGCCTAGAGATGGACACGTTGAACAGAAAGGGGTCAAATCGACAGCCCGCTTTCCAGTTCGATGTGGACCAAAACAGCTGACGTCTTATTTGACAGGTTAGACTTGGTTGCTTGCTGTTACAGGTCTATATAGTGTATTTTAATGGTTGATTGTTGGCGGTCCCATTTTAGAGAAACACATTAAGGAATGTTGGTTCACCCAAAAATGTAGATTCTCTCATCATTTACCCACCCTCATGCCATCCCAGACATATCACTTTCTTTCTTCAGATAATCAAATAGAGGATTTTTAGGAAAATAATAAATGGTTCGTATAATGCAATATAATGGGTCCATATAATGCAAGTGAAATTTGATGCTTGAAAAACACAGCGATTATGACAGTAATTCATACGACCCCAGTGGATAAATCATCGTCTCCTGAAGCATAACCCATTCACTTGCATTATATGAACTCATAGAGATGGATTATTTTTCTTAAGTTCAGAAGTGGTTTAAAAAAAAAGTTTTTTTAAGTAAACTTAAGAAGAAAGTCATAAACTTCGGGGATGGCATAAGGGTGAGTAAATGATGAGAGAATTTTCATTTTTGGGTGAAGTATCCCTTTAAACTTATGATGCATAACCTAATATAATATTTGTTTGTTCACAGATATGGGCTCATTGGTGCTGGATGTGCTTACAAAGGTTGATCATTTGCCTATAGCTCGAGCTCAAATCCCTGGCATTGCCCGGCTCTCTTTGTCTCACTCCATAAATGGATATTTCACACTTGTTTCGCCGACTTCAGAAAAACTTGGCGAGCTTCAGGTTGGTGAGATGCTCAGCTGTAAGATTGAGCTCAGCTGAGTTTGCATTTTTTCATCTGATCAAATTCACTGTTTTTTGCAGAAGTTTTTTTTCTCACTCTTTAGGTTCTCAGTTTAATTATGTGTTATTGTTTCACGTGTACTGTAGGTTATGCTTGCCCTGGAACCGTTAACAGAAGGATATGACAGCAGTAGTTCAGTACCCACGACTGATATGAGCCTCGACGCACAGGCTCCTGGAGTAAAAAGTGACCAGAACATGTCTGTATTGCCATCTCTGGATCAGGCTCTCCCGAGGGTGAAGGAGACAGCTGGCAGCAGCTCCGGTCACATGCCCAGGTTTGTTTTTATGTTTTGGATGATTTGATTGTTTAATGAACAGTGTGGGGCAAACTAGATCTCTCAGTTGACATGCTGTTCTTCTACTGCAACAACATTCATCCTTATGACTGATCTTGTAATCAGTTTCAGACTTGACTGTGGTTTATGAACAGACAAGTTCAATGAAAATACTAAAAATATGGCTAAAATATTTAAATGATCTTATTAAAAAAAATATAAGATGTATGAAATGGATTATCCCCAGTGTTATTTTAGAAATATTTATATTATTATTATACTATATAATAAAAAGATGTATTAATATTTTAATTAGATTTTATGTGTATATTTTCAGATTTAATTTTCAGTTTAGTTTCTTTAGTTTTTTAATAAATTTTAAAAAAAACAATTATTTAGCTTTAATTTTTTATTTAGTACTTCAACTTCAACTTATTTAATTTCAGTTAGTGGCCAAGAAACTTAAAGGTGCTATATGTAACTTTTCTTCTAAAATGAATCCTTTTTTTATTGCGTGTGTGTGAAGGGGTTGTAATCACACATTACAATGATCCACTTGTCGGGTTTTGCCATTACCTCTGAAGGCCAGTATTCCTATTTCTATGTGAAGTCTCCGGGTCGGATTTTCTGCGAAATCCATCGGATGTGACGTGCATGCTCGCTCCCGAGCCTCTCTCTTTTTTTATATACAGTCTATGCGACGGCACTGCAGCTAAAGACATGGAGTCTGATAACACCAAAAACGACCTGCCTCCAGCACAACACAGACTCCAACACAGACTCCAACACAGACTCCAACACAGACTCCACATAAACATAAAAAAACAAAACAAAAATGTATCTGCTGAAGCTCGTCAGGCCAAACATGAATCGGATCGACTTAGGACGAAAACACGGATCAACATCGGCAGAGCGTTTGAATTATGGAGAGACCTCCGCTATTTTTATTGTGATAAATTACAAGTTTTCAGATATGCTGAAATAAATAATGGTAAACTGTAATGAAATAGCAAGGTAAACTACAACATATATGAGACATGAAATGAATACAAAAGACTTTTCCAGGATAACAAAAAGTAGGTGCTTTAGGATGTAACATTTATTTTATGTACTAGATCGACTGTCTAAAGTCACACATCCCACTACTATCATATTGTTTATAATACACATTTCCAGACACATTCAGTACAGTAATGTTACTTCCTATGATCTTACTGTTACACTGAAATTGTTCAGTCTAGTTCACTAACCGTTTTCATTATCATATCATACATTCACCTATGTTGACATTGCTGATTGTGAAAGATACACGAATAGTTAGTTAAATGTCTTATGCTAGATAACACCACAAGTCGGCTAAATGCAGTCAATGTAACGTTATCATGGTACGAGCATGGAGCATTAGTTCAACGTCAAGCTGATAAAAGTAGCCTATTATTGTAATGTTGCAGTGGGAGTTTACATGAGTTTCCAGCATATTGTGTGTTGTGCCGAATTTCGACCCCCTGCCAAATTATTACGAAATTCGAATTCGAAATTCGGTACAACACCGGTACCATGAGTGCTCGCTCTTGTGATCGAGCACGCGCAAGAGCACGAGCGCTCTTGTAAAAATTGGTTGCAATCTGAAACATCACCGATAGAGGCCGCTAAAAGATACATATAGCACCTTTAAGTTTCTTAAGTTTAATTTTTTCATCTAATATTTTAATTTTATTTGTTTTATTTCAATTAATGATTTTTTAACAGATTTGGTTTTAATTAACAATAATATTTTTTTCCTCCAATATTCTTGTTTTAGAGGGAAGGATTACTTGTATTTTCAAGAAAGTGGTAATATCTTGCCAGTGTCTTCCACTGGAAAACCTAAACCTGCTTCCTCTCAAAATCTCCAGGCTAATAGCCATACACCTGTCGACCTTTTGTCAGGTAAAACACATTAACTTGATTCACTGAATTTAAAACATCATATTGACATTATTGTTGAACACAGCAAAAGTTTGTATGAAATACTTTGTTTTAGTATAGAATAAGTATAAAATTTAGAATAAGTAATTTTAACATTGGTCAAATTAAAAGATCATCTGCCAATCACTAAATTTATATTGCCAAATTCTGCTGAGTTTTTCTTTTAAATTAATTTAAAATATTTTAACCTACTTTTTTAATTGTGCTCAGATACATACATTTGATTTATTTTGTTGTATTTTCCAGTGCTTCTGGAGCGAGGTAGCAAACTCAGAAATGCCATGGTGGTTTCAGCCTTAAAGTCTGACGTGGAGTCAGATGTTCCTATGAAGGACGTTCCCTCGGCCCTCTTTAAAGACAGCAATGACGTTTTGTATGATCACTTTTATTTCATTTACATACCAATCAGGGGTCATAACAGACAGCAAAATAGCAGAATGTTAATGATAAATAGTGTTAAACATCATCTTCCTCCATAAGGCCAGATAGACCCTCATCAGGACAGTTTCTGGAGAACATCCTTCAATCGGAATTCCACCATCCTGCTCAGGACCTCGAAGAACCAAGTCAGAATAGAGTCAACACAGAGGACATGGCAGTGGACTTGCTACTGGGAAGGTAGCTACTCTTACCTTTAGATTAAGTGAAGATAATGTAACTTTGCTCACAAATACTTGAAGGAAATCGTTTAGAGTGAGTTTAATGTTTTTGTCTGTGTTTGGAAAATATACGTTTCAGTATTTGTAATGGCTCTGTTCCTCAGTGTTAATGGATCTGTGCTGCAGTTCTGGGACGGCGAGGGTTCTCTCCCAGATTCTCTTTCTGATCACAGCTGTGTGCTCATGGACAGTGAACTCAACGACCCTCAATATGATCAGAGTCTTCTGGAAAACCTCTTCTACAAAGCTCCTGTAAGTCATGCAATGCAGAACAGCACACTATTATATGTAGTTTCCTTAAAGTGCCCCTATTTTTTTTTTTTCTCAATATATTACCTTTCATGTAGTGTTTAATAGCTGTTTGTGAATGTACAGTAAAAGTTCTGCAAAGTTTCAAAGATCAAAGGGCATGATAAATGGAGTCAATGTCTCCCAAAAGAAAGAAGCGATTCTGGACTGCCTGAAACGAGTCGTCAGTAATTCCAGTCTTACTTCCTGCACAAACATATGTAGGCTTGTAACAAATGTGCAGTATGCTCACATACTGTCTTCATTGGCTGTCTACGAACAACGTCTACTTTGACCCGCCGTCAAACACCGTAGTTCTATCTGAGGCTTGGAAGAGTTTGGTTTGTGTTGTCAACATGTCGAGAAGACACTGTTTTTTGCGCTGTGAAAGCAAATCCCCTTTGCAAGCACTTCTAAAGGATAAGGACTCAGGCTCGAATTGATACGGTAAAACCGACTCCATCTTTACTGTTCGTATCATTGTGTAGTGTGTATACAAGTGCTCAGGAAGAGCTGAAATCCAGATATGGTAGCAATAGACCAATCACATCAAACTGGGCCATCTGACCAATCAGAGAAGTGTAGGCACTTTGAGGAAGGTTCAGAGAGACTGAATTCTTTATCAATCTGTTTCTGACACTGAGTAAAGAGGTGATGCTGGAAAATTAAGGTGTTTGGATGCATCTAAACCTTTTGTAGGAGACCACCAAAACAAAATTATGAGCCTTTAACATAGCATGATAAGGGGCACTTTAAACATAAAACTTTGTAATTCTATATTTTTTCTTATTTCAGATGTCAAATGAATGTTTGGAAGAGGAACATCCGCAGAAGGGCCCAACAGGGAAGCCAGAACACAAAAGCTCAGCTAAAAATACCCGGTCAGTTGCACTTGCTCAAAACAAGGCTCAAAACTCAATATCCTGAAGATAAAAGAAAAGCGTAATAAAGCATAATAATAAACACATATGTAAATGTTTTCACATCTGTGTTAAGGTACATAATAAAATACAATACATTTGAAAATAATTTGTTCATATCTGCATATCTGTTCCTATGTTTTTTGAAGGCTTGATTGTGATGATGTGCAGCATTCAAAAGCAGGAGATGATCTCTCTGGACTTAGCATTGATAAAATATCTTTGCTTGGAGATATTCATTTTGCCAGGCTTACTATCAGTGAGTTAAAAGTTCCCACTGACAGTACTTCAAGAAGTCTTTCTAGAAAAGGAAGACCACCTCGTCCCCTCACCACAAAGAAATGGTACGACATTTAGAATATTTCATATCAGATAATATAGATGGCAGTGGCTAGAAATTTGTTTTAGTGTTTTAAAACTAACCTAACTTGTAATTGTCCTGTCCATCTAGCTTTTATATTGTAGAATACCTCTTTCCACTGGTCTCTGCTGGATATGAGGATGTTCAACAAGTACCTTCAGAGATTACAAAAGTTGTCTCTAGTAAAGTAATAGAGGGCGGTGAGTGCATTTGTTTTAAGCCGGGTGCACGCTGTGCGATTTTGGCCGCGATTTGGCCGTCTGAGACTAATTTTGCAAATCCTAAAGGAATCCTCTGATCCTAGGCTAAAATCTGAAGTCTTTGATTGTTAGTTTGATATGTTCATGGACAGCCGATTAATGACCGTTGCGATCAAATTTGACCTTGAAATTCTGGCAATGTCAGATTTGACTCACAGTCCTGCAGGGTGACTTCTCTTACGATGACCGTCAAATTGAAATTGTCTCGTTTTTTTTAAGACAAGCCTTGACCAAAAGTAACATTAGAGATTTCTTTGTAGCCACCATTTCAATCCCGCACGTAATGCAGCCCACTGTCACCGAACGTGTCATTGATTAATGGTATAAAACTCCGCACAAGTTTTCTTGAGTGCGTCTGTTTTTAACGCGTCTTGACTGTCTGACATTAATGACAACTGAGATCGTACAGTGTGACATGGATTACAGCGATGATCATGTTCGTACTACAGTCTGACAAGCAACAATCGTGAAGGACTATTATAAATCTCACAGTGTGCACCCGGCTTTAGGTAACTTTAACAAAAGAGAGTTTAACCAAGAAGTAGTGTAACGATCTAGTGATTCTTTTTTTTCTTTTTTTCTTTAGTGGTGACGTTTCAGCACCAAAGTTTGTTTCCAGTGAGGTTCAGTAGGTCGTCTATTAAACAGTGGTGGGAGATGAAAGTCACATTCAAGATCTACTCCAGAAATAGCCTTCAAAAGACAGTAAGTGCAGTGTGTGACAACCACTAAATATACTACACACCTCAAACAAACCTTAAAAAAGCAACGGCTCTTATTTGTCCTGTTTGTTGTTTAGCCCATTCTCATTGGGTCAGCAATGTTTCCTCTGAGATCTATGATGCAGAGTGAATCGCTGAGCATTTCTGCTGCCCTGCCTGTTCAAAGGCCGGAAGGAAACTCCGATAAACAGGCAATTGGTCCTCTGAAGGTAATGCATCACTCATAAGAACCAAATCTAGAAGATTATATTAAACCCAGCAATTCGTTCCCCACATATTCATTCTGTACTTCACCATGTTCTTTGTTCGTAAAGGTTTCATTCAAATTAGCGGCAGACAAGAATGATTTCTCCACCAAAAAGAGACCTGCAAAGCGCATGCTGAGTCCACAAAGACCTCTCTCTTCTCATCTGACTGAGGAGCATGGTGGGCAGAAGGGCTTATGTGTGAGCGACGACAGGAGAGACCCATCTCCTCGTGCAGGTGTTCATCAAGTCCAGAGTATTCTGATACCTCCAACCAGATCTCGCTCCACATCACCACATGTCAGATACCAGAGCTCTCTTCATGAGCCTCTGCGTCAGGAAGTGAAAGACACTGAGATTTTGCTTCATATGTTGCTCATGGTGCCTGATGGGAAAGATTTTAACTGTGCACCCATGCAGCCCAATATCTACGTAAACTGTAAGCTCCTCGAATCCGATGAAACCGCTCGATCGTCTGTGAGCTGGGGTCATAAACATCCAACGTTCAGCTTTATTCAGGTTCGTGCACAATTGAGAATTGAGGAAAGTTCACAGGCTTTAGCCATATTCATCAGGAATCCCATAATTATTTTAAAAATGTGAAAATCTGGTGTATGTTATTTGTTTTTAACCTAATTTTTTACATGATATAGGTGACTCCAATTGCACTGACCAGCAGACTGTTGGAGAGAATGAAGAACAACATGATGGTCATTGAAGTTTGGTTGAGGGCCAGCAGCTCAGATCATGATAAACTCCTTGGTTTAGTAAAACTACCTCTCCACCAGTTCTACATGTCCTTCAGGTAGGTCTAAATATATATATATATATATATATATATATATATATATATATATATATATATACATACATATACACAGTATAACATATATATATATATATATACATACATATACACAGTATAACATATATATATATATATATATATATATACATACATATACACAGTATAACATATATATATATATATATATATATATATATGTTATACTGTGTATATGTATGTATATATATATATATATATATGTTATACTGTGTATATGTATGTATATATATATATATATATGTTATACTGTGTATATGTATGTATATATATATATATATATATTATATTTATAACATTATCTATATGACATTTGTTACTATATTTATGTGCAGTATATTAATTATAATATTGTTTTAATTATTATTGTATATTCTTAACATTTCGTATTGCAATAAATATGTGAAATAAATATATAATTATTAAAATGATCATTATTAAAATTAGAATTAAAATGAAAATATAAAAAATAAAATCTAATTAAAAATTTGATTAATAATATTAAAATTACACTGGAACATACTTTTTCTTTTTACTTTGTCTTCAGAGACCCTAAGATCTCTGAGCTGCTCTTGCAGTCTCAGTATCCAGTGGTTGGAGTGGACAGTTATATGCCCGTGGTTGACGTATTCACCGGCAACACTCGTGGAAACCTAAGGGTGTGTCTAGCAATGGGTCTAGCACAGCAGATCACGGCACTGCAGCGAATGAGGGATGACGAGCTGGCCTGCGTGTCACCACTGCCTCGACCTGCACACATGTTAGACCACCGGCCACATGTAGAAACCAAGGCTAGTTCACTTTATAACTCCTGAAAGCAGCACTGATGCTTAAAAATAAAGCCGAAATTGTTTCTAAATCAATGTTCTTTTAGGCCAGCACCACTGCAGATGTTCTGCGTGAGCATGTCTTCATGATCCGAGTAGAGAGAGTGAAGGGTCTGACGCCTCTGCAGTCCACAGTGTGGGGAGAGGCTGACTGTTACATCCAGTACTCCTTCCCTGCACAAAATGAGTCGAGAGAGGACATGGACCCACATGTTGTTGAGAGCAGTAAGCCGTTTTCTTGCTGACTGTATCAAAGAGCTTTTAATCATGTCTTTCTGTTTAGCTCAACCAACTTTCTTTTCCACAGATGTAGACATCAAGGCATACCGCACTGAGACCACTCTCTGTGTACCTGACCCTGTGTTTGGACATAATGAGACTCATGTCCTACTGGCTCCTCCTGACTTCCCAGTGCAAAGAATACTGCTAAGCTCACTGGCCAATCGGGGACTGAGGAATGGAGGAGGAGTGCAGTTTGAGGTTTGGTGCAGGTACAGTAAATGTAGAAATTATATTTCAGTTTTAATTTATTTATTCTTGGACACTTTTATTTACATTTTAGCATTTAAAAACATGTTAAAAACAACTCTTTTGTTTATGGCAATATTTGTATTAAATTGTATTCATTTATGTTTGCCATTTTAGCATTTTAAAGCATGCCTCTTATTTGGCAATATTTAAATGTATTCATTTATTTATTTGCTTTTACATTTTATCATTTAATATCTAAAAACTTATATCTTTTTTTGGCAGTATTTTAATGATGTCTTTTTTTCCTTTTTCTTTATTTACATTTTAGCATTGTCCCTTATTTGAAAATGTTTATTATTTAATTTTATTGATTCGTTTTTGTTGTTGTTGTTGTTGTTGTTTACATTTGTAGCCTTTAAAAGCATGTCTCCTTTATTTGGCAATTATGTGGTTGTTTGTTTGAAAAATATGACTTATTTACTGGGCTATTAATTTTTCTTTTAGGTATTATTATCCAAATGTTAGGGATCAGCTAGTAGCCAGAGGACTGCTTCCCATGTCCAAACTGTGTGCTATGGTAACCATGCAGAAACAGGGTCAAACCGATGCACAACTTTTCTCCCTCCCTCTGGTCCCAAGAACTGACCGACCTGTTGACACGCAGCCTCAGTCCCCTGGTAGTTGTGTGCCTAATTCATTTAAAACTGCATACAGATAGCATATAGTGTACAATATGAATTTGAAGCAAATGTAAAAAAAATATTTTAAAAAATCTATTTTTACTTGCCTGTAGGGCTGCTTGAAGTGAGCCTTCAGTACAAGTCTCGACCAATGAGGAGTGTCGGAGTGAAGAGTGGGGTCGTGCCGTCCCGCAGAGTGGTCCTGGTTGTGCAGGTGCACAGAGCAGCCGGGCTGCAAGCTGCAGCCAAGTGAGTCAATCTACCTCAAATCTGACCCTTAAGGTTTCTTAACAATTACCCCAAATGCTTTCCACACATCAATCTAGCTTGATTAAATTGATTTAAAGGGGTGATGACATGAGAACTCAAATTTGCCTTGATCTTTTGACATATAACGGTCTTTGTACCATTAAAACATCCTGCAAGTTTCATAGCTTAAAATGTTCTCATTATAAATAGCATTTTATATATAGCATTTTTCTATTGTTTCTCAGAGTTCTTGCAGATACAGACAGATCGGTGCAGTATTACTCTGAAGTGGGGCTCAACTCCTTCATCACCATGCAGTTGTCCTTCCTGCCGGACAGTGAGGTTCGAAGCACACGTGTGGCGGCCAGAAGTTTCTGCCCAGAGTTTGAACATCACGCAGAGTTCTGCTGTAACCTGCTGGTGCAGAGAGACAGAGGGGAGAGTGTCAGTCTCGCTGAACTCCTGCAGGAGGCAGTGGCCGTCTTCACCATTTACAACAGAGACACGCGCAAAAGTGAGTTACCCACAACTTGGAAAGGTAGACAGATATGTGGAGATGTCATTTTGTCATGACACACTTCTGTCAAGGATGTTTTGATACCTTTAGGTTACAAATGACTCCACAAAAACATGACAAGCAGCCATTCATTATATTCATTATATAATCCCATCTTGCAAACTATGTGTGTGGGTGTAGTTCTGTTGTAAGTATATTTAAAAAAAAATGTTTTTAACTAGCAGGCAGGTTTTGTATGCCAGTTCAACATATCACTGTATATTACATTAGTGGTTCAGATATTATTTTTTTGCAAAATATATTTTTTGTTTACTATTCTTTTTCATATTCATTGTTTATTAAAACATTTTTTATGTTAATCAAAGTTGTTTTTTTAAACCTTTTTTTTGTCTTTACACTTACTGTTTACTATCATTTTAACGTTTACTTTTTAATTACTAGTGTGATCACTGCATTTCAGTGCTATAAATACTATGTACTGTAAGTTTCTTTTATCTCATTGTAGTGGTCGATACAACAAGATTGAAGGATGCTGTTTTGGGCACTGTGAAAATTAAGCTTGCAGATCTGATTCAGAAAAGAAGGGGTATGAAAGTATTGTATAATAATAAGATTTTTATATAATATTATTTATTTATTTATGTGCTTTGTAGCATTTAGAAATGTCACTTTTATTTGCCGTTTTATATTTTTTTTTTATTTAATAATGATGTATTTATGGTATGAAAGTATTGACTATAGTATTTAAATGTTTGGTTGATTTTTATATTTATATAAAATAAATTTATATTTTATATTTATAGCATTTAAACATCTATCCATTTTATTTGGCCATGTTTTTGTTATTATTGTTTTGTTTGGATATTATAAATGATATAATATTTGGAAAAAATATATTTTTTACAGGTATATCTGGCTGGTACAGTCTCTCTCTGCCTCAGAGCACAACGTCACCTCACACTCTGACTTCAGCAGGAGGGCTTGAAATCTCCATCAGTTTTTCCCATCATGCAGATAGGGAGCGAGTCATCAGTTCGGCCCGTGGACTCGGATGGGACGTGGGGCAAGACAGTGAAGATGAGGCCGATATAGAGGACGAAGATACTTTAGAAGAAAGTACAAAGTCTCTGGCATTATCACTTTCCATGCCTAGAGTGTGGCTGCCCATCCATTGCCTGCTGCTGCCAGGACATGAAGACTTACAGCGTTCCACCTACTGCTACTACAGATACAAACTGTACGACCAGCAGACCTTCTGCTCAGAACTTAGACATCCTGTTCCAGAAGAGAGTGACGGAGAAGAGGGTTTAGCCACGGTGGCATTTCAGGGCAGCAGAAGTGTGGTGTTGAGAAGGACTCAACCCCTGCGCTGGTACCTGAGGGAGGAGAGGCTGGAGGTGCAGTTGTGGGTGGCCTTTGGGAAAGAGAAGAGAGTCCGGCCTCATAATGCTGATCGTCTGGTGGGCTCTGCCTTTGTGGATCTCTCTGCTCTTCCTGGGACCTTGAAGCACCATCAAACAATCAGCGGTAGAGTTATTTGATCTTTTGGTTGTTTACCTGTAAAGGGGCAACAATTTATTTTTCCCCTAGTTCACTATAATATTTGTCAAAAACTATTGTGATTTAGTTTTACATGACCATTTATATTTCTGTTTAATTTAAAGCAATAAGGGCACATATCATTTGGAGAGAGGATTTATTTAGAATTAGTTATTATTGATAAACTATTAATTAATTAATTAGAACGAAATCTTATAATACTTTATAATATAATACTATGCTGGCATATTATATAATCATTATAAAATCATTATACAGCAACAGTGTTACCACATGATGAATTCCCCTTTATTTAACTGAAAATTGCAAGACAATAAAATATAAAAAATACATTATCGTTCAAAAGTTTTGGGTCGGTAAGTAGTATTTTATGCTCACCAAGTCTGCCTTTATTTTACAAAAAATACACTAAAAACAGAAATATTGTGAAATATTATTACAATTTAAAATGATTAAAATAATTGTTTTCTATTTCAATAAACACTATGTGGCCAAAAGTATTGGGACACCTGACCATTACACCAGCAGGGACTGTAATGGCATCGCATTCTAAATGCATAGACATTAAGGATTTGGTACCCCCTTTGCTGCTATAAAAGCTTTCCTTTTTGGAGTGTTTCTGTGAGAATTTGTGCCCATTCATCTGGTAGAGTATTTGTGAGGTCAGGAACTGGTGTTGGACGGGAATGCCTGGCTCACAATCTCCGTTCCAGTTCATCTCAAAGGTGTTTGGTGGAGTTAAACTCATCCAACCATGTCTTTATGGACCTTGCTTTGTGCATTGGTGCACAGTCGTGCTGGAATAGAATTCCAGAATCTTCTGCCGTCAGTCTGAAAGTCTGGCTACACGATGGAATCAGCAGAGCGTTGGCGACTTTTACGCGTCATGCGCCTCAGCACTCGGTGACTCCGTTCTGTGACTTCACATGGTCTTCCGCTTCGTGGCCGAGTTGCCGCTGTTGCTAAATGCTTTCACTTTCCAATAATACCACTTACAGTTGACCGTGAAATATCAGCAGGAATGATATTTCACAAACTGACTTATTGCAAAGTTGGCATTTTAGATGGCATAACACTTGAATTCACTGAGCTCTTCAGAATATGTTCCTTTAATTTATAGGAAACTTAAGTTTATGTAACTACAAACCAGTATTTGGGCCAAACTAGCCAGCCCCTACTGAATGACAGCCTTATTTAGATAACCCTGTTACCCATCCTGGTGTATTTTTTACTTTAACCTATGATTATATAAATGTTTATTCTTTTTTATATATTACATCAATGTTTATTACTAGAAAATAATAATGTCACACTAATCTGGGTTTTAAACTTTATTTAGAGTGTCACAAATTTTGTTTACAGGGTTGAAAAAATGGCAAACTGCATATAAAATAAAACTGAAAATGTGATGTAAAATAAAACAGCACCAAAAATATTTGGTTTTGCCATTTTTCTGAAGGTTAAGCACTTCCCTTTTCTGACACTAAATTTGACTTAATTTGAAAGAGTTTCATCCTTTATTTCATACCCTATTTTGTATGTTTATGTTAGGTGCCTATATCTGAAGATTTTCCATGATATGTCCTTGCATGATATGCTCATATTTTTGCAACATTTCATCTCCTCTGGCTAATGGCTGTTTCTCTCTCATGGTAGGTGTGTATCCTCTGTTCAAGCGCTCTGCTGTAAACCTGAGTGGTGCTGCTGTCAGAGTCCATATCACTGTGACGACAGACTCTGTACCACATGAGCCTCAAGCCATTGAGGAGCTCAACAGTTCAGGAAAAGAGGAGGAGGAGGAGGAGGAGGAGGAGGAAGAAGGCCTCCCCACGACAGTGCTGTCTAGACAATCTCAGTCCCTCAGCAAACAGCTCATTAAATCAGCCGTGAGCTCTGATTCTCCACCATCCACAGAACTCATCAATGAGGACACGTTCGTGGCCAACATTACTGTGGACAGAGCCATGCATCTGAGTCTGAAGGGTAGAATAACCACAGTGATGTTTGATTTTTTTTTTTTTTTTGCTTCATTCTCATTTGTAAGTACCTTGACTTTATGACATTTAAATCCTGTTGTCATCCTCAGGTTGTCCTCTTGCTGAGCGGGGTGGAGGGTTGCCTAGTTGCTGTGTTTCCTACGCCACCACCGATGCCCCAGGCACAGTGACCACAGAATTGATCAAAGACAGTGACTGCCCTGTGTGGGACCATCAGCAAGAATGCCGGTAAACCCATTTAAACCCATGCAATTCTCATGGACATTTTTCACCAACTGTGAAACATCATAAATCTAAAAATTATATATACTGTATATGAAAAGGCTCCATGGTAAACACATGGCTGTTTCTTGTTTTCAGACTGTCAAAGGAGCTACTTTTGGATCCCCAGCAGTCCTTGGTTTTTAAAGTTTGGCATAAAGGAGGTAATGACACATAGCAATCATCCACAACACCCTAGCATTGTGGCGGCAACTTTTACACAGGCAGGCACCTCTCATATTTTCTTCAGAAAATGTTTTACAATGTATTTTCCTTTGCAGAGGTCGAGCGGGTGATTGGATTCGTGTCTGTGGACCTGTCACCACTTCTTTCAGGATTTCAGTCCGTTTGTGGCTGGTATAACATCACTGATTTCAGCGGGCAGTGTCAGGGACAGCTAAAGGTGTCTGTGTCTCCTCTGAGGGCAGTACATGACCTCCGGGCACAGAGACAGACGGCCCACGAGACTGTTGCTCCAGACTCGAGTGTAAGCCATTAATGGATTTGGTGCTCAGGAAACAGTTGTTGTTATTATCAATGTTGAAAACAGTTTTGTGCTACTTAATACCTTTGTGGAAACTGTGACACTCTACCATTCAAAAGTGAGTTTAAAAAAAGAAAGAAATTAATACTTTTAGTCAGCAAGGATGCATTAAATTGATTAAAAATGACAGTAAGACATTTAAAATGTTACAAAAGATTTCCATTTCAAATAAATGCTGTTCTTTTGAACGTTCTATTCATCAGAGAATCCTGAAAAATGTATCGCAGTTTCCACAAATATATTAAGCAGCCCAAACTTTTTTCAACATTTATAAAAATAAGAACCTTTATTAATAATTGAACATCAATAATAATTGATAATAACGGAGCAGCAAGTCAGCATATTAAAATGATTTCTGAAGGATCATGTGACACTGAAGACTGGAGTAATGATGCTGAAAATTCAGCTTTTTATTCCCATCACAGGAATCCATTACATATTAAAATATATTTAGAAATAGAAATTGTAAAAATATTTCAGTGTTTTTACTGTATCAAATAAATTCAGCCTTGATGAGCATAAAAGACTTCTGTCAAGAACATAAAAAATGCTTTATTATTCCAGACTTTTAAAAATAAATAACCTGTTTTTTTCCAGCTGAAAATGTTAATACTGTTGTCACACATGATGATGATGATGATTATGTCTTTTGCAGGCTCTCTTTAGTGCACTTCCACTCTGCTATCAAACAACAGCTACGTACCACAGCTTCCCCAGCCACATTAGTCGATTCTCAGAACAGAGGATCAACACACCTCCTGATCAGTTTGAAAGTCTGCTCTCTGACAGGTATTTCTTTTGGGAAAATGGTATCGAATCTGCCTTATCAGATTTACTCTCTGAAATAATACCTATGGGGATGTTTTGTCAGATCCAGTGTGACAGATCGCCACGACGAGCACATGGACAACATAAGAATGTTCCATCAGACTTTGCATGAGGGTGAGAAAGCATCTCGCTCCTTCTTGGCAGGAGATCCCCACCCATCCAGTTCAACACTCTTCTCTGCCCTCAGGTAGCCCTCACACTGTCCTCCGCTTCCTGGCTGAAAGGTCAAGATGTCACATCAGAGTCCATATGAAGTAAAAATATCAGTTTACATGTTCATGTATTCCAAATAACATTCAAAGACTGGCATTTAATGTCAGTGAAACCAACCATAAGTAATAGTAAAGACATGTACAGTGTTACAAATGATTTCTATTTTAAAACATTGTTCTTTTGAACTTTCTTTTCATCAAATAATCCTGAAAACAGTTTGAAAAATAGCAGCACAACTGTTTTCAACATTGATAATAGTAAGAAATGTTTCTAAATCATCATATTAGAATGATTTCTGAAGGATCATGTGACACTGAAGACTGGAGTAATGATGCTAAAAATTCAGCTTTGCGGGAATAAATTACACTTTAAAATATATTAACAGAAAACAGTACCTTTTAAATTGTAATAATATTTCACAATACGTTTTTACTGTATCAAATAAATGCAGCATTGTTGAGCGTAATACATTTAGAAATCTTCTGGACCCAAACCTTTTGAACAGTAGTGTATTTTACAGTCCAGCTGTCAGATTCAAAGGTTTACTTTACTATGCTATTTAACAGATTAACTAAGCAATAATATATGGATAAAATATCTATCACGATCAGATTTTTCAGGTTTTTTTGTGGACTGCCAATTCATTCCAATTCGTCTGTCATTTTTGATTACTAATGAAATGTGTGTTGCGCTTTAAGGAAAAACCTCAGCGAGTTAGATGATATTCAGAGATATTTCAGCCGGAAGTTGTCCACTCCAACATTCCCAAAGCTGAGTGAGCTGAGAGGAACCTCCAGGCAGGAAGAGCACAGGGACTCGGAGACGGACACCACACAACTCCTACTGAAGTCCAGTCAGCTGGTGGGAGAGGTCAATAACATCATTAAAGGTGAGTTGTTCTCTGTTTGTGTGAAATCCTGTTTATTTAGGGGCATTTTTTAATTCAGTATTTATTTTAAATCAGGCTTAAGTGAACACCAAACGGAAGAAGCACCAACTACCCTTAAAAGGTCCACCACTCCTGATGCGGTTGATGAGCATGTAACCTATGGGGTTGATCAGCTGATATTATCGGAGTCTGACAGCTGTGAGACAGAGCCACGCTTTCATAAAGACTCAGACATGATGTTGGAGGATGAAGATGAAGTCTCGCCCATTAGCTTTCCTGTTCATGCAGAGATCAGACAGTCACCAGCTCCTCCTGAAGCTCAAAAGCTCCATCACAGCTCCAGCGATCACTCATCTGATGAAGATGAGTGTAAAGAAGAGGATAAAGACGAGGATGAGCATGAAGAATTTGAGGAAACTTTGATACAGCCCAGAACACTCAATGAGGTCACTTCAGTCACAGACAGAACCAGTCCCTGGACCAGCCTGCTGTCTGACCCAGATATGGGATCTCTGGAGAGTCTGGAGTTACTGCAGCATCACGTTCATGACGACACCCTCCACACTCGAGGAGAGGAAAGAAACAGCAGAGAACTTGTTCCAGACGTTAACCCGCAGTCACTGATTGCAGAATCTCAAGGTATTGTTTCTGACTCCGATATCTGTGAAGGATCTGAAACTGATCTGGATACATTTAGGAGTGAAAGCGCTATTGCCACCGATCATTGGGAACAGCAGCCTTCTCCAGATGGAGACGGTGCTCTTTGTAGCATTAGTGAGGTTGAAGATTATGACCTAAGTAACAGTGGGCCTGAAGAAAGGGATGAGAAACCGAACTCGCCTCCCTCTACAGAGTCTGGTTCAGAAACGGATAATAAAAGTGTTGAGAGGAGAACAAAACCGTATCCTTCCAAGCTTTATATGACTCAAAACAGCATTTTAAAGATATGCAAGTTCTTTTGACAGCATATGTGGCATGCTGTTTATTACTTCAGAAAAATTTCATCATGTGCCTCAGTTTGTAAAAAAACTAAACACTTGCTTTAACACTTGCCCCATTGACTTCCATTATAAGTGAATTTACAATTGAAGTCTATGGGCAGTGTTAAAAAAAAAGCTGACATAGACAGGGAATATCCTTCAAACTTCTGTTTTTATTATACGATATCTTGGTTATTTTGGGCTAAACCCCTCATTGCAGTTCTGAATCTGTAGAGATTCCAAATTTCTTCTTGTCGGCGCACCATCTGGAGGCGTCCATGAGGGCTTTGAGGATGGCACCTGTCTTTCCATCAGCAACAACTCAATCTGTGAGTACTCTCCCATTTTTAGAAGTTTCAATAAAGCTACTGCTACCGTTTGGTAAAAGACTATATATTATAGATAAAACAACACTTTTTCAGATTTAATTAATGCACTTAATATACTTTAGTTCATACATTTGGTTGTTTTTGTTGTGATTTTTATTTGATTTGATTTTTTTTTCATCATTGTTTTCTGTTATGAATCTGCCAGAGAATATAAGTGTGAAGATTAGCCCCAGGACAATGTTATTTTAGCTTTTATTTATTTCCGGTTTATAAGTTAGTGCTTCAACTTCAACTTATTTCAGATCAATGCAACATCTCTAGGTGTCATTTAGTTTTTTAAAGGGGTCATATAATGCCATTTTTGTACAAGCTAATATAATTCTTTAGGGTCTAAATTAAAAGTTTGTAATATACTTTAATTAAAAATTCTCATTAGTATTGTAAGAAAACACTTATTTTACCTGGTAAAAAACAGCTCTGTTTTCAGCGCGCCGTTTCAGTGCATATGACTTTAAATGAACATGAGCTTTGCTGACTCCGCCTCTCTGTTCTGTGCGTACACGTTTGTAACACAATAACACAATAACCATAACACGTTGTTCAGTATAAACGTGGGATTATGAATTATATTGAGAACGTCATACATAGAAAACATGCCGTAATGTACCCTGAGTGTAAACCTTAGACGCATTCATTGTGAAGCGTGCAGCTAGCGATTTACAAGGATTAATATAAATATTAATATAAAGTTTAATAAAATGTTACACTCACTTCAGTTCTTCTGGAGCAGCTGCAGGAACACGAATATCTGGTACCGATCCTTTCATGAGCAGCTTCTTAGCAAAACCAGCTTTATACTGACCCTCGTTTATAAAGCAGTCTGGTGTGTGAAATGATTCACGCAAACATGAGAGCATTGACGTTGCTCGTGGGGAATATTCCCTTCGAAAACAAACTCAGCCACTGCGTCTTCAGCGGTTCGGATTTAGGAACATTAAAATGACAGCTGTGTTCGTTATTACACCCAAGAACAGAACACCACAATCGCTTAGACGCCATTCTGCTCATAGACAGTGCTCCTGCATATCAACAATGACCGCGCCGGTCCGCGCAGACTATGATTGACAGCTGGCTCACGAGCGAGGGCGGGTCTGTGTTGAAACCCTTCTGTCAATCAACAATCGTGGGAGGGGCGTGCGAGCTTCTGACGTCACAGGCTCGAACGGCTCGATTTGAGGCAGGGGAAAACATGTAAGGAGATTAAAACAAAACCACTGGATGGATTTTTATCATTATATGATGGCTGTGTACAGACACTGCCAACACACATTTCAGTACAATCAACTTGTAAAAGTGCATGACCCCTTTAACTATTTATTTTATTTTAGCTTTATTTAAATTACGGAAATTTGTTTAATAGGTTTAGGTTTAGTTAATGATAATAATCCTGTGACCCAGGATGTTTCTTTTTTCTTTTTTTTCTCCTTTTTTTTTAGTCTGTCTGTTCGCCCATTCATTCATCCATCCATTCATCTGATCTGTTGTTCATATACAGTACATTCCATCTATGCCTATACAAAAACCTTTTGGGGTCATTCTAGGCATCAGTCAGTAGATATGAGTGAATACATTTTCAAATGTGGTCCATAATGACTAACTTTTATATGTGAATACAATCTCCAAAATTTTGGTATGCTTTCTTATTTGTAAAATTGTTTAGTTTAATTTTTTTTTAAACTGTCATGATTTGGTTATTCAAAATTCTTTCTTTTAGGAGACTTTAAATCCTGTAAATCTATATCGAAGAATGCCTCGATCAAGACCCAGCGTCCCTCCATCACAGAGGAGTGAAGAGACCAAAAGAATTGCAAAAATATTTGCTTCAAATTTTACAGAAGGAAGTTAGTACATTCTTCTGATTTATGTGTGCTTGCTTTTAATTTTGTGCATGTGAATTTTTGATGCTTATTTATTTCTTACGTAATGCAATATGGCTTTCTAACAGGAATTTTGGATAATGTAAGCATTAAAAAAGTTGTTTATTTACAGTAATAAACTATTTTTGTAATAAATAATTTTGTATTTCCATATACGGGTGATTGTTTATAAAGGTCCCGTTCTCACTGTTTAGTTTTACATTGTCAGTTGTCTGTGGCAGCAGGTAAAGGCTGTCAGACTGAGCTGCTCAAAGGCTTTAAGCATTTAGCTGACAGATGAGAAAATTGCCCAATTTGAGCTGCGGCAGACAATAGCACATACTGACAGTGATGTAACCAAAGTATTATCCAGAGACAAAAGAAGCCAACGGTCAGACAAAAGCCTCTCTTTAACCTCTCAGCCTGTTTAATGAGCTCTAATTAGAGAGATGAGTCTGATCAAGGAACTGGATCTCATGCTGACCTTCTTTTAAACCAGATGAATCAATTGACAGACTCAAAGCCATAGAGAATGGCAGCAAATTAGGCTAAATATAATAGATGAGAACTATTAACCATACCAGTTATTAACAATTTTACTACCTACCTAGTGTGAATCCTGAAATTACCAGTAGTTTATTTAAAGTGTAAAAGTAGGCTTTGATAATAGAAATGCAATATTTACTTGTATTTTTTATGGTGGTATTTTTTTTTTTTTATGTATATTTAGAGACCAGGCCAGTCATTGACTGATATACATTAAATGATGACCAATGAGACACATTTCTGAAATGAAACGGACATTAATTTTACTCCAAATTCATAAAACTATATTGTTTTTTTATATCACTACAGCTTTACTTGGGCTTCTGGTGAATGTTAGGTTGAATCTTGTCAAGTGGCTGTAAAGCAGCATGTCTTTGTGGCCATCGGTGAGTCTCCGGGCACTTACAAAAACCTTGTTTATTGCTCGGTTCATTTTTGGATATCAAAGTCGAGCATATATCGATACAGCCATGATGCTTTAGAGGAGGAAGATATGGTGTCGGAGATAAATGCGGATACTGGAAACCAGGCAGTAAGAGAACCGGATAGATGCCACTGAAAACATTGATCATGGCCGGTGAGACCATGAAGTCTGAATGATGCCTGAGACGGGAAAAACCAACATCTTGATTGTATATTTGTGCTTGTAGGATGAGGTTCTGGATCTTCTCGGCTTGAATAAAATGTCGATGGCATAACGTCTGAGAGTTTTGAAGTGATTCCACAAAATCTGTCAGCAGAAGTTTTCCTTCTGTGAATTTTAGCCAGAGATTCTGAAGAGTGGAAGACAGAAATCTCAATCAAGCTTTGAAATGATAGATGAATGATGAAAAATCTGCATTTCATGAATCATATCTCAGATGTACCTCAGATCGACTCAAGGAATGATTGGTCTTCTCCTTAAGAAGCTTATGAATCGCTCTAAGGCTGAGTTTCTGTTGTAAAGTTTCTGCACAAGTGGCACAAGAAGCATTACATCAGTTATACAGTTGAAAAAAACTGTCATATTACAAGCATACTCTCATCACACAGAAAACTTACCCAGCTTTCTCTGTTTGCGTTGCATTGAAGACACCATTTGACCAAGAATCTGGTACTTTTCAGCTAAGAGAATTTTAGAATTGTTCAGATGCGGCTGATGCGCTAAATTCTGCTCTGCGAGCCAACAGTTGGATGCCATCAAGATCACTTTACACCTCTGAAGATGCTGTAACTGCAGGCAAGTCCTTCAGATCAACCAAGTCATGTACAATGTACATTGTTTTTGTTTTTTTACATTTTAAATCTTTTTGGAGTGGATTATTTCATTAATATCATATAAATAAATTACTATATAATTTTATTATTACTGTATAATAAAATCACCCCCCAAAAAACAGATTCAGCATTCTTGACTGTGTACTCGTTTGGTACCTTTGAATTGATCCTGACAGTTTCTCGCATCCTTTCCTCGTCTTCCAGGAGCTCCAGAAGCTGAGCAGTGTTCAAACACTTGAGATTTAGCATTAGATCCCCTTCATGAGGCATTGCAGCCCATTTAGAAAGATACTGCCTCACACCCAGGACATGAGCTACTGATGCTCTGAGGTCATGGTGCAGTTGTACATCTTGTAACATGATCACAAGCTCTGGAGCGGTTGGTTACTAGGGATTTCTGAGCTTACACTGGAGCCAACATATACCAGCACAGTGCTACACATTCTCTTACACACTTTAGAAATGTAGATGAGGCCATGCACAAAAACATAAATTTAAGACCTCTGTGGGCCTTCAGCACCTTGGACAGCGCTAGAATATTTCAAGTAACCTTAGAAAAAGTTTAGAAAATATTACTTGAATTATTTGTCTTTGACTGTTTAGATATGAGTTATTCTATGAAATGTGTAAATAATCACCCACACCCACATTTACTTTCTGTTATGATTGATAGATTAGATATAGATTTTTTTTTATCATCATTTACACGTTTCATAGAATGAAACCTAGATAACTCATATCTAAACAGTCGAATATTTATGTATGTATTTAAGCGTTTACAAATTCCCTTTGTTATATTAGCAAATGTGCACATACATAGGACATAAAACTAGTATATTTATTATCTTAAAATGGATTACGGTCAACCCTGTTTCCATTTTATTTTCCCCTGATTTATATAGAAACAAAACTCATAATGACATCATCATCCTTTAAAGAAGTAAACACTGCAAGAACAATAAAGTGTTTCCTCTTTGTGGCATTTTATATTTAATTTTGTACTATTTTTTTTCCAAAAGAGTATGACAATAAATTGTCACCCTGTTACAGTGGTTTTCTCTATAAACAATCTAAATAGTTATTTTAAAACCCTCTTTCTAATAAGACCACAATGTAATAATGGCCAAATGAATTATAAAACTGTCAGCATTGTTATCGTCAACCCTGTTACTTTGCATTTAGTTATATTTTTCATTAATTTAACTTAAAATTTAAATATTACCTTTTGATATGTTAAAGGCACCCAATTGATAGAATGACACTTCTGATATTATTTTCCAAACAAGGGGGGAAGTATTAAGGATACGACAAATGCCTTCTAAAACTCGCAGAACAGACAATGCTCTGATTATGAAGAGCTTGAAATGCTGTATAAAAGTGTCTTTGTTTTGGATTAAATACAAATTTGCTGTCCAGTAGCACTTCCTTTATGAGGTTATGCAACACTTGATCTTCTTTCCCACCTGATAAACTGTCTCAAGTTTATATCACTTTAATCTTAAATCCTGTTATAGTTTGACTTCAAGAGATCCAAGCACTTAGCCACTTAGCCATGCAACAGGAATAACTTGTCATACTTGTTGTGTTCACACCATAGGTTCTTACCCAGGCATTACCACACATGCCCCCCATGACGTAGCTCAGCTCATTGATTACTGTTGTCCATGTCCTTTCACTGACTGCAGCCAGTTACCGCAAACAGTCTTTTGGAACAGATATAGCCACAGTAGGCTAAATGTGTCCATGCTAGCTAATCCTCTTTGCTTCTGTGATCCCAAAGAGTCTGGAGTCCTCCGGGCTTCAGAGACTCAAAGGTGTTTTCTGCCTGATGAGCGGAAGAGCATGCAACACTATGGCTGGCGATACAAATTATTGTTGCTCTATGTAAGTAATTACAACCCCTATACATACTGTAAGAAAAACTAGAAACCTGTACAAATAATGCTTTCTTGATTGAGGTCACCCACTTATGCAACATTTCATACATGTCAAATGCTTTGTAGTTGCATAAATGTGTGTTGTATACAAGATAAAACAATTGTTTAATTTGTTGATAATACCAATACGATGTATGAGGTTAGACCGATTTGTTTGGAATGTTTTATGTAATGTTTTTTGTTTTGGGGATTTTATTAAGTTGAAAATCAGTGTTATTTTAGTTTAATTGAGATCCTATATAGTTAATATTTTTAATTTGAATTTGTGTTTTCATTTTAGTTTTAGTGATTTTTTTCTGTTTTTGTCTTTGTTGTTGTTTTTGTCTAGTTTAGTCTTCATTATGTTAATACTTAAACTTAAACTGAATGAAAATAAATGTTGCTTTGGCTGAAATAAAATAAGTTAAAACAAATTATTTCAAGTAATACATTTTATGGTTTTAGTTTTAGTTGACCATAACCATGTCCATGAATCAGACAGGACCACAAATGTGATTATTGTTTTGGACCATTTTAGCTTAAATTGTTGTGCCTCCCCATTAATGAAGCCATTATTCAGACTATTTTACAACATATATTTCTCTGTTTATGGAAGAAAAACAGAGAGTTATTCTCTTTAGTGGTGTTCCATTTTTCTGTGCTTTATTAAAAGCATAGCAGTACATTTTAAAGGGGCTAGAATTTTCATGTAGCAATCGCTTTTTATGGCCATTGTGTGAAGTTGCGAGCTTATAACGAAACTTAAAAAAACGAGACCTTCTTCCTAGGCTGTCTATGAAAGCCTGTAGACAGATTTTTATGTGAAGGACTCGACATGTTTTTGCCGGGAAAATTAAAAGGATGAGAAATATGCGCGGTCCCGAGAGCATCACTTCCGCTCAATCACACGAAATGAATGTTTACAATGTCCAGGAAAATGCAGATAGAGCAATTCTGTAGGCTACTGTAATGTCAAGGTGTCATGCAAAGAAAATTGAATAATTCAAACTACAGTCTCATTAATTCAAACAGTCTAGTCTCAAATATACTTTATAATCAAACTATCATAACAGCGTACAGCGTAGGCTAATTTTAATCTCCTCGTCTGTCGACATGATGTCTGTGAATTGCAGAGCTGGTGAAAACATATCCACATCATCGCTACGATCAGATGCTTATACTTAACTGCTGTTTGCTTACCGTTTTTATTGTGTGTTTATTTTGTTTTTGAGAGGAAGCAGATATTTACATATCCATATAAACGTCCCTCTCAGCAGCGTCTAGATGTTCGTTAACAGTATGTCGCTGCAAAGGTATTTCCAACTTCTTTTTACTAGCAAGCAAAGAACAAAAAATAACTTGGCCGTGAGTACATCGGGGCTTAGAGCTATATCAAGCCTTCGTTATGTGTGCAGCAGTGCCAACCATAGACTGGTGCCAACACGAGCAGTAAGTTGCTGGCTGCAGTTCACTTAACAGCCACCGGTATTGCTAATAACAAGGGTTTCTGAATTCTACATACAGTATAGCCCCTTTAACCCTGAAGCTCTGTTGTCTACAGAGAACAGTGCATCACTTAAATGTGTTTGGGCTTGTGAAATGGCAGTGAGTGTGCTTGTTATTGCTGTCAAACTCAACTCTCATCTCTTTCTGCTGTGACAGTTTGATGTTGTCGTGGACTCTCTGAAGAACACTGGACTCTCTGATGTCCATTAAGATGTGTCCTTTGTTATAAGCAGCTCAGACTGAGACAGGACAGTCATGAGTGCTGACACAGCTAACAGGGTGGATCTGGACCCTGATTATCATGCTGAACTGTCCGACATGGTAGCAGCCATGAACAGACTGACCCCTCCAAACGGATTCAGGACCACCCCACATCGCCTCAATCTCTCGGATCGCAAGATGTCACTGCAGGAGCGATCAAGTTCTCTGACTGGCTTCACCCCACGAATAGCCAGAAGACCCACTATTGAATCGAAGCGGGTGTCTATCTCTGATGGTGATGTGAGTTAGGCATGAGATTTTAGACTTTCGCAGCATATTTTACCTCAGACCATCAGACCAAAATATGGCATTGGTACTGAAACTCATTATACAAGGGCTGGCACAATATCAGATTTTCACTACATGATTATTGTGGACAAAATAATTCAGGATATTATCGCAATTTCCACACTGAACAAAATCTGGTGTAGGATTTACTTTGAAACAAAGTTTACTCTGAAATTACTAGTAAATTTCATATACAAAGAAATGGTAATACATTAAATTATACATGACGTTTTGTAGTAGAAATACTGAAATAGGCTATTATCAAAACATATCATTGGAGTACGTTTATAACTGTTTTGATAATAGCCAATTTCAGTATAAATAAACAAACAATGCTTTAACTTTTCATTAATCTTTAACTTTATTTTTTAAGTTTATTTTGTGTCTTTTCTTGTTTGACCAAAGATTAACACACAAAATATGAGTGAAATGAAATATTGCTATATTTGTGACACCCCTAACAAACATACTCTTCTTCCTACAGGACTGTGTCCAGCTAAACCAGTACAAGTTAAAGAGTGAGATAGGAAAGGTTGGTTATTCTACTTAAAATCCTAAATTGTTTTAAATATTTATGATTGGTTGGCAAAATCACACAAGCATAAATATAAACATAATGTTATCTTTTTAACCTTCCTTTTTTTTACCCAGGGTTCATATGGGGTGGTCAGATTAGCATATAATGAAGATGATGACCAGTATTATGTAAGCAAATATGTGTTGTAAAAGTGTGGGGGTTTTTTTGTCAGCCTTTAATCATAACATGATAATTTGTAACATACATAGTAATTATTAAAATGTTATATTATAATGACTAAATGCTTACAAATTGCAATAAAATGGCATCATTTATGATAATATAATATAATAATGTATTGCAGGCTATGAAGCTGGTATCCAAAAAGAGGTTAATAAAGCAGTTTGGATTCCCACGTAAGCAATACACATTTACATTTTAAACTTGTGACTTTTTTCTTCTGAAGTTTCGTCTCATGTCTGCAGAACATTAATAGTAACTTGTGGTGGTTGTGTAGGGCGACGTCCTTCCAGAGAATCCATTGGCTCACAAGAGAATCTTTTAAAGCATTCTGGCCTGTTGGACCAAGTATATAAAGAAGTCGCTATTTTGAAGAAACTTGACCATCTTAATGTTGTTAAATTAGTTGAGGTGAGTTAGATCTGTACTGTTTCTTAGAAATATTTCACTATACAAGTCAAATAGTAGTTACTTGCTATAAAGTATAACTGTCCTGTGATATTTAACTGAAGGTTCTCGATGACCCGGCTGAGGATAACTTGCACATGGGTGAGTAATTCTGTCAGTCAGCTCAGCAATCTGCGATATAGAAGACTTTGCTTTTTACTCTTTGATCTGTTTTTCTAATTATTCTTTGTGTCCTTTTCTCAGTCTTTGAGTTGGTACCTAAAGGGTGAGCATTTTGACCTACAGTTCACCGCCACACTGTATGCTAATTACATTTTTGCTTAGTTTGATTTTCCTCTCATAATATGTTTCACCACCTGACCCTAGCCCAGTGATGGAGGTCCCTACAGACAGTCCGCTAACAGAAGAAATGGCCCATTTCTACTTTAGGGATGTCATCCTAGGAATTGAATACTGTAAGTTTCCCTAGTCTAGGGTATTTTATATAGTCTTGTATTTGCCAAATGGCATCTATAAACTGAGTTTTGGTGCTATCTTTGTGTTTTATTTTTTAGTGCACTATCAGAAAATCGTACATAGAGACATCAAACCCTCAAATCTGTTGCTGGGGGAGGATGGGCACATCAAGATAGCAGATTTTGGTGTCAGTAATGAGTTTGAGGGGAATGATGCTCTCCTGTCCAACAGTGCAGGAACACCAGCTTTCATGGCACCCGAAACTCTGACTGATCGGGACCTGAGATTCAGTGGAAAGGTGAGAAGACTTCTAGAATATTCTGGTTTACATACAGTGAAGACATTGATTATTTATCATTTACAATCGACTCTCATTGGCTTCAGGCTCTAGACATATGGGCAATGGGAGTGACGCTATTTTGTTTCGTCTTTGGAAAGGTAAGAAATTTACCAGTGTATTTATCACAACAATACAATATTATTTTTCAAACATAATTATTCAAATACAATATGTTAATATTTTGTTGTGCAGTGTCCTTTTCATGATGAATACATATTAGGCCTGCATGGAAAGATCAAGACTATGGCAGTGGGGTTCCCAGACAAGTGAGTCGCAAACACTGATAATAAACCATTTTACATACATTTATGTATTTGGCAGACGCTTTTATCCAAAGCGACTTACATTGCATTTAAGCTAAAAAAAAAAAATCTTCTTGGGAATCAAACCCAGTTTGGTGTTATTCGCACCATGCTCTACTGTTTGAGCAACAGGATGGCTTTTCTAAACCATGATAAGAAAACATGCAGTCAAACAAAATGCATTGTCACAAATTTATAGAAGCTTGTTTTCACCACAGAGTAAAAAAAAAGGTAATTGTGACTTTGTTTATCTCACAATTCTGACTTTCTCTTATTTCCATGTTTAAATATAAACTTAGAATTGCAAGATACATTTTTAATCAGAATCAAGTCGCAATTACCTCAAATACCGCTTTCATGCCGGAAACATGCATTCATACTAATTTATTCAGAAATAGTCTTTGTATTAACTACGGTACAGTCACAGAATAATTTAACTACAATTGTATCATTTTATTTTTAAATGAAATGGATATTTTTGGTGCTGGATGCTTATTAGTCAATACAGTGTTTCAAGTTTACACGTATCTTCTTGTGGAAGAGTGGCACTTAATGAAAATGCTTAAAAAATGTTTTAATGTAATCCTTAATGTTTTTATTATATTAATATATAGCCAAGATGTTATTTATAATATAGCACAGCCTCTTATTGCTTAGTAGTATATAAGTGACCCTGGACCACAAAACCAGTCACATGGGTCAATTTTTTAAAATTGAGATGTATACATCATCTGAAATCTGAATAAATTAGCTTTGTTAGGATAGGAAAATATTTGGCCAATATACAACTATTTGAAAGTCTGGATTCTGAGGCTGCAAAAAAATCGAAACATTGAGAAAATCTCTTTAAAGTTGTCCATTTATGTTCGCGATTGTACTGCATTAACTCACAAAAATAATTTTTATATTTACGGTAGGAAATTTACTAAATATCTTCATGGAACATGATCTTTACTTAATATCCTAATGATTTTTGGCATAAAAGAAAAATCGATAATTTTGACCCGTACAATGTATTATTGGCTATTGCCACAAATTTACCCGTGCAACTTGTGACTGGTTTTGTGATCCAGGGTCACATATAGCTTTCCAATGCATTACTATATGTACTCAAAAGTTATTATTTTATCTCTTTACTTAAAAAAGGTTGCATTTATTTAATAAAAAATACAGTAAAATCAGTAATATTGTGAAATATTATAACAATTCCAAATAACACTTTTCTATTTAAATATATTTTAAAATGTAATTTATTCCTGTGATGCAAAGCTGAATTTTCAGCATCATCACTCCAGTGTTCAGGGCCACATAATCATTCAGAAATCATTCTAATATGCTGATTTGCTGCTCAAGAAACATTTATTATTATTTTCAATATTGACGACAGTTATGCTGCATAACCGTTTTGTGAAAACCGTGACAGGTTTTTTTTTTCATGATTCTTTGATGAATAGAAATTTCAGAAGCCAAGCATTTCTTTGAAATAGAACCAACAATGTAAAAGTCTTTCTTTTCTTTTTTTTTCTTTTTCTTGGATAAAAATGTAAGGTTAAGTCCCCCTTATTTACTCGGTTCATTTGAAACACCCCATGTAATTAGTTTTGTATTATTTGCACAGGCCTGTGATCAGTGACGGGTTGAAGAAGCTCATTACCAGAATGCTGGACAAAGCCCCAGAAACTAGAATCACATTACCAGAAATAAAGGTAAAATCATAATAAAAGATTGCTTAAAATGTACATTTCAGTATTACTCTGTGTAATCTGGTCTCTGTGGGCAGTTGCACCCATGGGTGACGCTGGATGGCACGGATCTCCTGCCCCTGGAGGAGGAGCACTGCACAGTGGTGGAGGTCACTGACGAGGAGGTGCAGAACTCTGTCAAACTAGTTCCCAGCCTGTCTGCTGTGGTGAGTACATCTGAGGAAAAAAACAAGGAAAAGTTATTTTAAAGATTTAGTTCACACACACAAATGTATTCAAAATTATTTTACAAAATTTCTGATTTAGCCATCTATCAAGTCGGCAAACCAATAATGCTATAAATGAAAGTTTTATTCATGCTGCATGCTTTTGAAAGTCTCTTATGCCCAACAAGGCTGCATTTATTTAGGCAAAAATACAGTTAAAAAAGTGTCAGGTTTTGGTGTTGGGGAGGACTGATGGGCTTTTATTCGGAGTAAAACAAAAAAAAAACAGTAGGGGGAAACCGTCTGGTGGTGAGGTGAGGCAAGGCACATCATACGACGTCCTGGCACAAGACAGAGAATAAATAGGGAAGCAAATGAGGAGGATAACGAGGGAGGACGTGGGGTAATTGAACTGATAATCAGGTAATGAGGAGGACGGAGTCAAGACACTTGACAGGGGAGCACATTGCACACAGAAGCAAACATGACAGAAGCCATTTGGCCTGTTGAATGAAACTACCTCAACAATCTCTGAACAAGGCCCTGTTTACACCTGGTTTTAAGATGCGTTTTGGTCGATCGGATCATAAGTGGATGATGCTAAATACAGGTGTAAACTGGGTTTTAAAAGTTTTTAGCTTGTCCACTTCCAGAGGTAGTCGAAAACACATTCGACCGGATTGCTTTCGTATTGTAAACACTCATGTGGTCGAATGTGTTCGAACAGCCACAAAAGACCACCTACTCTCCGCATACTGACCTAATGCGTAAACGCTATGGGAAGCACACTAGCCAGACGGGATTTAAACTTTGTCGGCTGGAGAACCAAGTTTGGTTTTAAAACGAAAAACGTACCATGCACAATGTTGTCTCAATATTCCTGATTTCTAACAGATCTTGCGGCTGTCAGAGCAGAAACTAAAGCTGATGTTCTCAGTCTCCGTTCATATGTAAATTGCGTAGACTCTTCCCTCGAAGAAATCAGGACAAAAGTGGTTGAAAGTGGACAAAAGAGATGGATTAAAACACCAGGTGTAATCGGTAATGTGTCTCCTTCGTCTACATGTGATCCGATCAACCAAAGAGCATCTTAATACCAGGTGTAAACAGGGTCTGAGTTTCAGAGTAGGTTTAGAGTTGATAACCCCCCACCCAATACAGACACCAAAAATATAATTTTTTACTGACCTTACCCCAAACTTTTGAAACCCCAAATTTCAGATTCAAAGTAATTCGCATTCCATAAAATCTGCAGCTCAAAAGTCCCATTTTGTGGATCAAAACGTCCCACTTGTTGGTTCTGTGATGTAAATAAGTGTAGTTATTAATAACATGTTTTACTGTGCATATCTAAAATTAGTTTTTCACTGTATTTTAAGATCCTGGTGAAATCCATGCTGCGGAAGCGCTCCTTCAGTAACCCCTTTGAGGGCCGCAGGCAGGGCAGGTCCATGTCTGCCCCTGGAGGTCTGCTCGCGTAAGTCCACCACTGCATGTCATCACTTCCTACTGCATGCTGGTACTCAGTCAGAATACCTGTGACACTGATATGATGCTCTTATTTCTCTCCATAAATTCTGCAGGGATATGTCACTGTTTCGCCCTTTAAGGTATTACACAATAGACCTCACTGCTAATTTAAGTATTTCAAACTTAATGCTCATGTTTGAGTTTGTGTTTGTACTACATATAAATTTTTTGATGGTGTGTGTCTTCAACAGCAGAGGGAGTAACAATAACGGGAGCAGAGAGGGGGAGCTGGAAAACCTTATTGAGGATGAAGCTTTTTCGTGAATTTGCTCAAATCATTTGTCAGATTGGTCCAGGTGTGTGATTAGACTATTTTGTTCCAATCTGCATTGGAATTTTTTTTTTTTAACAAAATCCTATATAATGGACAGCATGATGTAAGGGTTTTGAGGTACCTTTAAAATAAATATAATGCTGAATCTAGTAATAAGTACTTTTTAGTAGAGTAATATTTGTGTTTCATTGCATTTAAGTGCCAAATTTAAAGAAAAAAAATATTTTGATTTAAATGCATATTTAAAAAGATATCCGTGCATTTGACATTAGCATATAATATGGCAGCAGCAGTGATGACTTTGCTGTGCAGTGGAAATCAGCAAAACTTTGCATGAGATGTATAGTCTGTGTTATATAAAAGGTCTTTATGTTGTCTTATTGTCATTTTGAGCTCTTGCAGTTATACTGGGTCTGTGGTATCACAGAATGGTCTGTAGTTTATTTAGCTGGAACGTTACAAATTTTTATTTTGCACCAATTGTGAGTTTGTTTTTCTTTCCTTGACAAAACTACTTACATACATACACAGCACACACACACACACACACACACATATATATATATATAATCCCATAGAAATTTAATGAAAATATATCACATTTATATTGAAGGGCTAAAACATTAGTCACTGGCAAAACATTATTTATAATGAAATATTTTTTCTTATAAAAATATGTATAAAATATATATATACTGTATATATAACATATCCTAATTATAGGCCCCTAGGCTGCTTTAGTGTGTGCACTATTAGTATTCACTATAAAACCCCAGAGACTCTGTGTGCCACTCTTTTTCTAAATAACTGTGTAAGGAAGATTGTATATCCGGATAAGAGCTCCATTATGGCCCATGTGTCAACATATAGTGAAGTTCACTGTTGATTCTCTTTAATGTTATGATGACCCCACTTCAACAGTCCACAAATGAGCAATGGTCTTTATTTCACTACAACTGCAATTTCAGGTTGTATTAAGAACTTAATTAAATCAAACATAGGCTAGTGTTTTTATCTGTGAAAGAGAATTTATATTAACTCTAATGCTTGTTGGCTAGTGTGCTTTGCTATGCGGTTACTAGGGTGTTCTAGGCATTGCTGGGGTCTCGGCGGTTGCTAGTGCACTTCAATTTAAATGAAATTCTATGGGATTTTATCCACACCATTTGAGTTTCAGCCCAGTAGAAGAATAATATGGCAGTTAGTAATAGCAGTACCACTAATTCACTTTATTGTTTAGCTGACATTTTAGACTGATGCAAAAGACCTGGTCTGATATATGGCCCATTACTATAATAAAACAATTTCATTTAAATATACTCTTGTGGCCAAATAAACTACTGGTTGATGCATGTGTGCGTAACTCAGTGTATACATTTGGACTGATGATCTGGAATCAGAAATTGGCTTCAGTTGTTATCTTTATACACAGTTCTTATCTTTACTGCCTGTACAGTGTCAGTCCATTACACTGAAGAGAAAACACAAATGTAAGGAACTGAAAGGAATACATCACTTTGTCTTACTAAAATTGGCCCTTTGTACTTGGCTTTGCCCTGACTAGCACAATGAGCTGCATATATGCTGAAAGAATATGAAAAAAATGGGCCACTGGAATTTACAATGTGGCTTTTTATATCAGAGCTTCAGTCTCGTGGGTAATACAGGATGCAGGCATATTCATTTGATTCGTATTTACCCACACACTTTTTGTCTCCAAAGTGCACAAAAAAACAAACTACTAAACATAAAAATGGTGTAATTATCATAGACCAGATAATCCCAGTGAGCTCAATTTTTGGAGGGGTTTATTTATTTTTTTGCCTTTGTGCTTATATATATATATATATATAAAGCAGAGATCGTAATAATAACAGAAAAGTGCAACACAATGGTTTTCTGCTTGGCACCTACATCTTTTGAAAGCACTTTACATTATGAAACCTTCAGCCTTCAAATCCAAACACAGTTTTCAGTTTTTAATGGCCATTTTATCTGTTGTCATTTGAGCTATTCAGAACAGAGAACATGAACAGGGTGTTCTCTTACATAACTCACATTCTCAACCAGTTGATAGTGATCTGACTGAATTTTAAATTGATTTCAATTTCTTCCTGAGTGACGCTTGACAGCAGTCCGTTGACTTCACTTTGTCAATATTCAGATTACAAGTGGACTCACCTAACATATGGTAAGCATCCATGTAATAACCTGCTGTCGTATTTTCCTGGGTGTGCATTTCAAATTGCAAATAATTTAGTGTACACTAACCTAAGGTTACTGTACTTTACTTTTGTTGACTTTGTAAGCCAATATTTAGAGCAAATATTTCTAGAGTACAACAGATCCGGTTCAAGGATTGGGTGACTTACTTGGTGGGGCATCATTATCTTGCAATGGTTGATTATAGGTTTTTGATTAATTCCAAAAGCATTTTTTGCAAATTAAGAATCATTCAATTCAAATCGTGATGAATTGTATTTGATTCGAATAAAATTAATTTAAATGATTTTTTAAAAATCACTTTCTCTAATGCATCTAGTGAAAAAAAAATAACTTTATTGCAACAAAAGTAATTTGAAAAAGCATTATACAGACATTATATATAGTTGAGGTAATAAGATCACCCTTGCAAAATCTGCTTAATGTTAATAATAAAAAAAAAAAAAGATAATTTTGTTTTTAATAAGAGCATGCTCTTTTGCATGAAAATTGCATGTTGAGATATTCAAACAACGTTTGGTGAAAATGATCAAAAATGCTGGCGGTGGCTGGCAATGTTTTTTTAAATCACTGATGGGAAAGAGTTCCTCATTCAGAAAACATGTTCAAATCACCAATGCAATGTCATAAGGCTGTACAGCATTAATTACAGGTTATTGTTGTATTTTTATTAGCAACCCGAGACGTTATAACATAAATAATCTTCCCAGGCTGACGGTTGGTAAAAACCGTGGATGTAGAGGTCAAAACCATTGGTAAGTGCTCTTTATAGTCTTGTTACATAATGATAGACTAGTGGAAGGGTTGCAGCCTCTTTTCCCTTTGGACAATTCAGAGACACTTCTGTTAATATTACCACTGCACTTCAATGCTTTGATATTATAAAGGCTGTTGTTGCAAAAAATCTAAAAGGCCCCTTTTTATTTGAATTAAGTTCATAAGCTCAAATGTAGGCTATATTTTTTTTTTATTAGACTTGCTCAGCAATATGCCATTTTTCTGTGCATTCAAAACATGATAGCTGAAAAACTGTAATCTCATATCTGATCATATTTGCTGCTTTAGTAAAAATTAAGATCATTATCTCATCTGAAGTGTGAAATATTCAAACACTAATTGTGGCCTACAGTGAAATTGATGTGTACGTGCAAAGTTACACACAACACAGCCAGTATAAAGAAAGCTTATTTAATGTATAATCAGATTTTGAGAAACAAAATGGGGATCATTTGGGCGAACACAAAAATGTAATTTGAATCAAACGAGAGTGACACAAATAGTGAAAAGTCCCAGTGCTGTTCAACTAGCTAGGAATGCCATTTGGCCAATCAAATTCGAGGACTGGAACTACAGTGCGTGTTGCATAATGCTACTGAGACAACTAGACATTAGCTTTAATATATTTATTAAATTGTCTTCAAGCTTTTAGATGCCACAGACCCCCAATATGATCAACCTAGTGCCATTCTAAAATGTAGAAGGCAGCTATATATTTTCATAAATTTATAACTTATAATGTGAATAATTGTTATAATTATGCATAAAATATTTTCTAAAAAATGATTTACTTTCTATCTTTTAACTTTATAGTACTGTAGTGTTAAATGTATTATTTATTTAAATCAATTGTTTATTTTAGTTTAATATTTTTATTTTATTTTTACTTTTTATGAAGATATTTTGAGAAATGTTGCAGTGTTTTTTTTTGTTTTTTGTTTTGTTTTGTCCATACAATGGAACTTAATGGACAGAACTGTCTGGTTACCAGCATTCTTCAAAATATCTTCTTTTGCGTTCCACAGAGGACAAAGTCTTACAGGTTTGAACTCCATGAGGGTAAGTAAATGATGACAAAATTATCATTTTTGGGTGAACTATCCCTTTAAATATGCATCTTTAAGTTGTTCACCTGAGTTTCATCTGTAACCATAAGGGCCACGGTTATAATTTAACAATGGTTTTTATCGAAATATATATCTCAGCATCTTCTGTTATTGATTTGGAACTCATTTCTACAATAGGCAGATGGGATCTTAGGCTGAGGCACATCACAAATCCTTGCCATTCGGCTTTATGCAGATGGTACAGTGTGTTAATAAATGTTCTTCTCTTTTCTTTCTCCATATTAAACTTTATGTGAACGCCCTTAAGGGCCAGACAATTGTACCTTAGAATGTCTCATCAGATGTTGAAATCAATTAAGCATTGATAGAATAAAATCTTCAGCTGGGTATAGCCTTATCTGAACAATTTAACCAGGGCAAACATGTTCAAATATTACACGCTTTCCATCTTGCATCCGATCATAATGCAGCAGAAATGGCTTGCTCCTATATAGTCTACATGACAGAGTCCCGATGTGAACGAGGGGAGACAGGTTTCCCTTGAATTTTAATGGTGTCTCTGATGTTCTGATGTTTATCTCTTTGCAGGTTGTTCTAGATGTCTGAACAGTGCCAATGGGAGAGGGGATGTTTTGTCTCCAGCCCTAGCAACATGCACCGGATTGGTGGATATGACAGCTCACGCTGCCTGCGATTGGCCGTTATTGTGGAGCATTTTGAGCAGAGACATTCATCTCTTGCTCTACTGGGTGTGGGTTGCTGTAGGAGGCTGCAGCAGAATGCTGAAAGAGCCATCAAATCAGGCTGTAAGTTTGTTTTACCTCCGCAATATGAAAAAGAAATAGAATGAATACAATGAAAGTGTCATTTCAGCTGGTACTCGTGCAGTTTATGTGCAGGCAGCCACACATCAGAAGAGATCCGAGTTTAGCATCAGCCAGATCCTTTTTCTAATAATTAGTCATGCTGATAATGAATTCAAATGGAAATGACTAAAGGCATGCAGGTTTGTCATGTGACCTTCAAAGGAAGAAAGTCAGCCATATATTTGCCATTTCTTCGCATAAAATAAGTTTGAATGCATGCATACTCAAAAGCCAATAATATGGTCCTTATCAAGGCACTGTATGTCAAGCACATTATTATAGTTTTGAGAGGTGAGCTCTGCAATGCAGTGCTGAACACTAATCATGGATAGAAGGTGCAATGCAGAGGAAAACCATTTGGTCTTCTTAAATTCAGTTGAGGATTCACCACGGTGTTTGAACCTGTTAAATCATTTACAATGCTGCTAAACTTCAGATTACAGTGCATAAAACGACAGGACTTGGAATTGAGCACACATTGCAAATATTAATTGCAGCATTTTGAGTACCGTAATTGTTTGGTTTTTCAGATGAGTAAATAATAGAGGAACAATACACACAACCAGCATTGACATGATGCATCTATGACTACTTGAGTTTGTTTTTTCTGTCTTTTTTATTGTTATACTTATTTTGGCTCTTGTGCAACTGCTACATAGTTATTCACATTCAAGATATTGTCACTCAGGATACAGCTAAAAGAAAAAAAAAAGAAATTGAAAGGAAAAAAGGCAAATAAATGAATTTAAAAATACTGCCAAAGACAATGTATGGTCCATGTTCTGAATCGGTCACGGAAACACTGATTCAGTAACTTCACTTGTTTAAACCACACGTTCAATGTGCATAATATGACAAGAAAAGCACTCATATATTGTTCAGAGAGCAAAACATTGCTTAACAATGTCATGGTTACAATTTACCAAGAAAAACGCCGGTACATTTAAGTGATCAGTAGTGTTTTTCAAAAGTCAGCCTAGCTAAAGAAAAAAACATTCCATGTCACAACGGCAACGCCCATAACAGATCGATTTATTGTTAACAACCACAATTTTGGAATAGCAAATCAAAACGAAAACTGATCAATTATAAATAAACGATAAAAAGCCAGTTTACTCTTCAATTATAGGAATACATAACATCCAAGATATAAGTTAATAAAGTCAAGCTATTGTATAAATACATCACCAGCATGCACAATATTGAATCATTGATAGTATCGTTGTAATTATCTGACACTGACGAAACAGTATACTTGGCAAGTGCAAAAATAAATTAAACACAGAAGTAAACCACAAACTTTTAAGCTGCAATATTTTTCCTAGTTTTTTTTTAAATCCAGATCAGTCTCTGCCTTTTCCCCAAACTGTCCTTCAAAAAAGTCAATGGTTCCAGTAGTATCAGACTGATTATGATGATTATGTGACAGTGACTGAACTTTATCTGTTTTGGTGCATTCAAAGAACACAATTTCATTCGCTGCACTTCCGTCTAATAGCTAATTGAATTTCCAGTTCAATCAATCGAGTGCAAACAAGATGATTCGAACAGATCAACTTGTGACTAATACTGGAACCATTTAATACTATCATTTTCCTTCGCACACCACCTAACCCTCTTTTGAAATGCATTTCTACGACCCAAAACATAAATAAGCAGCATCCCTTTGAAATACATCAGTCCATATGCCAGTGTGAGGCTGCCATTCCCAACCAACAACGACCGCTTCCGGCTGATTGACTGACATTTCAGTGGTTTTGGCAAATGTCAAAGAGAACCAAGAAGAGGGAGGCCCATTCAACTATATATATTTCTGTATATATTCAAACTAGGACTTCAGCCCCCCCTTTACCACCCTTGATATTTTTTTCTTTTAACTCGTGGAAAAATAAAGAACTGCTGCTGCAGAGGAAACCATGGCAAAAGCTGCTGCCAAAGTCCACCAGCCATTTTTATGTATCTAGATAGAGAGGCTGTCTACTTTTAATTGTTGCCCTCCCCAGCCTCATCGTCTTGCTGGTCACTCGTCCACAGTGTTAAGTTGTCTCGGAGGAGCTGCATGATGAGGGTTGAGTCTTTGTAGGAGTCCTCATTGAGGGTGTCGAGCTCAGCGATGGCGTCGTCGAAGGCTGTCTTGGCCAGATGACAGGCCTGCTCCGGAGCGTTCTGGATCTCGTAGTAGAAGACGGAGTAGTTGAGGGCCAATCCCAGCCGGATGGGGTGAGTGGGCTGCATGTGCTCTTTGCTGATCTCGTGAGCCTCGTTGTAGGCCTTCTCGGAGGATTCCACCACGGTGGAGCGCTTCTCGCCTGTGGCCACCTCGGCCAAGTAACGGTAATAGTCTCCCTTCATCTTCAGGTAGAAGACCTTGCTCTCGTGCTGGGTTTCGCTGCAGTTCTTGATCAGGAAGTTATCCAATAGGTTGAGCACGTCCTGGCACACGGCCTCCAGTTCCTTCTCAATCTTCTCGCGGTAGGCCCTCACCATCTCGATCTTCTTCTCGTTGCCATCCGCGGAGGTCTTCTGCTCGATGCTGGAGATGACCCTCCAGGATGAGCGACGAGCGCCTACCACGTTCTTGTAGGCGACCGACAACAGGTTCCTCTCTTCGTTGGACAAGGCCTCGTTCAGCTCGGTTACCTACGAAGGAGGCAAATAGAATGCCGTTTGAGAAAAGAGATGTAAAACATCCAACAATGTGATTACAGATATGCTTTCTTCATAAGTTGAGCAGATTTACATTAAAGTCGGCATGAAATCAAAATGGAAATCTCTTATTTTTTGTGGAATATTGCAGTGTTCATTATAAATGATATATCCGTGCATCCTAGGACTGCACGATTAATGAAATCGCAAAGGCTGCGATTATTTTTTATGCGCAGCTTGTCAGTGACGTACGCTCTGTGATGAATGAATGAATGAGGCATTTATATAGCGCTTTCATATGTACTACTGGATGGATGTACACCCAAAGCGCTTTACAATCATATCAGGGGTTCTCTCCTCAACCAGCACCAGTGTGCATCATCCTCTTGGATGATGCGACGGCAGCCACAGTACAACGGCGCCAGTGCGCTCACCACACACCAGCTATAGTTGGAGAAGAGAGAGAGTGATAGAGCCAATTCAGTGGATGGGGATTACTAGGAGGCCATGATTGGCAGGGGCCAATGGGTGGAATGTGGCCAGAGCACCGGGGTTACACCCCTACTCTTTACGAGAAGTGCCATGGGATTTTTAATGACCACAGAGAGTCAGGGCCTCGGTTTAACGTCTCATCCGAAGGACGGTGCTCTTTGACAGTATAGTGTCCCCGTCACTATACTGGGGCGTTAGGACCCACACAGACCACAGGGTGAGCACCCCCTGCTGGCCTCACTAACACCTCTTCCAGCAGCAACCTGGTTTTCTCAGGAGGTCTCCCATCCAGGTACTAACCAGGCTCAGCCCTGCTTAGCTTCAGTGGGCAACCAGTCTTGGGCTACAGGGTGATATGGCTGCTGGCCAGTAGTAGTGATCAGTAGTAAACGCTGCTCCATCTGAAACCATCCGACCAATAGCAAACCACAACCATCCAATGATCCAATCAGTTCTCCTTTGACAAAATCAAGTCCTGCCCTACACTTTTTCTCATTCGAGAAACCGTTTCACTCGGATATACATCGCAATAGGGAACAAAAGTATATCGCAACTTCAGTTTAATGCCGACTTTAACATTAAAATGAATGTACAATGCTTAATTTTTCAGTTGCATAATGATAATATCCACACAGAGCTTCATCAGCTGGCTGAATGCATTGTGCAGCCATGAGCTCAAGTTATATGCCAAGTGCAGTTTCCATGGCAATAGTCTCATTTTGTACAGTAGTCCAACTCTATCTAGCGAGATGACAGAGCACTAGCGCTACACACTGCACTAGAGGTGAAATCACTTCAGCTGAGAGTGGGGGCAGGGTGAGGATAGGGGGCAGAGGCGGGAGGCGAAATGTTCCCACATACCCCTCAGGGCAGCTGCAGTGTAAGTTAACACGATCTCTGTGTGGCAGTTCATGTGTTATGGTGGCCTTCTCTCTGACCTTTCTCTAACCAAACTGGGACTAACATACTATGTATGTAAAACTAGGTTGATTCCATATTTTAACAAAAATCACTCATTTCAACTACAGATCTCCTTCTAGTCACAATGTCAGAACCTCTTTGTGGTGCACTAACATAATATCACATGTGTTTTCTGTAATGATGAAGGAACTGTATGTGCAATTAAACACTTTTCAAAGGCCATGTGCCTCAGATCAAGGTTTCTGATTTTAGATTTCAGCTAAAATTATTCCCTCAGAGTACAAAGAGAATTGAATTCAAAGAAAAAGATCAGAGCAGAAAACAGGAACAGTGGACAGGAAGATGAGACTCATAACGAAACACAGGCAGGAGGATATGAAAGAGTTTTATTTAAAAAGGAAACAACAAACTTAAAGCTATTTATGTCTGGGTACACAAGTTCGGCGCAACACAGATTTGGCATTCCTCTCGAAGACAGATAGTAACGGGTAGTTGTGGTGGGTGACGGAGTAACCTTGTTACCTTGGTAGCCATGTTGAAATCAGATGCAAATATTTACACATAAGGAAGCCGTTCACCAATTTTAAGTAATAAGCCGGATGATCTTACTCAAAATTTGTGAAGTTTTAAGCTTGGCCTAGTGCTGCTCATCTCTTTGCCTGAATGCATCAAGATAATGGAGGCCTGTGGGCACTTTCCCATCAGGTCTGTGCTGGCTAAATGGGCTTTTATCCATGGGACCAAAGTAACTAGAGTCAAACTGCTTTTAAATCTCCCCTACAGATCCATGAAGCTAAAATTTCCTGTCCAGTGTACAAAACAATCTTTGCAAGGATGGGAACCTTCCCTTTTAACAGTCATTTGGGATTTCGATCAGGGTAATATGGAGGTAAGAAAATATATCCATTTTAGCAAAATTGATCTGGCAGGTATTTGCAATCAATACACTTATTGTACATTTTGGTATTCAATTAAGACTTTATTTGATGTAAAAATATTATTAATATTATTTATAAATATGCAGATTTTGCACTGTAGTCTATTTTCAGTTGTTTTATGACTGTTTCAATATGCAAATCTTCCTTTTGAGGTCGTAGAGTAAAAAGCGTTGAAGTAGACACATCTACGTGTCATTTGTAATTAAGTCAAAAACGTATTGCCATGGGCAGGAAACATTCAATCACTCAAGAAATAAGAGAAGAGATGCTAGATGACACCCCTCCAGAAAAAAAGCATGATGTCAACACTTGACAAAGCAGAAATGGAGGGGTCCTCCTCAATCTCCATAAACCTATGTAAGACTAGAGTCTCCTGAATGCCCTCACTCAGATGGGAATATAGTCAGGATGCTGACGTGAAGAAGTGTTGGAGCTTAAGATGCAGATGTTTGCTCCCCCCTCGAGAAGCCCTAAGGCCTTGAATGATTTCATTATGGTGCCCTGTATGCTCACCCCTCAAACACTGTTAAAACATTCAACAGAAATTATATTCACTAGAAATAAACACTATTGAAGAGATACATTTCCTTTAATAGACTTATATATAAATCTGTGGGTTTAGAACAAGAAGGAATCATGGACCTTACTGAATCATGGACCTTACTGCAATATGACAAGGATGGAAGATTCTGGAAGGAATGCTGCTGCCTCTAACGTTGGTTTAGAGGAAATATCTTAACAACTCCTATATGTAGAAAATGAATATGGGAAGACATAAGTCAATTTTGAGAATGCGTGAGAAAAAAACAAAGGCATTTTGAATTTATATATGCTGATGATGGAAAATTAATATATAATGTATTTATGACAATGCACTACGCTTGAGTAATGAACAACAATGACAAAATGCCTATTTCTAGTGTAAATTCAAATACTATCCAACACTGCGTTTATGACCATGAATATGCAGTATGTTACGAAGAGCAACGATTTAAAAAAGAATAAAGTGGTGCAAAATAGGGATTTTTTTTCCATTAACTCTGAAAGCTGTTGAAACAGATCTTTATACATTTGTCATGTGTCGTCTCATTCATTTGAGTGTGGGTTCGGGTAAGACCGGAGGCACCGCCCAAGATCCAGACAGTCTACACCCGATCCACTGCACTCTCAATAATACAGCTCTGATTTATCATAGATCAACACCCCCCAAAATATTATACGACACCATATTAATGCATTTCGTTACATGCAAAATTTTACTGTCACTTCACATGTGATCTTTCAACATATTAGCCTACCCCTTTTCCTCCAAATGCATCGAGCTTATAGTAGGCTATGCATAATACGACAATTATATCACCATATTATATTATATATATTATGTTACATTATAGAAATAAATTGAAAGAATGACTTACCGATTTCATGGCTGCTGCCATATCATCATACCTCTCAGCCTGTTCAGCCAGCCTGGCTTTTTGAACCAGCTGCTCGCGGTCAACCATGTTGGATGGTTATGGTTTGGACGATATATTTTGTTTTTGGGGAAGAATTGGTAATATTGTATGAGCTATGCGGTGTAATTGACTGAACGAGAGCTTGTCTGCAGCTGTTCCTCGCTATCTGTGCTCGTGCCGACGGGCCACCCTCGCCCCTCCTCAAGCGCTACGTCAGGGTTCTATAAACGTGGGTGCTATGGCAAGCTGGAACAACATTTCTAACAGTTGTTAAAACTAACAAATATTGATATTTCTTTTTTAAACTAGCAACTGTTATGTTACTAGAACATTTTTAATTATTGGTAAGCAATCTAACAGTGACTAGTATCTTTATATAAAATAATATTGGCTTCACACACAGCTGTTCAAATGTTTGGGATCGGTAAGATTTTTAATGTTTTTAAAAGTAGTCTCTTATTCTCACCAAGGCTGCATTTATTTATTTTTGTATTAAAAAAAAACAGTAATATTGTGAAATATTAATTCAATTTAAAATAACTGTTTTCTATTTAATATATTTTAAAATACTATTTTAAGTATTAAAATCAATACTTTTATTCAGCAAGGATCCATTAAATTGATCAAAAGTTACAGTAAAGACATTTATAATGTTACAAAAGATTATATTTCAAATAAATGAAATATAACTTTATATTCACCAAAGAATCCTGTGGAAAATATTGTCCACAACTGTTTTCAACATTGATAATAACAATGAATGTTTTTTGAGCATTTCTGAAGGGTCATGTGACACTGAAGACTGGAGTAATGATGCTGAAAATTCAGCTTTGCATCACAGGAATATATACTGTATATATTTTTAAAAATATATTAAAAAAGAAAACAGTTATTTTAAATTGTCATCATATTTAACAATATTACTTTTTTTTAATCAAATAAATGCAGCTTTGGTGAGCATAAGAGACTTCTTTTAAAAACATTAAAAATCTTACAGACAGACAGATATATATATATATATATATATATATATATATATATATATATATAGGCCTATATATATATATATAGACAGACAGATATATAGATAGATTTTCCCCAAATACGTTTGGTTGTTTTAAAGTTTAGTTTTAAAAGAGTAAATGTTAAAATGGCTTGCCATATGGGTGCCTCACTCATGATGTAATAGTCCTTATATGGGAGTCAAGAGGCCACATATCAGCAGTGATGATGATGGCACATTAGAGGTCTTCTAAGAACAAATGCAATATGGGAGAATGAGTCACCCACTATTACCAATTCTAGCACCCCTCTTGTTTGGAGTGGAGGATTTTGGGGATGACACAATTATGGTAACATTTAGGATAGTGTGTCTCATGTTTTGTCCATGCTAAGAAAGGTTATAGGTTATTAGACAGATGGAACAGACAAACAACTTGGTCTTTTCATATGGGTCATTTTACAAGAATGGTGCAGTGTGTATCCCTTAAAGGGATACTCCACCCAAAAATGAAAATTCTGTCATCATTTACTCACCCTCAAGTTGTTGCAAACCTGTATGAGTTTCTTTCTTCTGCTGAACACAAAGGAAGATATTTTGAAGAACGATTGGAACTTTGGCACCATTGACGTCCATAGTATTTTTTTTTTCTGCAAAGGAAGTCAATGGTGCCAAACAACTCTTTGGTTCCAATCGTTCTTCAAAATATCTTCCTTTATGTTCAGCAGAAGAAAGAAACTCAAACAGGTTTGCAACAACTTGAGGGTGAGTAAATGATGACAGAATTTTCATTTTTGTGTGGAGTATCCCTTTAAATAGGGGAGACTGGGGCTAGTTGTCATATGGGGAATTGGTCACAAACTTTAACTTATCTTTAATATTCTCTCTATGAATTATTTTTTTTTTACATTAAGTAGGTAATTTGAAAGTATCACAGGAAATTCCAGAATAGAATAGAATAGAATAGAATATGGAAGTGTCAGTGAAATGGTAATTACAAATAGTACATTCCAGAATAGAATAGAATAGAGTATGGAAGTGTGAGGATCATGGTAATTACAAATAGGAAAGAATAGAATAGAATAGAATAGAATAGAATAGAATAGAATAGAATAGAATAGAATAGAATAGAATAGAATAGAATAGAATAGAATATGGAAGTCGGAATATGGTCACTGCAAACAGGAAATTCCAGAATAGAATCTAATAGAATATGGAAGGGTCAAGAAAATGGTCAAAAAACAATATTTTTTGGTTCTCCTTAGGTAAGCCCATGCAAACCTTTTTTGTTTACAAAGGATTGTCCTGAAAGGTGAAAAGGACATGCTGGGTTGCTTCCTTGGCGATAATGCGGTTAACAGCTAGCTCTACTTGGCACAGTTCAGAACGGATGGCTCAGCTAATCGGCAGGGCTGTGCACAGCAGGACTGGGCCAAATCCACTGGCAGAGTGTTATTCCTTTTCCTTTTCCTTTCTCACCATGATGTGAAATTTGTTCATTCACTAAATAATTCTGTAGACTATCTTTGAAAAATGGTCATGTCAGATTTGCATTTGGAGACGTTTCAGGTTAAACTGATCCATTTCCTCCAAGAGGATTAGTCTCAGGCAGATTATCTTGACTCCCTCTCTTAATGCTAAAGCTAGGGAGCATATGGGGCTTGGCTAACCACCTGTCTACCTACTGAGGGGACATCAGACGGACATTCACAGCACAGGGATAGAGGAAGAAGACTGCAATGATTGGGCTGGATGTCTATCTATATCCAGATGGTCTTAGGGTTGCTTCACTAGAAGATATAGAGAAGTGGGAATCAGAGAGGGAAATGTATGAGCCGAATGTGCGCCTCTTTGTGGCTCTGTTCTCATACAACCCTGCGGTGATGTCACCAAACCCTGAAACAATGGAGGAAGAACTGCCTTTTCAACAAGGACAGATCATTAAAGTAAAGATGATGTTTTCTTCTTCTCAGTTGTTCCTTTATCTTAATTCACAATCAGCCGCAATGCATCATCTTCCGATCATTTCTGTTCTGCTTCACTCATGCTGTGTTGGGAAGCCTCAGAGTTAGTGGGATATGTTCTCTTGTAGGTATATGGGGATAAAGACGCTGATGGCTTCTATAGTGGGGAGACTGGTGGTCGCTTTGGTTTTGTGCCGAGCAACATGGTATCTGAGATTCCTGTGGAAGACGGAGAGCTTAAATGTCACCTGTTCCAGCAGGGGTTTTTACCAGAGGAGACGCCTTCTATAGGCAAGTATTTTCTGTCTTTTTTTTTTATTTGATGAAAACCATCCACAACATTAATACATTATTAAAAGTATTAAACTATTATGGACTTATTGATTGATTACAGGCTTCTTTGTACTATTAATATAGCACCCAGTGATACTTCTAGTGTGGCAGATGGTGGGAAGGTCCACAGGATGGTGGCCATTTTTGATTATGACCCTTGGGAAAGTTCTCCAAACTTGGACATTGAGGTGATTAAAAAATATTCAACGCTATCTCACGACCAATTCCTACGAATTCGTACGAGTGATTAAAACGTGGCTAATTCGTACTAATTCATACGACCTCACTCGTACGAATTCGTACGATTTGTCTAAACCCACGTGATGGGTAGGTTTAGGGGCGGGGTCAGGGGTAGGTAATTCGTACGAATTCATACGAATTTGGTAACTCGTAAAATATGTACGAATTAGCAAAAATCGTACAAATTTGTACGAGTGAGGTCGTATGAATTAGTACGAATTAGCCACCTCGTAAAATTTGTACGAATTGCCGTGAGATCGGGCTGAAATATTATAAAATATATATTTTTTACATATCTCCATGTGCTCCAAATATTTATTTTACAGCTATGTGTGTGTGTGTGTGTGTGTGTGTGTGTGGTTCCGGTAAACATTATTGGGGGAAATGTCCCCACAAAGATGGCAATATCCGAAATCCATGTCCTTGTGGAGCCATTTTTTGGTCCCCACAGCTTATAAATATGAAAGTGAAATTTGAAAAAAGTAAAAATGCAGAAAGTTTTCTGTGATGGGTAGGTTTAAGGGATAGATTATACAGTTTGTACAGTATGAAAATTATTATGTCTACAAGTCCCCATAAAACATGGAGACTGTGTGTGTGTGTGTGTGTGTGTGTGCACATGCATGTTCGCGCGTGTGATTTATTAAAAAAAATTACATTTATAAAACATTTTAATAATATAAATGAATAATAAAATAAATAGTTAATAGTTTTGAAATTATTATTAAACTAATAAGTCTTTATATTAAAATATTTGAACTATTATTAAATAATAATTATATATTATTGCGATCATTTGATTTTTTTTTTAATTATAATAAAATATTATATCAATATAACAAGTCTGGAATATTATTTATGGTAAAACTTTAGTTTAGGGTCCAGTTCTCTAGTTGCTTATTCTTATTATAGGATATTGGCTGTTTATAAAGCACATATTAATCATATTCTACAAAAAGCAGTAATTAGGAGTTTATTGGGGCAAAAGTCATAGTTAATAGTTATTTAATAGTGAGAATTGGACCATAATCTAAAGTGTGACTATTTATTTATCAAATGATAATCAAGACATAAATTAAACATTGTAGCAACATCCTATTTATTGATAACTTATTTAATTGAATAGCACTTAAATGAATCTCAAAATATCAAATTTAATTTTAAATCTGTGTGATTTGGTTGTTTTCTTCTTTAGGATGAGCTTCCCTTTCGTGCTGGAGACATTATATATGTTTTTGGGGAAATGGACAGTGATGGATTTTATTATGTAAGTATTACAACTCTGTCTATACCATGCATGCATTTTTTTTGTAAAGATCATGAGTTAAAGAATGAATGTTTTATTGATCCAGGGGGATCTACATGGTTATCGAGGTCTTGTGCCATCAAACTTCTTGCAACCACTGCCTTGGGATTAAATGAAATGAGCAATCATAAATCAAGAACAGAAGAGTGACCTCAGATTGTGACTATAACCCACTTTACTGAATTCAGCTCCAACTCCATTCTTGCTCTTTGCTTTTCTGGTCATTTTTTATATAAAGTGTCTGTTTTCCTTTAATGTACTGTACATGACACTATACTTATTGCCCTTATACCCTTATTGCACTCGACCTTCTCTCTACATATTCACTAACTTTAGCTCAAGTACGTACATTAAAGGGAATTAATTTCTGTATAATACAAGAGCTTTTGGAAGCAGCTAGTGTATTATAGCCTTAAATAACTGATAATGGCAGTTTAATAATTATCGTTTTTTTACTTTATAAGTAAGTGTGTCTTCTTTATATGAATTAAGCTATTTTTGATGTCATTTGTCTATGTGTTATTTTAACAACTCTGCACTCTGTTTTTCACACATATTTGCAGTTACTTAATTTCCCCATTTCATAATTTATTCAATATACAAATTTAATGTGCATACATACAGATGAACACTTAAAAAAAAAAAAACAGTCGCATTACAATCAGCCATGAAATACATTCTTCATAAATATTTCATAGATGGGACATTCATATTCAGCATCTTTGGTGCTCCATCGCAGCCAACAGTACACTCATCCATAAAGTAGGAAACACTACAGCGTGTAAAGACCTTTAGTAGTGCTGTCTACTTTATGAGTGACTGCACTGTACCTCTGAAGTTCCCGCCTCGTCTCTTTGTGGTCCAATCGTTACATTGCATGCTTCCTCTTATCTCCATGTGCTCCAAATGTTCATTTTACAGCTATTTGTTAAACCTGTAAGAAATGAAATCAAATGAATGTATTTAAATAAGTCAAATCATGTTTAAACATGGTTGGATGTTCAGCTGCATCAACTTCATAATTCATAGTGAGTCACTGTAAACCATAAAAGAGTTTAGAATGATTTTTATTGCCTATATATAGTGCTATAGCAGGTAAAAAATGCAATATTACATGTGAAATGAACTAATCTAAAAACAGTATCATGAATAATACATCCAGTTTTGCAGCGTATTAAGAATTTAATGTGAAGTCGAAACCTTTGAAAAGGTATTGCTTTTTAAATCTACTTGTAAAAATAAATGTGTACAAAGATAAAAAAAAAATGGGTGTGTATTTTTTTATTTCATTTTTTTATTTAAGTTGTAACAAATTCACTTAACTCTATTCACAATCACGTCGAGCAGTTTACCATCTTATATAATTGAACCCAAGTTTGTAAAAACAAATAAACTGTATATTTATCCAATATTTTAGAATAAACCGAAGAGCAGTGACTTACCAGTTCTCTGCCTACTTGATCCCGGAAACAACAGAGAAAAGAGAAAGAAGTTGTCGCCTTTTAACACTTTTTAGGCCACATGGTGCAAACCACAGGAAGAGGCCCTGCAGTCGCTGTCTTAAAGAAGCACAAATTCGCACGCCTATTGGACTACAGCGAGTTTCGTTCGAAGACAGACTCAAACTAATTCCTTTTAAGGGCATTTTAACTGATTAAAGTCAGATCAGAAATGACAGAATAAACCCTGTGGTCTTTAGCATATATCAAAATCACACAAAGAGATAAAGAGGAAGTCTAGTAAACATGTGATCAGATTGCACCAGGCTTCCACATACTCTAACTTTGCATCTTTAAAGCTACATTATTCCATTTTCAGCTTAAATAACTAGCTGTGTTGGTTTATGAGAAAGTATCGTCAATGGAAGATGTGCACATTTGTTTTAGTTATAATCAATAGCTTCACAATGACTTAAATATATGAAGCATAATCTTGCTTGCAGCTCTTACTGAGGGGGAGGGGTGCTTGTTGCGCAAAACCACAGTTTCATCAGCATATTGCATATTGCTACTTTGAGTGGAATATGAGGGTGCGATGATGTGTCATATAAATGTCATATGAGAGTTATTTAAACTGATGGCTTGCTAATTTTACATTGCTTTATGGTAAGATGCTGATAAAAGTGAAACAGTTAGCCTATAACCTGTTGAAATATTGTGCACGGAGTTAATCGAGCAGATATGAGACTATCGAATCATATGTAAATCAAAATGTAATACGAGTCACTCTTTCTTCGGTGTCATTTTAATCAGATGCTCGAATTGAAAGACTCTTTGTCCCAGACTCCCCCGAGTATGTACTTTGATAAACAGGAGGCCGCTCGCCCATTTCCCTGAACATGATGTACACGCGATGGACTTGGTTGTCTAGACAACCCAAACCTCAAACTCTCGTTTGACACGCACAGAAGGAAGTGGGGGATGTGCAGACACTTCTCTATGATGTACAATGATAATGTACCTAGTGTTGTAAAAACATTTTTAACAGACCTCCCATGAAATGTAACCGAGTGATTCTTCAAAAATGGGCAGTTTGGGCTATATGGGCTTTTAGAAAGTAAACACTATACTTTTCACATTTGCACTAGTTTATTTAATTTGTTTAAAGGGTTAATTCACCCAAAAAATACATTTCTGTCAGTAATTACTCAACCTCGTGTCCTTCCACACCTGTAAGACTTTTGTTCATCTTTGAAACACAAATGAGGATATGTTTTATGAAATCTGAGAGATTTCTGTCCCTCCATTGACAGCTACACAACTACTACTTTGATGCTTCATAAAGTTCGTAAAAGTTCGTAAAACGAATCCATATGAATTAAGTGGTTTAGTACAAATTTTCTGTGATGAACAGATTGAATTTAGGCTTTTATTCACACATAAACATCCATCAAGGCACACATAAGATATGGTAAATGGAAGCTCAAGCATGTTCGTTTGACGTGCGAGAAACACTGAGGTTCATTCTCGTGTTACGCGTCATGTTTGAGCTTCAGCAAGAACCAATGAGATTTGTTCTCACGCTTCAAGCATGTTCGGTTGAGCTTCTGTTTCGCTGATCAATGTTACATGTGAATAAAATCCTAAATTAAATGTGTTCATCATAAAGCAATCAAGTCTCTTCAGAAAATTTGTACTAAACCGCTCAATTCACATGGATTAGTTTTACAATCTCTTTATGAACTTTTTGAAGCGTCAAAGTAGTTGTAGCTGTCGATGGAAGGACATAAATCTCTCAGATTCAGAGTTTCAGAGAAAACATTTGTGAACATTTGGGATTAACTCTGTTATTGGCTAGCAGTTATTCATCCAAAATAAAAAAAATTCACAGTTTTCACAAAACATTACAGCTTGATTGGAAATTATGCATAATAAAAATATTCTTTTCACAAGTACAATACCTTATTTTTTTCCCGGTTTCCTTACATATCCTCATATTTGATCTCAAGCTCTTCACCAACATGCTTGTCGCCTTGGTCAACAAATATACTACAATACTAGTCACGCCCTAAAGTATAGTAGTATATAAATAAAATAATAAATATAAAATAGAACATTTATGAATATAATGTTTTTTATCATTATTTTACTTCTTGTTTCTTGTTAAAAAATAATAATTGATCTTTTTACGATGAAATTTTATTAGATTTTATGAGTTTACATCTGTGTCTGCGGGACAAGGGTAAAACAATAAAATGTACTCATAAAACCTATTCAAACGTAGTAAAAATAAATGATGGAGGCATGAGTAAAAGTTTCTAAGAAAGTTCATGTGTTATGTGTGACCTTCATATAACAAAAAAAGAGAGATATAATATGAAGATCTGTCAGTAATAAAGAGCAATACCTGAGACAAAGTGCCCGAAGCTGAAAAGACAGACAACTATTCTAAGTAAATTGCAGCAGTTTGCACATCCAACGTGTGCACGCTGTGTGTGTGTGTGTGTGTGTGTGTGTGTGTGTGTGTGTGTGTGATACACTAGCATCAGAGCTTATGAAACCTGAAGGTTGAATCTAAAGGTCAAACCTAGAGGACGTTGTTTGCCTCTCTTTTATCAGGCACACAAATCACGAATGGATCCATTATCAACTCCGCCATTAACTTTATAGTGTTTTACAGCTGTTTCTATGCTTGTCCTGTAAAATGTATTCTCACTGTTCAAGCAGGCGTTGAACTTGAGCTTATACATCTATTTCTGTACAATACTGGATTAACTCCTGAAATAGACACCACGGTGTAGATAGCGTCTTTAAACTAACTGCGTGAAAAGATGGGTATTATCCAGAAAGATTTAGATTAGGATTAATTCAATTATCTTATGCCTTATATGTAAGACAAGCTAAATGCCTTTATTTGTGACTTCATCACATTTTAGAGACATAAAAGTTACATTAAAGATTTCCCCCTTTTTTAATGCATAAATATCAACCAATGACTTCAGACATTTCAAATACAATCAACGTATTAATCAAGAAATTGTCATTAAAGTTCATTAAACATTTCAACAGAAAACATTTAGGTTACACTTTATTTTTAAGGTTTCTGTGTTACAGTGTACTTATGCATTTTGTAACTGCATAGGGTTAGAGTTAGGAATAGGGGTTGGTTTAGGGTTAGTTGCCTGTAATTATGCATAATTACAGTTATTACTACAGTAACTACATGTAACATGTGTAACAAGAACGCTGTAAAATAAAGTGTTACCAACTTTTACATCACTATTACTTTCTTGTATTTTTTTAAGTTAGAGTTGCGGTTAGAGTCCGGAAAAAAGTTGAATGACAGCAGAATGTATATTTTATAATCACCACTAGATGGCATAACAATGTAAATATCAGAGACTGTAACTGCCAATACGGGTTATGTTCTAACCTTCTGTTACATTAACATTATGCGATATGTCCATGCATCAAAAGTCTTATTAATACACTCTCGGAAAAAATGGCCACTCTGTAAAAAGGTTCAGCTATGTAACTTTGAGGTATAATATGCACTCTTTAAGTACAAAGGTGTCCCTTTTGAAGGCCGCACCAGTGACAGCTTTTGTACCTGTTTTTTCTGAGAGTGTACTTACAACAGTTTATAAATGTAACATTCTTCTTATGTTTTCATTCATTTCATTTTAGCTACTGTTGTCATGTTTACTTACTGATCCAAGAGAGTGCAACAACATTATCCATTAATTAGCCTAGTGATAACGGATGATTAGCCTACTGATAATAACTGACTATAAGTGTTTTTTTAATGTAGTAGTTGTAAACAAGTGAAAGTTTGTTATGGGTGGAGAACATCTTTATCAGATTAACACTGAATTACTCTTTATTAATAGGAAACTTTATGATACATTTTTATACAAATGAGTTTTATGGTCACCAGGTTTCGTGCTGTAAAACGTAAAAGGAGGGCACACTGAGATAGCGCTGTTATAAAATCTACCACTGATGAATCCCATCATAAAATACATTCTCTCCTCTTGAGCTGGATTGATCTTTCAGGGGGATTTTTTCAATTCAAATATTAAGGATGAATGTGCTCTATCTTTCCATTCTTACTGTTTTATGCAAGTTTGCTTCAAGTGCAGGTGGGTTCAATTATTTTTGTATATGTCGTATCATTTATACAAACAGATTTAGCTACTGCTGAATTTAGGGAGCTTTGAGTTCATCAATCCATCATTTTGGATTTAGTTTTATTGGCTTTTAGTAAACATCTGTACTGTGTGCACTGTGTGTTGGAAGGCCTGTCTATACAGCGCAGTCCAAATGAACTTTTGTCCGAGTTAAAAAAAAAAATATGCACCAATATTATCTATAACGGAATTATAGTGTATCAAGACTTCTGGCAACAAGAGTTATTGATGCGCATTAAACTAAATAGAATACAATTTTATTAACTGAATGACTAAATATAGACATTGGTCTGTATTCATATGTCCATATTCTATTACATGTGATTGTATTCTATTATTAATACATTACAATACATATACATTCGTTTAGAATGACTGAACTTTATTTTCTTCCAGACTGGTGTTATCAGTACCAAGTAACGTGCAACAACACGTGTGTAGGTGAGAGCTGAGCCTTGTTCAATGTCATTTATTAAATTATAAAGAAAAGATACACTACCGTTCAAATCAGAATCTGTGTTTTGTTTTTACTGTATCTTTGATCAAATAAGTGCAGCATTGGTGAACATAAGAGACTTCTTTAAAAAACATTTTTAAGAAATCCAAACTTTTGAATAGTAATATATGATGCATACTAACATAGCATGATCTTTTTTTATATATATATATAGGACCGGATGAATGGGCAACCGTTGCCGCAAATTGTGGGAATAGAAAACAGTCACCCATTAACATTGTAACAAAGAATACTTCTGCAGACAGTCATCTGACCCCAGTGCAGTTTACAGGCTATCAAGAGATTATCAGTGGAGTCCTTATAAACAATGGACACACAGGTAAGTTTAACTTAAAGGGATAGTTTACCCAAAAATGACAATTCTGTCATCATTTACTCGCCCTTGTTCCAAACCTGTATGAGTTTCTTTGTTCTGCTGAACACAGAAGAAGATATTTTGAAGACTGTCTGTAAAACCAAACAGTTGATGAGCCCCATTTACTTCAATAGTAATTTTTTGTTTTTTTTCATAGGCAGTCAATGGCTACCGTCAACTGTTTGGTTACAGACATTCTTTAACATATCGTTTGAGTTCAACAGAAAAAAGAAACTCATGCAGGTTTGGAACAACATGAGGGTGAGTAAATGATGACAGAATTTTCATTTTTGGGTGAACTTATTCTTTATAGTGAAAAGCCTATACACACATTATTTCACTTTTTAAACACTTTTTGTCATATATTTTTCCATCTTTAGTGCAAGTGAATCTTCCAAATGGAGCAACAATTAATGGGGCCAATTTAGGATCCACTTACAAAGCTCAGCAGCTTCACCTGCACTGGGGCAAGAACGGTGGACCTGGATCAGAACATACTATAGATGGAGAGAAATACCCTATGGAGGTATTATGCCTTTGAGACAGGTTTTATTCTTACACCTATTTGTAAATCGACAAGGAACTGTAATCATGTATTATGTATTTTTAACAGCTGCACATTGTACATATAAGAGAAAATTACACCTCTGTGGAACAAGCCATTGACGACCCTTCTGGTGTGGCTGTTCTTGGATTTTTTTATGAGGTAAAACCACAGGTGCATTGGTCCCACTTTAAATTAAGTGTGTACTGACATTTAAATAAAGCATTGATACAATGCACTTATTGTGTACATACATGTTTTTACATTGGACTTGTTTTTAAAAAATACCTGCGTTTAATGTTTTTACACTGTTGATGACCTTTTCCTGACTCTTAACTCACCCTTAAACCTGTCCCTAACCTTATCCATATCTCAATAGCAACAAAAGTGTTGTGCAATTGAACATGAACAGAATAAGTACATTGTACCTATTTTTTTATGTACTGTATGTGCATAGTAGCTAAAGATACCTAATATAAAGTGAGACCGATGTGGTCATAAATGTTTGTTATTTACAGCTAATAAAATTATTTTATTGTGTCTTATCTCCCAGGAATCAGAAAATGCCAATAAAAAATATGAAGCCATCATAAATTCTCTGAAAAATATTACACACCCTGGTAAGGTTTTTTATCTACTTTGAAGTTTAATAAATATGTTGTTTATATCTTCTTGATGAGGTCCTATATGACATGTCACTCAAGGACACAGGCTATCTCTAATATGACCTGTATAATTATTGTTCAGCAACCCGCTATATTTAGAGAGAAGAAGAGGAACTTCATGACAGTTTATAAATATATATCTTTGGTAACACTTTAGTTCAGGGTCCAATTCTCACTATTAAGTAGTTGCATGCATATTGGGATATTGGCTGTTTATTAGTACTTATAAAGCACATATTAATGCCTTATTCTGCATGACCATATTCTACATCTCTTAATCCTACCCAACACCTGAACTTAACAACTACCTTACTAACTATTAATAAGCAGAAATTAGGAGTTTATTGAGGCAAAAGTCGTTTTTAATAGTTATTTAATAGTGAGAATTGGACCCTATATCTGAAGTGTGACCACATCTTTTTTAGGCGCCAATGTAACACTTGGGTATGTATCATTGGACATGCTTATCCTCCCCCATGATGAATTGGAGACGTACTATCGCTACGAGGGGTCTCTCACCACACCAGCCTGCTCTGAAGCTGTGGTCTGGACAATATTTGAGAAAACGATACCACTCAGCAAAGAACAGGTAGTTTATTATTATATGTATCCACCTGACTTCCAATTCATTCGCCTGAACAAGATAAAAGTTATCTTCTTAAAGCTGCAGTAGGGAGTTTTGAGAAAACGTTGACTTAGCCTGAAAATTTGAACAAGCACAACTTACAGGTCCCACCCCTTTGCTCTCTGCTGCGCTACAGCCCTCCCTCCACAGCTCGTCCTCCACAGCGGAGCCCGTCGTGAACGCGCAGGCTAAACAGGCCCACCGATAACGGCGGATAAAAAGTTATATGGCACATTCACTAATAGGGACTAAACGACAACGTCAACAATATGATTTACATTGACTATGGCCTGCCCATACTTTGACTACAAACTTGGTCCTCAAATCATTATGTATTTTGCAATAGCCTATGTAACTTTATAACGTTGCACTCTTTCTATAAGTTATAAATAGCTAGTAAGATAACGTTAATATAACGGTAACTAACGTTACAGTATGTAAGTAATTATTCTAGCGATATATAATGCTAGATAAGGTGTGCTAGTACATAATTTCAGCCAGGCCCGTCGGAACAGGACAGGCAAACCAAGCAATTGCTTGGGGCCCCGAGCTGGACTGGGGCCCCAAGACAACGACTGTTTAAGAATAAAATGCAACGACAAACTTTGAGCGCCCCTTTGATAGTCAATGCAGTAAAGTGCAATGACACTGTTATCGGAATCCCCCTCAAGGGGGCCCCCTCAGTAGTCGCTGACAGCAGCCAGCCAACCACGCGATCTCTGCTGCCGGCAAAATACAAACCTCCTCGGGAGTTATCATGAAGCAGAATTATGCTTCAGGAAGCCAGAAAAGAAAGAAGAGAAAGGAAGAGAAGGTTAAGAAAAATACCAGATAGTGGTAAAGTAATAAATTACACTGCATAAAAATAGCTCTACTTGTCTTGTACAAATGGTGTCAGGTAACATAAGGCTAGCAAAAATATGTTTCCCTTTCGAGAGGTTCCTCCTATTGCGTAATAGCTTACGCTATGGGAAAACTCCTTTTCTCGAGAAATATTGAAGTCTTTATGTAAAACGCATTGCAGCTGCACAGCATACAGCAATGAGCGAGGCAGCTCGGTCATTGGCTGTGCTGCGGCAACTTGCACGAACCAATGACGGGGCGACTCTGAACCCGCTTCCAATGAGCGTGCTTCGCGCCCACGCGCGTCAGAGCCCGCCAAGATGGGCGTGGCCAAGGGCTATATATTGGGCGCCCCGTCGTCTGAGTTCTTTAGATTTAATCTCCTTCAGCAAAGAACTTTCTCTTCGCTGGATCCTCCGGATTTGTTGGAGTCTTTTCGCCGCCGCCGTCGACAAGCCTACAGCAGGACTGCTTCGAGGACGCCGGCGCCTTCAGCCGCCTTCGATCGCCCTTCTGCTAAGCCATCCGGCGCGCATCATCTTCTAATATCCTTTCAAAGCTATCAGTGTTCGCCCCCGCGACACTTTTCTAAAAGAGCAAATTTTACAAGGCGTTGTTTCAAATGCCTTCCTGCGCCTCGTGTCGAGGCCCTCTTCAGGACGGGGATCGTCACATCATTTGCGCCCGCTGCCTGGGACCGGACCACGCAGAAGCTGCCCTTACTCGAGGCGGATGTCCCGAGTGTGACGCCCTGGGCCTCACCGAGCTGCGCGCTCGCTTCGCCGTTTTCACCGCGAAAGAGCCCACCTCTTCCGTGCTGCCATCTCCTCTAGTCGAGCCGCGAAAGAAAAAACGCCGCTCACAGAGGCCGCCGGAGCACGCGGTTTGCAGTGATGTCACGCCGGGCCAATCCCCGCGTGCTTCACCACCACCCGAAGACTCCCCGCCGCCAGTCCAGTTCACACAGGCGGACCAGCACCCCTCCAGCGGAGCGATGGGGCTCGTCTCGTTTGGCGCGTCAGGGGATGACGAGGATAAGGATGACAGTTTTTCCTGTGATGCTGCATCCGACGACTGGCCGGGCTCGTCCTTCGACCCCGCGCCATCGACATTAGCGGGCACGAGCGCGGGCTCCAGCATGGACTCGGAGATCGTCCGCATTCTCTCTAAGGCCGTGGAAGACCTCGGGCTCGATTGGTCTTCCCCGGAAGAACCCGCCCGCAGCCGACTGGACGAGTGGTTCCTGCAGGGGCGCCGACAGGCCCCTCGACAAAGACCCTCCCCTTTCTTCCCGGAATTTCACGACGAACTCACGAAGTCGTGGAAAGCCCCGCACTCCGCTCACCTGAAGCCTTCTTTTTCTTTGTCGCTCTCCTCTGTGGACGGCGCGAAAGAAAGAGGCTATGAGGGGACTCCGCCCCTCGAGGAGGCTGTGGCCAATCATCTGTGTCCACCCTCCAACGCTGGATGGAAAGCTAAAGCTTCTCATCCCTCGAAGCCTTGCCGGTCCACTTCAGCTCTCGCCGGTCGCGCATACGCCGCCGCCGGCCAGGCTGCATCAGCGCTTCACTCTATGGCTGTCCTCCAGGTGTTTCAAGCCAAACTTCTCCGCAGTATGGACGAGTCTGGACCCGATCCTGAGGCATTTAAGGACCTACGCAGCGCCACTGACATAGCGCTGCGAGCTACAAAAGCCACCGCCCAATCCATCGGCCGTGCTATGGCTAACCTGACTGTCCTTGAGCGCCATCTGTGGCTGACGCTAACAGAGATGAAGGATGCAGATAAGGCGTCATTTCTCGACGCGCCTATCTCCCAAAGCGGCCTGTTTGGACCAGCGGTGAAGGAGTTCGCCGAGCGCTTCACCGAAGCCCGTAAGGACTCACAGGCTATGCGTCACTTCCTGCCCAAGCGATCTAGCTCATCGCAGAGCCGCCAACGGCCGCCTCAGCAGCAGCGAGCTAAGACGGCGCCCCCCGTTTCTCAGCCCAAACCTGAAACGGATTTTCGACGCCGCTCGCGCTCTGCCAACAGGAAGCAACCGCCCGAGCGACGGGGACCTCGGCCCAAGATTGTGCTGAACCCAGAGCCTCGTAAGTCCTCCTAGCTACAGGGAGGAAAAGGGAGAGCGCGTGTCTCGCAAGAGCCGGACCGTTCTCTCCAAAACGTTTAAAGCATTACCCAGTCCCCTCACAGGCGGCTGGAAATGTCTATACAGCAGCCAATGTGCCAGCCACACAGCTCGCCCACCTGCAAACAAACGCCGTTTTTACGGCGACACACAGAAATCACATAAAGAGCTATTTTCTGCCTGTGTCATTAAAGGGTCACGTGTCCACACCAAAGTGCGCATTCCCACATATCAAAACTGTCAACTCAGTGCCAAATGTTTTCCCAGCTCAGGCTGGACGCCCCATAAATGTAGATTCTGTGCCAACTGTTACGTATGCACCACTACACACAAGCACTGTTCCCACAGTTATAAACACTTCCCCAGTAAAAGCGGGAAGTTGTATAAGAGTAGCGCGTGTGCCCGCTGTTATGCACGCACCCCATCTCACAAACACTGTTTATATGGCCAAAAACCTCCCGCCACGAGCGGGAAGTTTTATGAAAGTGGCGCGCGTGCCTACCACAGTCTATGCACCCCCACCCATAAGCACTATACACACAGTGTTAAACATTTCCCCATCTCACTCTGTGAGCATTACAGCGAGCGTGCCTGTAATCTCACACGCACCCCTGCACTCGTCATTCAACAAAGCTGCTCAGCGCGCGCCCGCGCCGCTGACAGCTGTGAGCTCGGTATTTACACAGAACGATTCGCTGGCGGGGGCCATACGTCACTGCGACACGCCCCCGGCCAGCATTCAGCCCATATCTGTGCGAGCGAAAGCTTGGGAAAATATCCCAGACATGCCGAAATGGGTTTTGAACATAATAAAACACGGTTACTCGCTCCAATTCGCTCGCAGACCGCCCCGCTTCACAGCAGTGGTAGAGACGAAAGTGAGAAAAGATGTTTCACATGTTCTACGCACCGAGATGCTCAAACTGATAGAGAAAGGCGCTATAGAAACAGTGCCCCCCTCTATGAGCGAGGCAGGTTTTTACAGCCGCTATTTTCTCGTCCCGAAAAAGGATGGCGGTCTCCGCCCCATCCTAGATCTCAGACATCTGAACAAAGCTTTAATGATTCGCTCGTTCAGAATGTTAACAACCAAGCATATCCTCGCGCAAGTTCGCCCGGGGGATTGGTTTCTGTCAGTGGATCTGAAAGACGCTTACTTTCCCATTCCAATAGCGCCTCATCACAGGCCATTTCTGAGATTCGCTTTCGAGGGACAGTCATACCAGTACACAGTACTACCATTCGGCCTGTCACTGGCACCCCGTACATTTACGAAATTTATGGATGCAGCACTTTCCCCCCTGAGACAGCGGGGAGTGCGAATACTAAATTATCTCGACGATTGGCTAATACTAGCACAATCAGAGAGCCAGTTAGTGACACACAGGTCTTGGATTATCAGTCATCTAGAGTGCCTAGGTCTAAAAATCAATTTTGCAAAGAGCATGCTATCCCCCAGCCAGAATATTTCTTTTCTGGGAATAGTGCTAGACTCGGTGCAGATGACAGCACGCCTCTCATCAGAGCGCGCGCTCACTATTCGGCGCCTTGCAACATCGTTCAGAGCGGGTGCGCGCGCCCCCGTCAAGCGATTTCAAAGGATGCTCGGTCTCATGGCCTCAGCATCAGCTGTACTCCAGCTAGGATTGTTGCACATGCGTCCTCTCCAACGCTGGCTCAAGAGCCGTGTCCCCACTCACGCATGGCGCTCGGGCCACTTTTTAATCAGAGCAAATCACGGCTGCATAAAAGCCCTGACGCCCTGGAAAGCTGTCGACTGGTATCAGTCCGGCGTGAGTTTGGGCGTGAACACAAGGAGAAAAATGATCACGACAGATGCCTCCAAAATAGGTTGGGGGGCCCTTTACGAGGGCAGGCCTGTCTCCGGCTTGTGGTCAAACCCGGAGAAGCGCCTACATATAAACTGTCTGGAATTGAAAGCGGTCGCTTTGGCTCTCAGAGCCCTGCTCCCGTACCTGAAGGACGAGCACGTCCTAGTCCGAACGGACAACATGACGGTAGTCTCGCATATAAATCGTCAGGGTGGACTCAGATCGAGCTCCCTGCACTCGATGGCCAGGGAGCTCCTACTATGGTCCCAGCGCAACCTGCGCTCGCTGAGAGCGGCGCATGTGCCAGGTGTTCTGAACCAGGGAGCGGACATGCTGTCCAGAGACAAAGTTCTCCCAGGAGAATGGTCTCTCCACCCCCTGACGATTCAGTGGTTATGGCAAACCTTTGGCAGAGCAGAGGTCAACCTCTTTGTCTCCAAGGAAAATGCGCACTGCCCTCTCTTCTTTTCAAAGAGCACAGACGCGCTCGCCCAAGTCTGGCCGAGCCGACCGCTGTATGCCTTCCCTCCGGTCGCGATGCTACCTCAGGTCATCAGTCGGATCAGGGAGGAAAAATGTGCAGTGCTCCTGGTAGCCCCACTCTGGAAGAACCAGACGTGGTTTCCAGAACTGATGCAGATGACGCAATCTGCCCCATGGCCGATTCCACTGAGGCTAGATCTCCTCAGGCAGGCCAACGGGATGATCCTCCATCCCCGCCCCGATCTGTGGGCCCTCCATGCGTGGCCCCTCAACGGATTCCCGGGAACCTCCCCAGTGGAGTGTTGAGAACCATCACTGAGGCGCGAGCGCCCTCTACGAGGCGCTTATATGCCCAGAAATGGAAGGTGTTCAGTGACTGGTGTAAATCCAGGAACCTGAATCCTGAGACATGCGAAGTGCCGAGTGTGCTCGTTTTCTTACAAGAGCTGTTGGAGGCAGGCCGCACCCCCTCCACGCTCAAAGTATATGTGGCTGCCATAGCGGCATCACATGAACCGGTCGAAGGACGCACACTAGGGAAAAACTGCCTAGTTGTTCGTTTCCTGAGGGGCGCCAGGAGGATGAATCCCCCACGCCCCCCCTCGGTGTCGATTTGGGACCTGGCCACGGTCCTGGACGCACTTAAGCGTGCCCCGTTCGAACCCCTCCGAACTGTGCACCTTAAACAGCTCTCGCTCAAAACTGCTCTCTTGCTGGCTCTCGCCTCGGTCAAGAGAGTGGGCGACCTGCACGCGCTGTCATCAAGCGCTAACTGCCTGGAGTTTGGACCTAACGACAGCAGGGTTGTCCTCAGGCCAAAACACGGGTATATTCCTAAGGTGCTCTCTACTCCTTTCAGAGCACAGGTGATATCTTTGGCCGCGCTATTGTCCCCAGCAGACGAAAGTGACGCTAATTTACTCTGCCCGGTCAGGGCACTCAGAGTATATTTGGAACGCTCTGCCCTGTTCAGACAGACAGAGCAGTTGTTCGTATGCTTTGGCGGCCGCACTAAAGGTCTGGCTGTGTCAAAGCAAAGAATATCGCGCTGGATAGTTGATGCTATAGCGCTGGCTTATGAAGCCAAGGGCCTTCAGTGCCCCTTGGGCATCAGAGCTCACTCTACGAGAGGCATGGCCTCCTCGTGGGCGTGGTCGAGTGGGATACCCATTCAAGATATTTGTGCGGCTGCAGGCTGGGCCTCACCGTCCACATTTATCAGGTTTTATAACCTACAGGTCCCCTCATTGCATTCTAACATACTGTCGGTCTAGCTATCATAGGCTGGGGTGTGTACATGCTGAGCATTGTCTCCTCCCTCATAGAATCACATCTTTGAAACTGATGTGGAGGATTTTTCATACATGACAGTACATGAAAATGTGCTTGTGTGTGTCTCTGGACGCCCATCGGGCCGTTCCACGTTGTCCTTTATAAAACCCGCCTTCGGCTGGCTCGTTGGATAATTACTTCGCTCAAAGGCTCAGGCTCCGGCCTCCGGCTTAATAGAAGCGAAGTCAGCACGCACGGCGTTTTACATGGCGTTCCCATAGCGTAAAGCTATTACGCAATAGGAGGAACCTCTCGAAAGGGAACGACTCGGTTACTAACGTAACCTCGGTTCCCTGAGAGGAGGGAACGAGTATTGCGTAATCTGCCGTGCTTGTGCTTGGTCAGTTTGCTTCAGTCGATTGAACCTAAAGAACTCAGACGACGGGGCGCCCAATATATAGCCCTTGGCCACGCCCATCTTGGCGGGCTCTGACGCGCGTGGGCGCGAAGCACGCTCATTGGAAGCGGGTTCAGAGTCGCCCCGTCATTGGTTCGTGCAAGTTGCCGCAGCACAGCCAATGACCGAGCTGCCTCGCTCATTGCTGTATGCTGTGCAGCTGCAATGCGTTTTACATAAAGACTTCAATATTTCTCGAGAAAAGGAGTTTTCCCATAGCGTAAAGCTATTACGCAATACTCGTTCCCTCCTCTCAGGGAACCGAGGTTACGTTAGTAACCGAGTCGTTCTCCGTGCTGCCTCAGGTGTTAACGTACACAACTCAGCCAGTGTTTTTCAGGGCAGAAATAACCTTTCAATCAGGTATTTTAATGGGTAAAAAGTACTGGTTAAGTTATAATCAGTCAGATTTAACCCTCATGAATATAAGTAACAAATTTCAGGGCAGAAATAACCTTTCAATCAATAATTAGAATCTTCAATCACTTTTTGGCAGGTGAAATACTGCTGTATTGGCCCTTTACAGGTATTTTAATGGGTAAAAAGTAGTAGGTGAGTTATAATCAGTCAGATTTAACCCTCATGAATATAAGCAACACATTTCAGGGCAGAAATAACCTTTCAATCAATAAGTAGAGGCTTCAATCACTTTTTGGCAGCTGAAATACTCCAGTATAATGGTTGTATTGGCCATTTACAGGTGTTTTAATGGGTAAAAAGTACTGGGTGAGTGATGTTTATTTGCACGTTATGTCTGTTTGATCCACATAAAAGCAACTGCATTCGTAAAGAGAATGGGCGATACATCTTTAACACGCTGCGCGCGCACCCGCGGCCGGCCATCAATTTTCGGCGGACCATCACTTTTCGGCACGACACCGGCAATCTTGAGTTTGAACGACGGCTCGCACTGTGCAAGAGAGGGGTGTGATCAGCGCGTACACGAGCGTGATTGACACTGCTAAGACGTTCCTCCTGGCTCTGATTGGTTGTTTCTGACCGGGAGCGTGTATTTCTGCAAATGGCAATAGGACCACTGGGAGGAGCCAGAAGAGCTTGATTTTTTTCACAGATTATCTGTCTCATATTCTACTGTCAGGACATAATGACAGTTTTAACAAATATGTAAAAAATATTTTTTACAAAAGTTACCTACAGCAGCTTTAACTAGAAGAATAACACAGTGCCATAAACAGTCAGTTGGCAATATCAAACAGCATACCGAGCTGTTTTGTACAGCTAGAAATAACAATAAGCGGATGACACTGGACGCCAGACACATTCAGTTTACAAATGTAAAAATACAAGTGAAATTTTAACAGAATGAAAGGATATATAGCCGTAACATACCATAACCCTTATCTTTGTCTCGCAGCTTTCTGTATTTTCAAACTTGATGTTTTCTGATGGGACTGCCATGGTAAACACATACCGGCCGGTTCAGCTGCGGTATGGACGTGAGGTGTATTATTCTAGGAGTTTTGTTTTTTGTGTTAGCACTGCCTTATTGATCAGCTCTGTTTTCACATCACTCTATGTTCTCACGGTCTGAGGCTATGTTTTTGGGGTATTGCTCGAAAACAAGTTTTTTTTTAAATAATTACTTATTAATTCAAGACAAATCAAACTTTATTGTTGTTCAGCCATGTACGGCTATACTATTATCTAACATAAAATGAACCTAAAGCACACCCCACATCAGAGGCCTTCTCGAATGTAAGAAAATGATTTATACAAAAGTCATAACTGAACTGATATTGTTGAAAAAACTGTTGTATAAAAACAATATTTAGCTGTGTCTGTTATAAGAATGTAAAATATATATTGTGCTATTTTGACATATTTGTGGAAAGTATGTGCAAAAGGACATGGTTTGACATTAGACTGCACATTAAATATACAGAGGACATAGGCCTAGAGAAACCCAGTTCACATGAGACAATACTTAAGAAGTGTTTTGGGGGATTTATTGTAAATACTGTATTTTTTCTGTATTGGTAGTCCTAATTGTAAAACAATTAAAAAACTAAATAAATTGAAAAAACAAAAACAAAAAAATAAATGGTCTAACTCACTAATTGTTTATTTCAATGTATGAACTAACCCTGTGAATATTTTACAGCATGAACCCTGTCCACCTAGATTTTATTGCACCTGTTTAGTTGTATGGGATATGGGAAGTGAGTTTTCATTGGCCAGATTCTCTGGAGACAGATTATTCATTGACACGCAAAAATGGGTGATTTGATAGGCCTATTGAAAATATCTGGCAACCGATAACAGAGATGAGAGGGAGAGAATGAAGTGGGAACCTTGGGGATTTTACAGTTAAAAATATTAGACTATCAAAAATACTGGGTGGAAATGAAAAAAAAGCTATGCTAAATGTGTACTGTGAGGTCCTGGATGGAAATCCAGCAGTTGTGTCTAGAGGTTTTAAAACAACCTTGGGCTGGAAAGCTTTGCTGGACCTGGCAACCCCCTGATCATCACTGCAAACTCACATTTGAAGAAGTGTGACCGCAGTCAGTTGTCCAGCACTTTAAGAGTAACTTGTAACATGGATCGCTGGAAAGGCAGGGTTGCTCTTGTCACTGGGGCTTCAGTGGGAATCGGAGCTGCAATTGTCAAGTCTCTTGTGCAGCATGGCATGAAGGTGGTCGGATGTGCCAGAAATCTAGAGCAAATACAGGTAATCTAGCGCTAACGAGCAAACAGCATGTCACTGCATACACTTGCGAGAAGTAGCCCAAATGTAGGACTATACGAACTATTTGAAGAATCGCGTGTTGTTGTTTTTTTCTTACAGAATTTGGCAGCAGAGTGTGTCAGTAGTGGATTCAGCGGCACTCTGTTCCCGTATAAATGTGATCTGTCTGTAGAGGACGAAGTGTTATCCATGTTCTCCTGGATCAAAGTTCAACATCAGGGGATTGACGTGTGCATTAATAATGCTGGTTTGGCTCTCCCAGAGCCTCTATTGAGTGGCAAAACCAGTGGCTGGAGGACTATGATGGATGTAAGTATAGGTTAACTGAATACTGTAGCCGTGTAGCGTCTAGAGACTCTTGACACGACAAAGCGAGTCAGTGATTCATTTCAGTTCTTTCAGTGAGCCGATTTGACCGAGTCAGTGATTTTTTTCCGAGTCAGATTTACGTCATTACGTGCACTCTGACATCACGGCGTGCATATTAGTCCTACGTTGTTGTTGTTGTTTTTGTTACATTTATTATTAACGGTTTTTTTTGTAAGTATGTGTCCACATTCAGTTTGTTGTATGCGCCAGTTTATAAAAACGAACCAAAATATAATTTGCATTTACTTTTACAATTGTAATTTGAATGTTGTTTGAATACAATGCTATTATAAGTATTAAAACCATCTGTTTTTATATGTATGTTGATAAAACTGTTGAAAACAAACATGATTATAGGTATTTGGCTATTAAAGTAACTTTTTGGCTTTATCAATAAATGGCTTGGTTTACTCCTAAATGTCTTACTGATTGGTTTTTAAAAATAACTCCTCAGACTGAACTCATGAAATAAAGAATTTAACTTTTTTTTCAGGTGAATGTCATTGGCCTGTCAGTGTGCACCCGTGAGGCTTACCAGTCCATGAAAGAAAGAAATATTAATGATGGCCATATCATTAATATTAACAGGTACAAGAATGTTTTATTATAATTATTTTTGCTTGTCTTCAAATTCCTACCTGTGCCGAGGCAAAAACCATTCAATATCCTTAAATCACTTGTTGTGTTTTAGCATGAGTGGACACCGGGTTGTTAACAATGCTGATGCACACTTCTACACTGCCAGCAAATATGCTGTGACTGCTCTCACTGAAGGTCTCCGGCAAGAGTTACGCGAGGCCAAAACACACATACGTGCCACAGTAAGAACAGGATGAACACTTTATTTAGGTAATATGATTATTACATGTCTAAAGTTCTAAGACTTGTTAGCACTAAGATCTCTCTTTCTTTAACAGTGTATATCTCCTGGTTTAGTAGAGACAGAATTTGCCTACCGGTTCCTTAGTCAAAACCCAGAAAAGGCTGCTGCTACATATAAAAGTATAAAGGTAGACAAATCCTGATTCTTGTTTAATACAATATGTTGTAGATTATTTTTTACACTTTTAAATATGTAAATGTTATTTACAGTGCCTGCAAGCAGATGACATAGCAAACGCAGTGGTGTATGTCCTAAGTGCTCCTCCTCATGTTCAAGTAAGTGTCATCCATCACTGGAGAAAACTATTGTGCTGTAAATGATTGCTGAGATTGTTCATATACATACAATCAGCTTGACTGCTGTGGTCATTTTCAGCAGTGTATTTTCTAGGAAGTTTTCATGTAATTGTTTTTTTCTTTCCCCATCTCTAGATCGGTGACATTCAGATGAGGCCCGTGGAACAGTTGACTTAACTTGAAGAGATAAACAGGAACAAGCATCACTGACATCTCAATCATCTTAAAAGCTCAATATATAGTTTCAAATATTACATGTAGGGAAAACTACAAAAATGTCCCTATAAACTGTTTCTGCACTCCAGATCTTTTGAAATGCAAATAACAAGAACACAGAACACAGAAGATCTGTCAAATCATGAAGTTTACATTTTATAATTACTTATAAAATCTATATGTTATATTAAAAACACTATAATTAGTATTGGAGAATTTATGCAAAGTGTGCTGGGTGGTTTTGGGAAATGCAGAATCAGTGTAATTTTATGCTTTACATTATACTGATGAACATACACAAGTGAACATACAGTTGTGATCAGAATTATTGGCACCCCTGGTAAATATGATCAAAAATGTCTGTAAAAATAAATCTGCATAGTTTATCCTTCTGATCTTTCATTAAAAAACATAGCAAAAACTCTAACCTTATACCTTTCAATGAAGTAAAATAATTGAAAGTGGGGGGGGGGAGCAGCCCAACTGCTCCAAAACACGCTGGCCATAATTATTGGCACCCTTTTATTAAATACCTTTTGCCAAGAGAACAGCTCTGAGTTTTCTCCTATAATGCCTGATGAGTTTGGAGAACAACTGACAAGAGATCAGAGACCATTCCTCCACACAGAATCTCTCCAGATCCTTCAGATTCCAGATCCATGTTGGTGCTTCTTCTCTCCAGTTCACTCCACTCATCAGGTCAGGGAACTGGGACGGTCATGGCAGAAGCTTCATTTTGTGCTCAGTGACACTTTTGTGTTGATTTTGATGTTTGTTTTGGATCACTGTCCTGATGGAAGATCCACCCACAACCCATTATAAGATTTCTAGCAGAGGCCATCCGGTTTTGATTTTTTATCTGTTGGTATTTGCTAGAATACATGATACCATGTACTGTATCTGAACAAGAAGCCCAGGACCTCCAGCAGAAAAATAAATCCACAACAATAATGATCCAGCAGTATTTTTAACCGTGGGTATGGGGTACTTTTTATCCCTGTTTGCTCCAAACCCATCTAGCGTGTTTGCTGCCAAAAAGCTCTTTTTTTAGTTTCATCTGACCACAGAACCCTGTGCCGTTTGAAGTTCCAGTCGTGTCTGACAACTGAATTTGCTGGAGTTTGTTCTTGGATGAGCGAGGAAGATTTTTCTTGAAACCCTCCTAAACAACATGTGGTGATGTAGGGGTTGTTTAATTATTTTTTTATAGGCTTTCTGACCCCAAGACTCAACTAATCTCTGCAATTCTCCATCTGTGATCCTTAAGAGTTTTTGGCCACTCAAACTTTCCTCCTCACCGTGCATTAAGACAATATAGACACACGTCCTCTTCCTGGCAGATTCGTAACATCTTTAGTTGATTGGAACTTCTTAATTATTGCCCTGATGGTCAAAATGGGGATTATCAATTCTTTAGCTATTTTCTTACAGCCACTTTCTATTTTGTGAAGCTCAACAATCTTTTGCTGCACATCAGAACTATATTCTTTGGTTTTACTCATTGTAGTGGATGATTAAGGGAATTTGGCCTTTGTGTTTCCTCATACTCTTGTAAAACAAGAAGTCACAGCTAGGCAATTTCATGTTTTTCTAGTCACCCTGGTGTGCTAAAAAAGGTAAATAATAATGGGAATATACTTCAGAGATATTTTACTCGTAAAAAATTCTAGTGGTGCCAATTATTGTGGCTAATGTGTTTTGGAGAAAAACATTTATTTTATAAATTGCTTTGAAAAGAAAAGTCCCAACTGCTGAACAGAGAACATTTATAAAGTCAAGGAGAAATAAAATAATACATTTTATTACAAACATGGCTGAGTGAGGACAGGCTCAAAATAGCTGAATAATGAAAGGTTATGTGTATTGTTTTTGTTGTTTTTCAGTGAAACCCACCAATAACCATGCTGTCAGTGGCATTAAAACTGAATATGCAGTCAGCACTGAAGTTTTCAGACAAATTGATGCAATATATACTGGATTGAGGGCGAATTTTGTCTAGCACTGCAGGAACGTGATGCTTCCAAACGAAAGAACACAGGCACAAAATAGGACGCAGAATTTGCAGAAACAATCCTAATGGTTACACGTTTACTGAACTGAATTTTACATGCAACACTGGAAAATGCGGAAGACGCAATAGCGAGCTCTTGCACACACAAAAAAGCGAGCCCTTGTTTGAATTCACAACAATTACTTGCGACCGCAAAGAATCTCGGAGGAACAGTAGGAGTGATCAGGTGTGGCACAGTAGATCGTGCATTGCTATTGGCTAGATTCTTAGACTCAGTGCATATTCATTAACAACAGGGAATGCATATGAAGTAAAGATCACTGCAAACTGGCAGCAGCTCTTCTGTTAGAGTTTTGTGAACTTGTAACATGGATCGCTGGAAAGGCAGGGTTGCTCTTGTCACTGGGGCTTCAGTGGGAATCGGAGCTGCAATCGCAAAGTCTCTTGTGCAGCATGGCATGAAGGTGGTCGGATGTGCCAGAAATGTGAAGCAAATTGAGGTAATTTACATTAGCCTACTCATTTGTTGCAGAGGATTAAAGGTTTGCGTATGATGAACAAAATGTCTGTTGTTGATTCATTAGTGATTACCTTTCTGTTTACTTTTTTTAAAGTTTAACTGGTCAGTTAATGGAGAAAAAAGCAGCATGAACATTATTCTAAATTTCTCACTTGATGTTTTCCACAATAAAAAGTCATACAGGTTTAGAAGAACATTTAGAGAAAATTAAGCCAACAATTAAATTTCTGTCATCATTTAAACACCTATGTCTTTTGTTGGCCACGTCACATTTTAATAGGCAAATTCAGGCTAATCTTAATGTTTGAAATGCTTTACATGACAACAATTTCATATTTCTTATAAGACATATGCTACAGGGAACAATGTGTTCATAAGGACAGAGTTCTAAAAATTGGTAGGTAGCTATAATAATTAACCTCATGCACAATTTGTTTGCTTGCTCTGCTATTGCTTGCTGTTTCTCTGCCAATGGTTTTGAGCTTTGACCCTTCATGAAAAGTAAATCTTGAAGTGTTTTTCCATTTATAGATCTTGGCAGCAGAGTGTGTCAGTAGTGGATTCAGCGGCACTCTGTTCCCGTATAAATGTGATCTGTCTGTAGAGGACGAAGATAATTATATAACATAATATGTTTAAAAAAGTGCCTAATCTTAGCAAAAATGTCCAAGATTATTCAATAAGAACAATGCAGTGTAGCCTACAGTATATTGAATTCCTGCAAAATATATGTTACAACAGCAGTAATAATGGTTCTGAGCTTTAAAGCCTTCATGAAATATGAATCTCTAAGAACTTTTTCTTTCGCAGAATTTGGCAGCAGAGTGTGTCAGTAGTGGATTCAGCGGCACTCTGTTCCCGTATAAATGTGATCTGTCTGTAGAGGACGAAGTGTTATCCATGTTCTCCTGGATCAAAGTTCAACATCAGGGCATTGACGTGTGCATTAATAATGCTGGTTTGGCTCTCCCAGAGCCTCTATTGAGTGGCAAAACCAGTGGCTGGAGGACTATGATGGATGTAAATCACAGAATAAATATGTATTTCCATTCTGACAGCATGCAGCTGCTAAAGAATGTGATTTTAGTCAATTATTTCAAACATTTCAGGTGAATGTCATTGCCCTGTCAGTGTGTACCCAAGAGGCTTACCATTCCATGAAAGAAAGAAATATTGATGATGGCCATATCATTAATATTAATGGGTACTATAATGTTTTAATGGACATTTTTAGACCTATTTTCTGCATTTATATTCCTGTGCCATGCACCAAAGACTCTAAATATCGTACTTTGTTTTAGTATGTGTGGACATCGTATCCTCCACAATGCTGATTTACACTTCTACACTGCCAGCAAATATGCTTTGACTGCTCTCACTGAAGGTCTCCGGCAAGAGTTACGCGAGGCCAAAACACACATACGTGCCACAGTAAGAACAGGATAAACAAGACACATTTTCCATGAACACTTTATTTATGAAAATGAGTATTGCATGTCCAATGTTCAAAAATGTGCTGGCACTAAGATTGTTCTTTCTTTGACAGTCTATATCTCCTGGGTTAGTGGAGACGGAGTTAACCTACCGGCTCTTTAGTCAAAACCCAGAAAAGGCTGCTGCTACATATAAAAGTATAAAGGTATAAGTATAAGACAAATCCTGATTCTTGTCTGCAGAGCATAATAGGTCATTTTTTACCTTTATAAAATTTGTAAATCATATTTACAGTGCCTGCAAGCAGATGACATAGCAAACGCAGTGGTGTATGTCCTAAGTGCTCCTCCTCATGTTCAAGTAAGTGTCACCCATCACTGGATAAAACTATTGTGCTGCAGCATTAACATGTTAATGTTTGCTGTCTTTCAGTCATATGAGATCACACTTTGTTATATTTTAGTATACACATATTTTTAGGTGTAAACTTGATGATTTATAATTTTATTGTAATTTAGAGGTTTTTCCTTTGCTCTGCAGATTGGTGACATTCAGATGAGACCAGTGGAGCAGTTGACATAGATAAACAGGACCAAGTGCCAATCAGGGACTAACGTTCACAGACAATCAAAGATCACAGGCGTGTCCATAATCTAATAAATAATTGTCAAGTCTCTACATTTTTTAAATGCATTTTGTAAAAACACAAAGCACCGTTCTGTTTCATCATGATTTTTACATTCTTATTGTAGTAAATGAAATGATTTAAGAAAATATGCTGGTGTAAAATTTTGATTTGACACAATGTGATAAATACTTTATGTGCTTTTCCAATAGCTCTTTCATGGTTTTCTTGTAAAAAAAGAAAAAGAAAAAAAAGTGCCAATATTCAAGAGCGAACTGAAAGCATGCAATATCAAGTATATTAAAAAGTATATATTTTTTTAAACAAAGTTAGTTTTATCTTATGTAATGGAACCTGCTCATTAACGTTTTTTTATTCTAAAGAGTTCTTAAAGGGATAGTTCACCCAAAAATGAAAATTCTGTCACTAATTAGGCCTACTCACCCTCATGTCTTTCCAAACCTGTAAGACTTGCATTCATCTTT